CTGAGGACTACAATGTAGGGACCTTTTCAATGGCTCAAGAGATCCACGGTGAAGCCTCTTGATGAGCACAGGTGACTCAGGCTCTACAGAAGGGTGTTTGTTCTCTCAGTGGGCTGCAGGTGGAGGATGTTGTTGTCAAAATAACCAGTGGGTGGAAGTCAGAACTAGCTAAAGAGTTTGGGGAGACTTAATAAGATCTTGATTAGCTAAATCAGCTAATTTTTCCTCAAAAATCTTAGGTATAAGAGGAGTTCTCTCATATAAAGCCTCAAAAGGGGAAATACCAGTAACATAGAGGGTACACTGTGCATACAAGAGGTCAAAAAAGGAAGGAGACTCCCCAGTTCTCACCAGTTTCTAAGGCCATTAGTAATTACCATCTTTAATGTCTGGTTTATCTTTTCTACTTGTCTTCAACTTTGGAGGCAGTAAGCACAATGGAGTTTCCAATTGATCTGCAAGGCTTTGGTTAGTTTTTGAGTTATCTGGGCCATAAAAACCGGCCCATTGTAAGGCCCCATTGATAAGGGGAGGCCAAATTGTGGGACAACCTCATGTAAGAGTTTTTTGACTACTATCAGAGCTGACTCAGATTTTGTAGAAAAAGCTTTTACCCATCCAGTGAAAGTATCAACCATTATAAGTGAATACTCATATCATTGAAGTCCAGGCTTCCCCACTTCTGTAAAGTCTACCTTCCAGTGTTCTCTAGGCATAGTCCCACTTAGTGAGTGGCTGCTTTGGGTTCACCAAATGGCACTGAGGGCATCTGAGACTCACAGACTGGGCAAGCTTTGATATTAGCCCCCAAATGCAAGTCTTTTCAAGTGCAAATAGGCTCTGACAAAGTAGGTGGGAATGCAGTGATGTCAGGGCTATCTCAAATCCCCACTGATTCTACAGCTGCCTTTTGGGTGGTGGCATCTGCCAAATTATTTCCTCATATAACAAGGCCATCTCCTGCTCAATGGGCTCTATAGTGGATAATAGCCACTCTTCCTGGCATCCAGATGGCATCCAACAAGTCCAAAATTTGGGAAACATTTTTAATCTTTTGGCCCCAGAAGCCAATAAGCACCATTCTTGATAAATGGTCCCACGAACATGGGAAGTAACAAATGCATACTGACAACTTGAGGTCTCAGTGAGGGCAATGAGTTCAGCCTGTTGGGCCAATGTTTTTGGCTCCAGGCTTGGTTCCCATAGAATCTGAGAGTCTGTAGTAATGGCAGCTCCCACAACCCACTTACCTGGATAAATGTAATTGCTTCCATCGGAGAAATACAAAGGAACTCTGAATAGTGGCTCATCTGTCAAGTCTGGTCCCCAATACAGATGTGGAGGGCAAGGAGGGGCATCATCAGGCAGCAGAGTGGCAGGGTTTGAAGCCGCTGTCCCCTTGAAACTGATGGTAGTCAGATCTAGAAGTAATGCTTGATAATGCATGACTTGGGAGTTGGGCAGCCATTGGTCCGGTGGAGGCTTGATGAGAGTCTCCAGCGAATAGGAGGAGACAATTAAGAATTTTGGTCCACAAGTCAGTTTTTGTGTCTCCTCTATCAGGATGACTACCGAGGAAAACACCCACAGACAAGGTGGCCATCTGGCTGCCACATAATCAAGTCTCTTGGAAAGATAGGCAACAGGCCTCTGCCAGGGTCCCAAACTCTGTGTCAGGACTATGGCTCCTAGAAATTTTTCCACTCGGTTTTTAGTCACAGGGACTGGAATCTGTTGGATGGCTTGCATCTGCTGGGAGGAAAGAGTCATTTATTTTTATTTTTTTATGGAAAGTCCAACAACCAATGCAGTTTTTCTGCCCAGCAGAAATCTCTTAAGCCTGGTCTTTAGGGTCCTCCCGGTTGTCAAATATCTTTTAAGCAACCTCTGATAACTGACTGAAGGGCATTTCCTCAAATCTCTCAAACTTTTGCAATTTTTGCTTAACATCAGTGGCCGACTGGTTTACAAAGGCAATATTAATGGCCCTTGCATTTTTAGGCACTACTGGTGTATAAATGTGATAGGGCTTTTGCACTCTTTTCAGAAAACCCCGAGGGAGACTAATAAGTCTCTGTTGAGCCAATTGCCTCACCTCTGCTCTCTTGGGCAAAAGGTAGGTTTTCTGGGGTGCCCTAATGGCTACTGAGAACAACTGGCAATACCCATAAGGAACCTCCTCATCTCTGGTTGTCCACTTAGGGTGGGACAAAAGGAAAACATGGTTTTGGCATTCTGGATCACAGGCAGGTTTTATCTGGATGGCACACTGTTTTTTTTGTTTTTGTTTTTGTTTTTTTGTCCCAGGGTGGGCCATTGCCCACATGGCAGGCCACTGTTTTACTGAAAGTACATACTTAACAAAAAAAAGGCTTTTTCATAGGTAACAAAAGTAATTGTGCCGCATAATCTCCCAGATATCCACAGCACATGCAAGAACTTGTATTTTATCTCTATAATCACCAGTCACATTAGGCATAATAGTTATTTCTTTTAAATTTAGATCAGCTTATTGTAGTAGAAGATGAATTTTTTTTCTCTGTTTTTTGCAAGCAATCAAAATCTCAACTTTGTCTTTATAATCTATAGCATTCCTGGAAATTCCCCTCACCCAAACTCACAATATTGCAAATCATCCTGTTGAGCTCTTTGCTCTTGATAGCCATAGCACAAAAAGCATTTTCTCTTTTACATTTTTATTTTAAGACAAAACCACTTTTTAAAATTTATTATCAGTCAATTACTTTTTCTCTTGATTTTTAGGTTTTGTTAAAACCTTTAACAAAATGCTTGAAATGACTTTCTTTTAGTAGTCTAAAACTTATGTAATCATTTTATTTCTTTTCACCACATTAAAATGCTACATTTTAAAAACTAACTTCTTTAACTGGCTCAATTATAGTATGACCTGGTTTTTACTTGCAAAAGTTAATATGATTTTTAAAAACCATAAATATACATATATATGCGCACATATATTCACATTTTAACCATAAAGAAAAATACATTTAAAAGACATGCCGAGGTTGCAAGTAATCAGTTGAGGATAAAAACATTAAACAAGGTGCCACAAAAGATAAAACCAACATTAAAGACATAAATGAAGGTTTTTCTGCCCCCAGTTTGGCAAGCTAAAGGAAATTTTTGTTATGAACCTTGAGTCCAATAAGCCACATTGATCCTGCAACAGAAATGGACAACAAGCCCCTAAGTTAGTAAAAAAAAAAATTTATCAGTACCAGGGATTGCTGGGTGAAAACAGGCCCTAAAACACAAACAGGCCCCAACACCCCACATGGGCATAGGTCCCCCACATGGGCCTATGCCATACACACAGCCCCAGGTCCCCCACACGGGTCTAGGCCATACACATGGGCCTAGGTCCCCCACACGGGCATAGGCCACACACATTACAAGTAGGCGAGAGCCCCCAGAATCCAGTGCAGAAAAAGCGCGAGCTTGTCTGCAGTCACTGTGCACATTCAAATTACAAATGGGCAAAAACCCCTACACGGGCCGAAGCCCAAAGTTACGAATGGGCCCCAAAAGCCCTAAATTACAAAATGGGCAAAAAGGCCCCTGGAAGTTGTCTCATTTTATCTGCAGTTACAAATGTGCACACTCAGATTACAAACAGGCAAAAAACCAAATACTTACAGATGTTAAGCCAATCAATCGGTGAAAAAATAATTTGGAGGGGTCCCCCAGTACTCCCAGGTGAGCCCCTTAATCTTGTAATCCACAAACAAGCCCTCCAAAGCCCAAACTCGAATTCAAAAATGGGCATACATATTTTTATTTTAAAAAAACAGCGCTGATTTATTTTATCCTAGGCCCACTGACACAGTGCAGGTGGAGCTTGCAAAAGCTGTGTGTCCCCCTTAAAGCTTTCTAGCTCTTTTGTAGAGAGCACAGTTTATAAAAGGGTTATGGGGGTGGATCAGGAAATCTGCTAAGGAAATGTTTTCCTTAGCAGAGGACAGAGTAGCCTAGCAGTAGTTAATAAACCTTTGTCAGCTTATTTTAGTACCACATCTGTTATTTGTAGAGGGCAACAATGGTTAACATATCAATTAGGTTAGGTTCCCAGGGATTTACAATTTTTTACAGAAGGGAGTATTGATTAACATATGAGGTCACCCAGAGGGGGGCGGGGGGGGTCGCATACAGAACAGTAGGTAGCATTACAGGTACTTTGGCATTATACAAACATAAGGAAGCTCTTTTTGCTAGTATATAGCATTAAAGAAATATCATGACCTTTTAATTTTCCTGTGTTTAAACTTGGATTTATATTACATTTTTTGTTTGTTTGTTTGTTTGTTTGTTTGTCTGAGACAGGGTCTCCCTATGCAGTTCAGGCTGGCCTTGAGCTCACTTTGTAGCCCAGGCTGGTCTGGAACTCACAAGGATCCTCCTGCCCTAGCCTCCTGAGTGCTGGGATTCCAGATATGAGCCACCATGCCCAGCTGATTTACATTATTTTAATAAAACTATATGAGACAAAGCACTTTAAAACAACGGGCAAATAGCAAGCAATTATCAAAAGTAACTGGCAAATATAAAAGCAAAGTTGGAGGCATAAAAATTTGTTACCTAAATAAGTCCCACTTGAGAGTCTATGAAGCAAAAGCAAATTCTCACCTCTTTCCAATGATCTCAGTGGAAGACCTCCAAATGATATAAGGGAGTGAAACTCCTGACCTACTATGTCAGGAGGAGCAAAACACAGTTGACAAAGAATGCCCTAAAGGGGCGATACCAGTTTCCCCAGCACTTCTCCAAAGAGGTGCAAAGCTTAATCAAGGGTCTTCTCAACCCTGACCCAAGCATGCGCCCTACCTTGGAGCAAGTAAGGCAGCATCCATGGCTTCAGCTTGAATCTGTCCCTTGTCATCCTCCTCAACTGCTCCCCAAAGCCACAGAAAGGGCACATTATGGCTGGGAAGGGGTACAACCGGCTGAAGGTGAATTCGTGTTCTCTAAAATCAAAGAGTAAATTTTAGGAACAATAGAGGTAAAGAGTAAAATATATTTATTGAGAGAAAGCAAGCTTCTGTCTGAGAGAGACAGGAGGAGTCCCAAGCAGTGGGACTCTGTCTTTCCCAGGGACGTTTATAGAGGAAAATCATGGGATGAGATGGACTTGTGGGCAAAACTGGGAACTCACAAGGCAGATGGGCATAAGGTAGGGCAGAACTATGGTTAACCAATAAGATTAATAGTTCAGGTAAATTCATTAAATTGGGGACAAATGGGGAAGTGAGCCACTTAGAAAGCAGGCATTCTTAGAGAGCAGTGAATCTTCCCTAGGGGGTTGGAATGGTGACTCCTGACTTCCGCGGGGTGCTAAGAAGCTATTTAGAACATCAGTCCTTATGGATGTATTTGTTTGATCTTTTGTCTTGAGGTTTGGCCCACAGCAGGAGGTGCCTGTCTCCCCTTAGCTGCAAGGTATCTGAGCTCCTGCACTGGCTCCTTCAGGACCTAGCCCTGTCTCCCTGCCTATAGTATTTCTAGCTAACTCAGGGGCCCGAAACACTACTGCAGGCTTGCTGGGATCTGACAGCACGCAGCTGGGCTTGGAGTGCCTCCACTGTCTTCTCTGCACTGGACACTGCAATAAGACCACAGACCGCAGAGGCCTGCCACAGGTTTAAAGTCAGAGAACTTTTTGTCTTTGTGTTTTGTTTTTCCTGCCTGTGTACATTGTTCTCAGCTTTTGTATTTTTCTCTCTTTTTTGGTCCTGCTTTTTGCTCCTGTTTTATCACTCGTTTTCTAAGGCCTGGTAATCTCCCTTTGTACTTCAGTCTTCTTATCTCTCTTTTATTTTTCTATATTTTCTTGGTATCCCTAATAAATTTTCTCCCTTTAGGGCAAATTGCTCTACTGAGTATATACTTACTGTATATAATATTCTGCTTTGCCTTATAGTTGGCTGTGTAACTACAAATCTCATACCTGTGATTAAAGCAGGCATGTCCTTGGTCATAAGAGTTTATCATTTCCTGGCTGTGTTGGTTGCAGTTGTTATAGCTGATTGTACTATGTTAGCCAAAGTGACAGAGTTATTGGCATCAACTGATCTTCTTTGAACACCACCACCTCAGTTGTCTGAGGGGCACAAACAATCCTGTAGTTCTGGACTACAGAACTATAAGAACTGGGTGCTGGGCCAAACAGGCAGCAGCCCTTCATTCCTACCGAACTGAAGAGGCAGGGCTGGGGATGGAGCTCAGTGGCACAGCTCCTGCCTGGCAAACACAAGACCCTGAGTTTGACTCCCAGTACCAAAAAAGAAATTCCATAGTTTCTCGTTTTGAAAAAAAAAAAAAAGTTCCTTTAAGAAAAGAAGAGGCAAAATCTTGGGATGACAGAATCCAAAGCCAGCTACCCCTACAGAACATCTCTGAAAATAGTCATTTCCTTAAGAGGTCCCAATACTAGTAATAAACTACTGACCATAAGCAATTTACAAGCCTCAAGGCAGAAAACAAGTACAAAGATAGAAAATGAGAAAATGCAGAAGCAAGATGCACCATGACATGTGTTATGTGCATGTTCCAACTTGCCCTGAACACTCTCTGGTTCAGATCCTGCCCCAGGTGCTGCAAACACAGACCACAGTTTGGAAGCCACGAATGTCTTCTCTTTACCAAATGTCACTGTTCCCACGGTGGCAAGCAACACCATCACGTGTGGAGATTTCTCTTGTTCCAAACTCTGTCCCCACCACACGCATGCCTGTGTGCCCTCAAGGCTGGATATGAGTCTCTGTTTACTGACACAAGACTTCAATGGGCTCCTTTCAAAGGCTTGCAGACACAGACTTGGGGACAGCATTCAGAAGACCAGGGTTTGGGTCCATGTCTCTTCATGGGGATGTGTGGGGGTGATGGTAGATGACCCCTTGCTCTTCCCAGAACACACCCTACTGCCAGGCACAATAAGGGAGGTAGTGGTCAGGTGTGGTCAGGTCCATGGTACCCAGGTCTCCCTGCATCCTCATGGGAGGTTGTGGTCAGGTCCATGGTGCCCAGCCCTCCCTGTCCCTGGGGCAGCCTCCCTCAGACAGCAGGACACAAGCCAGGTGACTCTCCCCCCTGCTCCTCCTGTCTTCCTCTCGCTGGCTCTCAGTTCCTGGTGCCTGTGCAGCCTTCCCATGCTGTGCACCAACCCCTCCCTCTGCTTCTCGCCCACAGGATACACTAGTGATCTTGACTCCTCCTCTCCCCTCCAGCTCCCTGCACAAAGGGCTGCAAGGCAACTCACTGTGGCTTCCACTTGTGTGGCTGACCTCGCTGTCAGGATGACCACATCCATAGGAGGGATCATGGATCTGCACTACAAAGGCAAGGAGACATGTGTAATGCACGCTCACTGGGAAACACAGCATACAGTGGTGGCTGTGGTCACTCCAGCCTCCTCTGCAGCAGACCCCACTGCAACTCCTCCTACCCACACCTGGCCTCTGCCCACACCTACCCTTCTCCCTCCCCTCCTCTCCTCCCTACAGTTCTTCCCTGACAGTTGAAAATGATATCGAGACACAGCACATTCTGAGGAAGCAGCCGGACCACTCAGACTCCTTGAGTGACCTCTGGTTCTCTACTGTGCAGTACTTACACTGCGACCACCTTGTGTTTGTGACACTTGCACGTCGATAGGGGGCAGCAGCACAGGGCCTGCAGGCAGTCTCTCATGGTTCTCTTGACAGTTTTCCAGCCCCACCTCCTACTGCTGACAGGGGCTGGGGCAGCAGTGAAGGCAGCATTTGGAGTCCCAGGGCTGTGCTGGAAGGACTCACCGGGAGAGGCAGGATTGGGCTGCCAGTATGACTCAGTAGAGGCACGGCTGGTTTTACAGGACTTGATGGGAACAGCAGGGCTTGGTTGACGGGATGCTTTAGGGGTAGCAGGCCCTGAATGGTAGGACTTGATGGAAGAAGCAGGGCTTGGTTGACGGGATGCTTTAGGGGTAGCAGGTCCTGTATAGTAGGACTTGATGGAAGAAGCAGGGCTTGGTTGACGGGATGCTTTAGGGGTAGCAGGTCCTGGATGATAGGACTTGATGGGAGAAGCAGGGCTTGGTTGACGGGATGCTTTAGGGGTAGCAGGCCCTGAATGGTAGGACTTGATGGAAGAAGCAGGGCTTGGTTGACGGGATGCTTTAGGGGTAGCAGGTCCTGTATCGTAGGACTTGATGGGAGAAGCAGGGCTTGGTTGACCGGATGCTTTAGGGGTAGCAGGTCCTGGATGATAGGACTTGATGGGAGAAGCAGGGCTTGGTTGACGGGATGCTTTAGGGGTAGCAGGTCCTGTATCGTAGGACTTGATGGGAGAAGCAGGGCTTGGTTGACGGGATGCTTTAGGGGTAGCAGGTCCTGGATGATAGGACTTGATGGGAGAAGCAGGGCTTGGTTGACGGGATGCTTTAGGGGTAGCAGGCCCTGAATGGTAGGACTTGATGGAAGAAGCAGGGCTTGGTTGACGGGATGCTTTAGGGGTAGCAGGCCCTGAATGGTAGGACTTGATGGAAGAAGCAGGGCTTGGTTGACGGGATGCTTTAGGGGTAGCAGGTCCTGTATCGTAGGACTTGATGGGAGAAACAGGGCTTGGTTGACGGGATGCTTTAGGGGTAGCAGGCCCTGAATGGTAGGACTTGATGGAAGAAGCAGGGCTTGGTTGACGGGATGCTTTAGGGGTAGCAGGTCCTGTATCGTAGGACTTGATGGGAGAAGCAGGGCTTGGTTGATGGGATGCTTTAGGGGTAGCAGGTCCTGGATGATAGGACTTGATGGGAGAAGCAGGGCTTGGTTGACGGGATGCTTTAGGGGTAGCAGGCCCTGAATGGTAGGACTTGATGGAAGAAGCAGGGCTTGGTTGACGGGATGCTTTAGGGGTAGCAGGCCCTGAATGGTAGGACTTGATGGAAGAAGCAGGGCTTGGTTGACGGGATGCTTTAGGGGTAGCAGGTCCTGTATCGTAGGACTTGATGGGAGAAGCAGGGCTTGGTTGACGGGATGCTTTAGGGGTAGCAGGTCCTGGATGATAGGACTTGATGGGAGAAGCAGGGCTTGGTTGACGGGATGCTTTGGGAGTAGAAGGGCCTGGATGGCAGGACTTGATGGTAGTAGTATGGCTGGGCTGGCAGGCCTTGGTAGTAGCAATAGCACGGCTTGGTTTGTGAGATGCTACAGGGGGAGGAGATGAAGATGGCTGATATTCATCTGTATACTCATCTTTGTTTGTGGACTGTTCAAACAGATCTTCAGCCTCACGTTTGTGTGTGGGCTTCACCTCAGACCTCAAGTGGAGTTTCTCGAGTGCCATGTCCTGTAGTAGCAGGAAGGGCGCCATGTCAGGATCGTATTTTCTGCACTTCACTGCATCAATCACCTTCAGCCGGTTGTACCCCTTCCCAGCCATAATGTGCAATATTGCCCTTTCTGTGGCCTTGGGGAGCAGTTGAGGAGGATGACAAGGGACAGATTCAAGCTGAAGCCATGGATGCTGCCTTACTTTCTCTAAAGTAGGGCGCATTCTTGGGTCAGGGTTGAGAAGACCCTTTATTAAGCTTTGCACCTCTTTGGAGAAGTGCTGGGGAAACTGGTATCGCCCCTTTAGGGCATCCTTTGTCAGTCGTGTTTGGCTCCCACTAAATGGGCGTACCCCAGCGAGCATCTCAAATAAAAGTATCCCTAAAGACCAAATGTCCAGTGGTGGGCCTTGGTATTTCTTTTGTAAAAATATCTCTGGGGCAGCATACTTTCGGGTGCCTCCACACGTGGTCACCTCCTGGCCAGGAAGGAACCTGAAAGCCACGCCAAAATCGCTGAGCTTGGGGTGGCCTTCACGGTCCATTAATATGTTCGCCGGTTTCAGGTCCCCATGGATGACTCCCCTGTTATGGCAGTACTGCACAGCCTCCAGGAGTTCTCGGAATATCAGCCGTGCCCTTTCCTCCTGCAGCTTCTGTCTCTCAGCACGCTTGATATGTCGCTGCAGGTCTTTCCCGCGTGCATATTCCATTACCAGGAACATAGTGGTACTATTTTCTGACACTTCCAGCAACTGAATGATATTGGGGTGCTGAAGGTCCTTTAGGATGCTGACCTCCCGTCTAACAGCAGTAGGCCTCAACTTGTCCTTTTGAAGTACCTTCACAGCTACCAGCATCCTTGTGCTCACATGTTCAGCGAGTACCACCTTGGCAAAGTGACCCTCACCAAGGGGCATCAGCACGTCATAGTCTTGATGGAAGTTTCCTGTGAACGATGACATTTCTGTGGACGATGACATGACGTCCAGCAAAGATGTTTTACCCACCTCGAAGGGTGCCCTGATGGAACTAGGCTTTATAAAATCAATGACAAAAATTTCGAATCTCAAAACGCCAACTCAACTCCAAACACCAATCTACTTCACCCACAAAGAGTCTCTGGGGTGAACACCCTACCTTACACAGCTAACTGCTGTGACCTCACAGGGGATCTTGTGAGGTCATGGTGCCAGTGGGCCCAGGCAGAGCTGGTCACCTCCACTTCACTCATCACACTCTTGGCCATGAGGGTCTTTTGATTCTAACAGAAAAATGTTACAAAATGTCTTACTAATGTGAGTTATGGAGATTGACACTTTTGTTTTAGAAATTCAGACCTGTAGGATGCTTCAATATCCCTTTTTGTTTCTGTTCTGAGAATCTGTTCTCAGCATCTGTAATACCTCTTGCATTTAGAGATCCCATGATGTCTACACTCAGCATCTCCAGTTCCTTTTGCTCTTAATTCTTACTGGTGTCAAAGTGATGCTGCAACTTCACTTACATTAGAATAACGTAACGTTCAGTGTATAAAATATGACAAATAAATTAATGCCTGTGCAGCTGACAGCAATTCCCCAAAAACATAATCATTAGACTTATCCTCAAAATCCTTGGAGAGCAGCGGCAAGCACAGTCACAGAAAGGACACCCAGGAGTTGGAGACACATTTATTTACACCAACGGGCACTGATTGGTACATTCCCAGAATATCAGGGCCTGATCTCTGATGGTCTGAGGCCTGTATAGGATAAGCAAGTGGGGAGTACCGGGGCAAAATGGCTTGTTGATTGGGGTTGGTTTATGCAGCGTGCATCACAGTGACCAGCTAGGCGTCTCAGTGACCAGCCGTTTCTTAGAGACAGAACTGTTACCTGGACAACTAAGAACTGCAGTATACTGACTGGGGTGCGGGATATTCTGTTACAGGAGGACAGAAGGAAACAGGTGGACATGTGCTGTGTGAATGAAACAGTGAAACAAAACAAAAAGCTCTCTCAACTAAGCATTTTACATCCAGCAAAACTGTCCTTAAAATGAGGGGGAAAGCTCAGACATTCCTAGATGCAAGCACTGAAGAATGTCCGTCCTTCCTACTAGGCCTGCCTTGGGTAGAGGAGTCCCTTAGGTTGAAATGAAAGAACCAGCTGTGGTCCCACATGCCTGTGATCCAGCACTCAGGAGGCTGAGGCAAGATGATCACTGTGAGTTCAAGGCCAGCCTGGGCTACAGAGCAAGACCCTGGCTCACAAAGGAGAATTTTTTTGCAGGAACTCAAGTCTGAAGAAAAGTCTGTTAAAGCTGAATATGTGGACCTTTATGAAAATCAGGACTGGTTTTGTATTCTACATGTTAGAGGCTCACATATTGAAAAGAAAACAAGGCACCCTGTAGTACTGTATTTCCTGAGACACAGTGTGGCATACGTGGAGGAAACTACAAACTCACTCCCCAGATGTGGGGCAGCATCCTGTATATGGCTATGTTTAACTGCCACGGATTCACACCACCCTGGGGTGGCCTTGGGATTTTCAAAGTTATATCCACGGCATCCTCAAAGAAAACATAAATAGCTTTTACACAGGTGACGAGCCCATTGACTCCAAAACGAATGACTCCTGCAGAAGAGCAGGACAGCTGCTGCTGGAGTGGGGACAGCCACGCCCAAGCCTCTCTCCCAGTCAGCAGCATTCGCAGACTGTGGAGCGAGAACCAGGCCTCACAAGGGGGTGGGCCCTGCCTGGAAACCATGTCATTTTCATTGCTTTGTTGGTTGGGTTTTATTCTTTCATTTTGTTTGATTATATTAAATCTGATGCCATGAACAACTGTTCAAAAGATAGCAAGACGTGTTATGGTAGCCATTCTGGACTTACTGTGAGCTTGTTTTGAAGTCCTTTACTGCAGTCATTGTTTTGTGTTTGTTGTTTCTGCTCTATTCTGTTGTTTGATTTTTACCAGGTCCAAAGGTATCTGCAGCTATTTTGAAGATGATAGAGGCATTATGGTAACTATTGCTGATTTTCTAAGTTTTAAAGACCTGTATCACTTATACTGGTTTATCTTGATCGGTTTTGTTCTGTTTTATTTTCCTTGGTTTTATCCTCTATTTAGGCCAGGGATTTAACTCAGCAGCATAAGATCTGTCTGGCAAGTGTGAGGTCCTGAGTTTGATCCCTGATACGAAAAACATAAAATAAAATAAAATTTTAAAAAATAAAGAAGAAGAAGATGAAAAAGAGCAAGGACAAGATGCTGCAAGGCTCATGAAACAGCCACCTGACAGAGGCAAACTCTTGCAAGCTCTAATTCCCTTCTAATGAAGGGGCAGTGTCTTCCCAATCAAAAGCAGAGACTGGGAGACGAGATGGGAAACCTCATCCAATTAGATGCAAAGCAAGAAGGTAGAAAAAGTACAAAGTAAAAGTCCTCTGTGCCAAATACAGAAGAGTTGGCCACTCTACTGTTGGAGTGGGTCTTTGGTTAAGAAAAGGTTTCAGGAGACACAAGGACATATTAGAGTGTAGGTAGCAACATAACCACATGCAGTAGGCCTATCCTGTACCAGTAAATTTTACTTTAGTGCAATAGCCAGCTGGGCATGTCACTACCTTCCCCTGAGGAACACTGGAAAGCAGTTTATGTGATTACCAACTTGCTGTGTCAAACAATGAAGTGGGTGAGCAAGTGGAAAAGTCTCAAAATGGGATTTTCACCCACGTTGTGCTCCATCTAACTGCTTTTGTGTGTTTATTCAAGCATCAAAGAGGGTTCAATAATCTCCCATTACTCCAGGATTTGTCTTTTTAAAAGCTTTCTTTTGATTTTTCTGGTGGAAATAGCCCAGTTCTGTACAATGGCATGTGAAAACTATATCTTGGAGGAGGTCACAAGTGAATGAATCGTCAGATTACTCATGCATGAGTGATGAAGATGATCCATTATGACAAAACACTTTCATAACAGAAGAGTGTTGTGGATGGATGGATGTCGATGAAGAGGAGGGAGAGGACTTTGAAATTGGCCATGTGAGTCAAACTTCCTGGGACAGTGAAGTGGAGCAAAGATCAACTGATACTGATACTGACCTCCTTTGTTAAGATGACAAAACAATGTGAATACATATTTGACTAGTGAAAATGTTGCAAAATGGCCACATAACCAAATGAAATGATCTAATGTTAATACTAAGTCCAAAAATATAGTGAGGGACTTGGCAAGAGTGAAATGTATTGGACGAATGCTGATACTGCTATTCAAAGTTGGAAATTTTAACACATGAAATGTTACAAGATTCTGTGAAATATACAGAGGTTAAAATTCAAGTAAAGTGTTCTCTATGCACCATTAGCCATATTCAAAAATGTTTTATGACATGGTGCTGAACTGAAAGCATTTATGGATCTGTGTGCTTAGGAGGGATTTCTCATAGTGATTGCAGGAATGTAAAGGCCTCATGGAAAATGATGGGTCAACTCTGGCATAATGCATGCCCTTGTGCATGTGAGGACTTTTTATGCTTTCAATTTAGACATTTAGCTTGAACTTAGCCACAAGGTGTTTATTCATAGAATAATAAACCAGATGATGTTATGAACAGAAATGTTCTTATGGTTTGGGACTACAGTTCATATGAGATTATTTACAGCAGAGAAAAATCCAGCTTTTCTTGTCAGTGAATTATGTGAAGTACTGTGGAGTGCACTGGTGAGCTGACAGGTGAATAGGCACACACAGATTCCTAGATCCACGATGATAAGAGGAAAACAAAAAGATCTCAACTGTGTCCTACAAGAAAATACAGGAAAACAAAACATGCTATCAGTGGAAGTGTCCCTCGTGTATGGAACATGCAAGACTGCCTTGGGTATGACAAGTGCAAAGACTGCTTTGGATATGACAGTTGAAGCAAAGCTTATTTATGTGGTAGATTTTTGTTTCTGTTTACATTGCAGTTCACATAGGTTTCTATTTTTGATGTTATCTTTGATGTGAAAATATATTGATGTGTATTCTTTTTTTTTTTTTTTTGTCTTTTTCATTTTTTTATCGGTACCGGGGATTGAACTCACGACTGCCTACTTGCAAGGCAGGTGCTTATGGTGCTGAGCTAAACCCCCAGCCCCATTGATGTGTATTCTAAAGGCACAACACACAGTAAGAATTTAAGAACTTCTTTTGATATTTTATGTTCCTGTTGGCTACACACTCTATAGCACAATAACCTTGACAAAACAGCAAAACCATTGAGATATCAAGTACATCCTACAAAAAGAGTAGGACAGCAAAACATGTGCTCCCAGTGTGAGTATTATGTGTCTATGGAATACGCTGTGGTCATGTGCACAGACTGATTTAGATGTGATAATTGAAGTGAAGATTACTTTTTTGTAAATTGCTGTTGGTATTTTCAGTGTAATTTGTATAGGAATATTTTTGTTATTTTTTGTAGACTTTATGCCAAAAAATTGTTGATGTTTTAAATTTTGATGCTTTATTATAAACACTCAATAAATATTAAAAATTCAATACTTTATATTTTTTTGTTTTTTTTCCTGGTAAGCCACTGTGTAATATAACAACACTTATAAAAGTAAAGTTAATAACTCATCAATAGAAATATTCTAAAGAATGAGTGTGTGTCTGGTAAACCTATGTTTCTGCACCTTTATGACAAAGTTAGTGTTATGCTCCTGAAATAGTCAAGACCAGGAAAGTTTGCAGGGATGCTGTTCACAGTGTCATCATCTAACCTTGAAGACTCCTCTGGAGGTTTCACCTACATCCTGCCATGCAGACAAGCTCTCTATCTACAGTTGCCAAATCCTGGGAGGCAACACACCTCCTGCAACTGGAGTTCAGTATTCTGTCTCTGAGGTGAACATCAAGACGGTCATACATGTGCCAGGCCCTGGGAGAACTCCTGCTCGTCCTCTGGGAGTTCAGGGAAATCCCTGGGCACTGAGATCACTGCTCCTCTAAGCCAGGGCCTCCCAGTCACTTCTCCTGTTTCTACACTAACAGTGTCCAACAATCTGACAGTTTCAAGGCCAGGGAAGCTAGAGAGGCCTTGCAGCCAGGCCATCCACAGTGTGTTTCAGACAGGACTGGCTGGGCTCCAGCGAGGGAAGTGGTTGCCCTGAAGTCCTGCAGAGTGGTTTTGAAAGAGTTTTGTAGGATATATCACCTGGGTTGGATGTTGCTTTCTTTTATGTGTTGAAATACCTCACTCCAAGCTCTCCTGGTCTTAATGGTTTGTGTTGAGAAGTGTGCTGTATTTCTAATGGTTTTACATTTATAAGTGATTCCTTGCTTTTCTTTATGAGGTTATAAGATTCTGTTCTCACCTTGGACTTCCCAGGTATTGACTGTCATATGTCATGGGGAGATCCTTTTCTGATTGTGGCTACTTGGGGTTTCATCTGTCTTTCTTATCTGCATGTCAGGTTACTTCCCCATATTCAGAAAGTTTTCTGCTATTATTTCTGTCACATTTTTATGCCATATGTGCTGTCTTGTGGTTTTTCACTTATTCTAGTTAGTTGTCTGTGCACCGTCTAATAGCTGTTGGATCTACTGTCCATGTTGCAATTTTGTAAGGTGTCCCTGAGTATTTGGGCACTGACACCAGCCCAAATACAGCCAAATGATCTTCTAACTCCAGTGCTCTGTCTTTGTGATCATTTCTGTTGCCACACTTTGGATACAAATTTAAATCTCCTGGATTTCTGTTTGGTACCATTTATGGACTCAAATTCTTTGCTAAGTCACTCATTTATGTTGTGTATCTTTTTTTTTTTTTTTTTAAGCTCAGGTAGCTTTGTAGTAGTGTATTTTGTAAATTCACTGATCATTTTGTGTAATCTAAATTTTTATCACCTTGAATAATTCAGATGATAATTCACTGTCACTACTGTGGAAATCTCTTTAGTTAGTGTTTTTCAGTGATGCTCTAAGAGGTGTGGTGAACCAACAAGCCTTTCTCTCCATTGTTTAAGTTTTAAGAATATTGTTATCTGTTCTTTTCAAGGGTATTGATGTGTAGATTATCTCTGTGATACTTGTGTCCGTTCTGAATAATCACAACAGTGACCTCATAAGTTGAGAAATTTTTCTATTCAAATTCTTATGACAATGTGTAAAACTGATACTATTTCTACCTTCAGTGCTGGTTAAAATTCAGCAGTGAAGCTATTCAAGCCTGCAGGTACTGGGAAAGTTCTAACCAATTCAGTGTCTTCCATGCAAATGAGGCACAGGCCCAGAAACTTGGATCCTTTTTGTCTTTCAAGAAGTTTGTCCCCTGCATCAAAGCATATTCTCTCTAGTATTGTAAAGCCATATATCGAGTTCAGTCATCCTAGTACTGTAATCCTCTTTCTAGTTTTCCTCCCGATCCCTAAAGTTGTATTTGTAATCCCACTGAAACCTTATTGGAATCCCAGTAAGTCAATTCTAATCTCCCACCACCAATGCAATGCACGGTGAGAGTAAAAACACCAAGACATATTCCAAATTAAGGGCAGCCAAGGGGTCCTAAATCCAATCCCCATGAGAACATGTGGACAAAGACCTTGATCCCAGGCCTCCCCCAGAAGTTATTAACTTGTCCAGAAGAGGGGTGGCTCAGGGATGAGTGACAGTGAAGATGGTGGGGAATTATGTAACTTGAGCTGACTGGCCAGGTGCAAGATGGACATCTCTGCAAATTGAAGACATAAAGATACACAGAAGGATCAATTTAAATAATCCAACTAGGATAGCAATGGAACTGTTTTGGCTGGCTACTGCTTTGGTTTCTGATATGCAAACTCTTGTGCCCTGAGGAGTCATATCTTCTTATCTTGAGGCTAGTACCCAGCTGACATTCCCAAAGCTATTTGCTCTAACGTCTCCCTTGCTTAATCCTGTACACAGAGAACACTATGCTAGGAAACAGGACTGTCTGTTGGCTATAGAGACCTCTGCTACTCTTAACTGCAATGCTTAGAGCCAACTGAAGAGAGAAGGAAATACCCTAGCCAGCTTTTTACATATAAAAAGCACACAAGGAAATGAGTCTCCAAATAATCAAAGTCACAGTAATTGTTTTGGATTCAAAGGGAGTCACTGGAGTTATCTCCCACACTCTAGTATAAAAAAGCAATAAAAAACTGAGAGTAAAAAGATCCAAAGTGATAAAAATCTGAAACAGCAGTATGATCCAAAATCGACATTGTAATAATGGAAGAGAAAGAAAGTGCTTTAAAGGATGTAACTGTATGTATAAGTCTGCAAGATAGGTAGCCATATTAGTAAGTTTTTGTTAGTTCATCAAACAGAATAGTTTGTACTGTCATTGATTGATTGTCCATTTTTTATGCTTTGATTTTGTAACCTGAACAACTACTTCTAGGATAACAATATGTAAGTTATCAACTAGTGATTTCTTACTGTTATTTTTGACTAGTCATTTCTTACTGTTATTTTTTAAATTCTGTATTAGCTCTACCCTTTGTCTGTTCTGCTTTTTTTCTCTTAAAAAAAAAAAAGCTATAATGCAGTGACATCGTAAAACGTCAGCTTTAAGAAGGCTCAAATCACTAACACCTTCTGACAATTGCTGGCTACACTGTAACTGATTATTTTTATAGACTGATGGACTGTACAGGATTTAAACTGTGAGAGTTCTCCTAACACAGCTTCTTCAAGCTTCAGCCTACCACCTATCTTGTGTGAAAACTAAACAAAAAGGAGGAATATGTTGGGAGCCATTGAAACTGGAAATTGAACACATGGCTGGAAGGAAAATAAGGGCAGAGGACACCTGGCTCCAATTCCAATGAACTAAAGACTGTGGCCACCGGAATTTCACCCCTGTAGTGAAATGCAACATGAGGATCTTCTCCTAAGATACTTCTCCTTGTTAACATAATTGGTTACTTGCAAAGTCCTTGAGCCACTCCTAAGGTCTGTTCAATTTCCTGTATTTTCTATTTCAACCTCGTAAATACAGGCAATCCAGAGGCATTCCCTGTCTTAAGCACCAGAGTCCCTGAATTCCATAGAGGGTTTTGATCCTCCTGAGCCCTAGAATCATACCATTTACCTCATGTATTTAAGCTTTTGCTGTACACGTATTTCAAATACTGAGGATCTAGGCCAGGTCCCTGATACAGAAAGTAACGTAAAAGGACAGAAATAACACATAATTTGCAAACACTGAGGAATCTTAAAACCAACCATAAATTGTACAATGCAAACATGTTTTTTGAAAGAGTTTGGCCCAGACAGGACACTGTAGCTGGTAAAGCCAAGGGGCTCTATCTCCCCCACCCCTAGGAATCTACCTCTGGCGCCAAACTAGTGCCAATGGGCTTACCTGTGCATCCCTAATGCCCTCTCAGGCACCACCCCTAACCTATGCTACATATAGGCCCCCACTCCATGTGTTCCACAGAGAGATCAGCAACCCTGGGGTGGACATACCCCACCCCAGGGGATCGGGCATATCTCTCCCTGCATTCTCAAAATAAAGATCATTTACATTTCATACTTATCATTTCAACCACTGCTGGTCCCCCACAGTTCTATCATATGGTTCCCTGAGTGGGAACAGCAGATGAGAGACTCCTGGGCTTTCTCCCAGTTTGAGTTCCCTGCCATTCAGGACCAGAACCGGACTGCATCCTGCATTAATTCCTCACTTCTACACTCAGGAGCTGTAAATTTGTTGCTGCCAGTTCGCAAACAACACCGACCCAGTTTACCACAGGTAAGCAACTCCCGGAGATTGCCACTTGGCCAGGCCCCAGGTGGGTTTTCTCCTCCTTTCCGTGGGTTCCCGTGATGCTCTCACACCTTAAGACAGCCCAAGGCAGGGTTTTTCTGGGCAACCTGTGTCCACACTTGGAGACTCTCACATCCTTTGGGTTCGGATTCCCCAAAGCAGAGTTTTCCTTGACCAGCCCACACTGAGAGACTCTCACGTCCTTCAGAGCTTTTTAAGTTCTCACGGGCAGAGATGTTATTGAACCCATGTGGAAGTCCACTCATAATATTGGTGATGGCCAATTATTAGGAGTTTTGGAGCCATGTAATAACCGATAGGTCTGGAGTGCAAAGTGATGACTTTAAACTTGACAGACCACGGTCCGTTGCCTCATCTGATTATAACTCGGTGGGCTTAGACCCCACACCAGATTCCCAGATTCTATCTTGGGGACCACTTCCTGCCCCCCCCCAAGAACCATACCTATCTATGGCTTATCATACTGATGACAAGTTTACAAAACTCTCTGTCTTTAAGCCTTTAAGCCTTTAAGCCTTTGTTTTGGGAATGTGTGTCCTTTCCTGCTCCTCCAGGATCCCTCCTCCTCCCCACACTTAAAGAGATAACAGCATCTTTCCTTTCAGAGCTTTCTCAGCATCTCTTTGTCTCCTTGCTGCTTCGGTTCCCCCTGCCACGCCCATTGTGCGCGTCAGCCCATTCCCTTCTGGGGTGGGGGTGCGAGCCTGGGCAGTGTTGAGGGGTACGCAGGGCTGCTTTGGGCTGCTTTGGACTTTTGCTCCACCTCCCGGCTCCAGGCTCCACACAGTGTCTCGGCTCTCATGCGACCAGGTCTATGCAGTTTGGCTTTAATGCCACGCCCTAATCCGCACACCCCACGAGCAGTTCCAGCTTTGAGCGGTGCCCTTCGGACAAGGTTCCAGTGTATAAAGTCCCAGCTTCATGCTGCATCAGGCCACCTCCCAGCCCCGCCCGCCACTGCTGCCACTTGCCACCTCGCTGTCACCATCGCCGCCGCCTTGTGTGTTTTTGGGGGCAGTCCTAGTCCACCTGGCATGCTACTTCCTGATGCTCCCCCTGCCCCCACGTTGGGCAGAACACAAACACAGATAAACAGCAGCTCGGCAGCTCCGCTCAGACATGCTATTTTTTTTTTTTTTTACAATTTTCAAACAATTTAATCAAAGTTAAATAAGCCAGCAATATATGAGACTTTGGCTGATAAACGTAAAAAATGGCCACCTGGTAATTTTACCAGCCTTGTTTATCAATCACAGCCTTAGCTCTTCTCCAAAACAAGGAAGGTGGTGAAAACACATAAAATGATTCAATATATTTTAGATTACTGAAAGAAAATCAATTCAAGGGTTTTGTTGAAAGTTTTAATGTCTGAGAAGCGAGAGAAAAAGCTCAACTTCAGGGTATATAGTAAGTTGTAGAAAGCTCGAGAGGATGTGAATAAAGAAAGTGGTTTTGTTTTCAAGTAAAAATGTTTGGCTATGCCAGAATGTGAAAGAAGATAGGACAAGCTCAACGTGAGGGTATATAGTAAGTTGTAGAAAGCTCAAGAGGATGTGAATTTTATTTGTTATGGTTGTAGTACTGCAAATAACAGGTTTGAAAAGAAGTAAATGTGTTCAGAATTTGACAATATTAGATCAGTTTTGGTAGATTTATTCATAAGGTTGGTGAACCTTTACTGCAAAATGTTTCCATTAAAATGAGATTATACTTCAAAAGGTGAGGGCAGACTGAAGCCTTTTTTGTTAAGTATGTAATTCCACACGGCATCCTAGAAAAAAAGCGGTGTGCCATCCAGATAAAGCCTGCTCTCTGATCTGAAATGACAAAACCATGTTTACATTACAGGCCACTCAAAGAGGGCAGTGGGGCCAGCACTGCAGCAGAAGTCAAACTTAAACCTTTTCCCAGCCTATATAACACCGTACCTGATTTCTCTCCTAAATAAAAGAATAAAAATTAATAAACAGGCCATCTAAAAATCAGATGGCATTAGACATTTTAATACCATAAAGAGATACATATATATGACATAAATAACATGTCAGTAGTTCCTAAAGTTCTCTGGACCTTGTCCTCCTTATGGGAAGTCATTTCTAAAGTTATAAATACCCTGTTGACTCCAGCATACTTACTTAATTCTACAGATACCTTCCTCTGTAGTCCAGATCCCAAACAAAAAGGCAAAACTTGAGCTTCAATCTCCACAGAGACCTTCTTAATATGGCTTTTCATATTTTCAACAACAGAAAGAACACTAGTGACACTTGGAGTTCTGAGACAGGTAAACTTACACAAGGTGGAGCTGCCTGCCCCCCCCCCCCATGGACCATGCTCAAATGCAGCAGAAGACATTGGGCAAGAGAGTGCCCCATCCTGGCATTCTTTGAGACCTTACTCCAGGGCTACTGGACTGTCCTAGCCACCAGAGAGTGGATAAACCATCCTAACTTCCAGCCCTCACAGGAAATGTCAACACTGCCAGAATTGTCGCTGACAGAAACTTGCTGCTGAAGACTGACGGGGCTCAGGGCCAGCAGCCCCTTTTATGGGTGTCTGTCTCAGAGTCCAAGTCTCACTAAAAGTCTCAGGTAAGACATTCTCTATACTTGTGAACATAGAAGCCATATGTACAGAATTCTTCCTGAGCTTTCAAGCTGCTATAGTAAGTCCTCAATCTCTATGATCGGGTACTGGTGGTCAACCTATGCCATTTATAAACAGGACGTATTTCATGCAGGTCCCCAGACTGCTTCTTCCCAGTCCACCCAATGGTGCCAAATCTTCCCTCCATCACTCACTCTTTAGTCCTAAACCTTAAAATGCCTTTTATTCTCTTGTGTTTATACAGGCTGACTTAGACATACTGAGGCCTCAACAGCTTACACCTGTTATCACTAGTAAACCTCTCCTCAGTGATATAAGACCACCCCCTTCCTTTCTTATTCACCAATTTCTCAGGTAACCCTGATCAAGACTGGCAGATAAATTTTGTCTTCTCATTTTGTTTATACTTTTTCAGGATACATGAAAGCCTTTCCCACAACCAGGGAGACTGTTGATATACTTGCTAAAGTCCTGTTACAGCAAATCATTCCAAGGACTACAACCAGGTTACAGCGACCCATACCTGATATTCTTGGCAACCTCAACAGTGATCAAAGTTGCTAGTCTGTCATTCTGGTTCCACATCACTCAGGCTAAGTGGTGTCCTTCTAGCCCTAGATCTAACCATCCTTTTCCTACTCGTCTCTGCCTTACCAAGGCCTCACAGCCACGACTCTCAGGCTAAGTCATGGATACACTTTGGTTCCTAATTTCTTACGTTCTATTAATGATCATTTTTACAGCAGGACTCGTAACAGTATTTCCTAAAGACTCCAATGTCATGCATACCAGAGACAAGCCTTACCTACCTACCCTTTTAACTTTTACCCTTTCAGATGGGGGAATAATCACCTCTCGTAACTTCACTCCTCGTAACCCCACATTTATTTGTAACCCCACATTTAATTTTCAGAATTCTGCCTTCCCATGGAAATGTTTCTACCTCAACATCCTCCTGATATAATGACATGTCTAAATCAAAGGCACCTTTCTTTTTACCTCACCTGGGTCCTTAAATATGACAGTGCCATGTCTCCTCATAACATCTTTTCTCTTTGTTTTTCCAGTCTAACATACGTGCATTCACCAGTGAAGTTGTCGTGGCTAAAACACCTGGCACCAGCTTCTACCTGGGCATCAACCATCATCCCGTCAATTCCCCTAGACCCCAGTACAGCGCCCTCTGCCAGCAGGAAGCATATAAAGAGAAAAATCTTTGCCCCTTTTCATAATAATAATCATAAGATGGGATATAAAAGAGTTTCGGCCCAGACAGGACACTGTAGCTGGTAAAGCCAAGGGGCTCTATCTCCCCCACCCCTAGAAATCTACCTCTGGCGCCAAACTAGTGCCAATGGGCTACCTGTGCATCCCTAATGCCCTCTCAGGCACCACCCCTAACCTAAGCTACCTATAGGCCCCCATTCCACGTGTTCCACAGAGAGATCGCTGAGCCCAGGGTGGAGATGCCGTGCTCAGGGGATCGGGGATGATTCTCCCCGCATTCTCAAATTAAAGCTCATTTATATTTCATACTTCTTATCTTTTCAGCCACCACTGGTCCCCCACAGTTCTATCAGTTTTCATAATTCCTTCTTCTATAAAGCCAATAAGGGGTTTTAGTGTCACTACCTTTTATATTGTATACTATCAATAACAGTAATATTTACATGTAGCATTTAAAATTTAGGTGTGTTTTATAAAGTCACATGTAGTTTTATCAGAAAACTTTAAAGATTATGTACTTGCTAGAAAACCATACCACTATGCAGATGCATAGACAACCTGGGCCTCTTTAGGCCTGATTCACGCTTTATGTGATAGTGTGATTAAAGAGAAAAGCTTCATTAAAATGGGGTCACACTGTAAAATATGTTTCACACAAAACTTTAAGTTTTTAATTTTGAACTCAGTAAAAATTTTTAAATATGTTCATTTTGTTTATGAAATCAACATTGCATCTCATCTTTTCATTAGTGGTTTTTAAAATTAGTTTACATAAAATGATGAGAACATATGTATTAGGTATAGATATGGAAAATAAATATAGATATGGACACAATATGCAGAAGCCACCTTTTTCCTACTGTTTCCTTGAATTGCCTTTATTGCTGATACTACATACTGGTGGTATTGGAAAAAGGATAGCTCAAAGGATAGGAATAAAAATCACAAGGTTTTCTGTATTTAATACATGAGAAAATTTTCCAGTCTCTGTAGCTCCAACTGTTTTTAAAAGCCTGTCTTCAAAAAGAAATGCCAAATATGGGAAAAGCGTATTACTTTGGACACAAAAGCAATCCCTCGAGGACATATGTCATATAATGTAACACACGCTGTGGCAGCCATGTGCATATAGTCCTATGGTCTGACCACGGAACCATGATTGCTGTTCAGGCTCTCAAATGCAGCGTGTGGTTAGGCTGAGGCCACACATTTTACCCACTACTCCCAAGCAGTCATTGAGCACAGCGAGGATAGCAAGGCAAGCCAGCTACTGGAAGCTTAGTCCTTTAGTAATGCTGACATGGACTCAGAGGCTTCCCCCTGGCTTGGAGAGATCCTTATAACTTCACAGCAGTCTAGGATCTAAGTTTACTTTCTTTCCTCTTTTCTGCACAAAATCAGATCCTTACACTAGTCTGACTATTCTCCTAGCCTCCTTTCCACTTAGTTTCCACTTTCATCATAGACATTTTTCTTTAGTAAATTACTTGCACATCAAATTCTGTCTTGTCATTTGCTTCATCAAGAATACAAGAAACATACCGATTCTGTTTTCTTTGGAATTTCATGAGAAGTTCTTAGAAGTTTTACGATCGATTTTTAATTTAGCACAGTAAAAGCAGTCTTTGTTTTTAAAAGGCTGGGCACATAGTTAGAAAATACATCATTTTGTCATGGTGGACAGATTGTAATCTAGCTCAAGACAGCCCTGTAGTTTCATTTTCCTTCTTTTAAGAAACCTATTGTCTTCTGAAAATAAATACTGACAGCTCTTCTTGTGGACACACGTGCAAGAGAAACGATCAATGTGAACTAAATGAAAGCAGAAACACTCCTTAGAAGTCTGAGACCAGAAAGATCAGCTTAAGTGTCATCTTTGTCCTTCAAATAAAGAAATATGTATGTATGTGTTATGAAGAAAATGTAGGGCAGTGTCACAACACGAAAGAAAGAGTAGCATAGAAACAAGGTATTTTTGAGTATTTAATAGAAGAAGCAAATAAAAATTGAACAGTTTTAGACTTCATGAAATCATTTTTGGAAAAGCATCTTCATTTTAAAAGATTTCAGTATCTGTAAAAGAAGGTTGGGCCAGGGATTTAGCTTGGCGGCACAAGTGCCTGCCTGGCAAGCTCGAGATCATGAGTTTGATCACTAGTACCAAAAACCAAAACAAGACAGAAAGAAAGAAACATGCCTGTAATCTCAGCACTCAGGAGGATCACTGCAAGCTTGAGACCAGCCTGGGCTACAAAGTGAGCTCAAGGCCAGCCTAAAACCTTCATGGTGAGACACCATCTCAAAAAACAAAAACAAACACAAAACAAAACAAAACAAAGGTTATGTTAGAAAGTCTATAATGCCTAATATAAAATATAATATTCTATGACTTATTAGTTTGTTGCTTATACAATGCTTAATATATGCTTAGTTTTTGTTAAGCTCTGACATACAAATCTTCAAGGAGAAAAGACAGGCAATAAATGAGGCAATTAATATTGTGAAAATGTGTGCCTAGAGTGTGATGGAATATAGCATAGAAACACTTAATTCACTTCTATGAGAGAAGTTGAGAAAGGCATTTCAGAGGAAGGAATTCACAGGGAGAGCTAAGACACCAGTTCAGGTCCTAGCTGGCGTGGGACAGGGGAGGATGTGTCTGAGTAGCTGCTGAGCCATTATGTTACAACATAATGGAAAAGAGTCTAGGAGAGACTTTAGAAAATGGCACACTTTGATCAAAGGACGCCAGTGAATGGGCGATGTGGAGGGGCCATGAGAGACAGTACAGTTGTCAAAGCCCTTGGAATATCAGGAATTTTATCCAAAGCCATGAGAAAATCTAGGCAGTTTCTTTTACCTTTTAGAAATGCCACTTTAAATGTGGTAAATCAGAATTGTGTGAAGGCAAACCAGATCAATTCATTAGAAATCTATCAGAAATCAATTCATTAGAAATCTATCAGAAATAATTCATAGTTCATATTATGCTTGCAGGTAGTTCATATTATGGTTGATTGTATTTTGTTTGTATGAACAAAAAAAGGCACAAGGAAATCTGATGTGCTAAAGAACTTGTGGTCTGCAGTGCATGAAAATAGAAGGGACTTGTGACTCTTTCCCTGAATTCTTTTTTTCATGTTAGTCCTGGATCTAGCATCAAGCACTTTGCCTGTGTACCTGGCCCTCTTCACAGTAGTTGGCAAAAATTTATTCTTGCCTGGATTTCAGAGTAGAATTAAGAAGCTGACATGGTTGAAGGTTACTGCTAGGTTTAGTTAAAAATCACTGGTGTAAATAATTTCATAGGAAACTGAGTTTTACAGAGTTAATATTCCAGAAATTAGGCGACTTTTTTCTGTTACCAAATTAACTTGGATGATATAGATACCTCTCAGTTCCTTAAAGGACATTATTCTGAAATTTTCCCTGGAACTGTCTACCACTTAGAAATGAATCAGGCTTGGAGTCACAAGGAAGATGAGGGATATATGCACCGTAAGTGGTGTTAAGTAAAGAACAGTGAATGAAAGGTGACTGAAAAAATAAGTCTGCAAATCAAGGTCAAATATACCTTTCTTTAGTTTTTCCTCGAAGTTTTTAGTAGAATGGTTATACCACTAGAAACCTGGGCATCTTGGTGTTCCTGTTACCCCTTTCCTGGTGAGTGTGCTATGCTCTGATTAGTTTCCAAGGAACAGTATTGGGAGTTTCTGTGTATACACCCGCAACAGCCCCCAGCAGTACCTAGTATATCAGGCACTCAGTAAACACTTGTTTTAGCAAGCACAACTCAGTGACTTTTTATACTTTAAAAGAATACCGTTAATTTTCAAATGGCCTCTGTCTTATACATACCACTTTCTGTTTATCAGCATATGTTTGCAATACATCATCGTCACCCTCGTTTTGGGGGACTGGTATATAGATCTACCATGTCTTGATCATTTCTGACCCATTTGCCTTTCCTTCCCTTTTCCTACCCTGACCCCTTTTTCATCTTCAAAATGTTTACCTTTTTGCTTCATACATAACTCTATCTCTTTATGTTTATGCTTTAGGTTTCTCATATAACAGAAATTAAATGCTGAAACTTTAATTTCTATGAATTATGCTTCATCTGATCATTGGAATGTGTTAGGAGGTTTGAGGGGGAAAGATCAAACCAGAGACAAGTTTTCTTCAGTAGTGAAAGGTAAGAAAGTCTACTAAATCAAGTAGACTTTTGAGTCCTGGAAAGGCCTCCTGAGAGACCTGTGTTCTGCTTTGTTCCCTCAAGGTCCCTTCTCCGTGGATAATGGGAAAGTACTGGGAGCTTGTGACACAGGACCAGTGTGGGGGCCCTGCCCTGGACTTGTCCCCATGCAGATGGGCACACTGTGAGCCAGGCTTGTTGGCCAGCACAGCCCTCTCAGCCCTTAGCTGTGACACCAGGAAATATTGTGAGCCTCTGGGTTGAGCCAACAGGGACAGGCTCTGCCTTCAGACATTTCCTGGTGTTAGGGATTTCCCTGGATTTAGGGATGACCTTGTGTGGACCAAGGTGAGGCGAAGCCTCACCCCGCCCCATAAGGATGAACTCGGGGTTCATTTGAAGATGATGTGATGAGCTGTGCACAAGGGAGAGAACATCGTCCCACATGTGCACCCTGGCAGGGCAGTGACTGGGTATCAGTAGGGTGCTACAGGGCCCAGAGAAAAGAGGAGGTAAGGGGATAGAACCAGTCCATTTTATGCGGAGAAGGGGAAGCACTGAGAAGGGATGGTTAGAGGCTTCTGGCAGCAGGGACACAGTCTGCATAGGCAGGGGGTCCCCAGAGGCGCAGGACATCTCAGGTGATGCAATGCAAGTACCATACTATGGCTAGGGTTAAGAGAAACTGAGACCATGGGCTTGTTAGGAGCAGCTCCTGCGGCGCTAAAAAGTGAAACTCATAGTGAAGGGGAGATGATTTAGTCACTAGGGCATGGTAGCACATCCATGAAAGACCCTCCAGTATTTTAAAAAAATTTTGCACAGGGTCTAAGTTGAAGAGGCTGGCCTTTAACTTGCAGTTTTCCTGCTTCAGTCAGCAAAGTAGCTGGAATTACAAGCAGATACATCCTTGTCTGGTAACATCACTGGAATTTGTAATGATATCTTCATTGCATGTATGTTGTTAAGTTTTATACTGACAATTTTTCCTTACAGGTTTTTTATTTTTATACATATGGATAGTCCCCAAATTATTTTTAAAGTTTATTTTTTTTTTTGAGCTGGCTTCTTTACTACATTTATTAATCTATCTGAAACTTCTGGTTTAAATAATAGGTCAAATTGAACAGTTATTTCAACAATGAACTTTCATCATATTTGACCATTTCACAAGTTGTGAGGATCATGTCTGAACAGTATTCCAAGTCTCTGAGATCAAATATCTCTTTTGAGAAGTGGCCCTCTATACTGATTTGCTAAAACTAACATAAATACCCTCCAGAAGCTGAATAAACACAAGTACCTTATGTTGAAATTTGGGGGACTACAAGTCCAAGGTCAAAGTATTGGAGGGGTTGGCTTCTCCTGAGTCCTTTCTCCTCGGCTTATAGATGGCCAGTTTCTCCCTGTCTTCATATTCTTCTGTGTCTGTGTCCTAATCTCTCCTCCTTAAATGGACACTAGTCACACTGGATTAGGGCCCATCTCTGTAACCTTAATGATCTCATGAAAGATTCTGCCTCCAAATGTCAAAATATCACATTATGAGGTACCAGGTATTAGGACATCAAAATTTGGATTTGGGGTAGAGATGGGAGAAACTCAGCCCATGACATCTTGCAACTGTAGAAAACAGGGCTGCAGTGGGGAAGTAAAGTCAGTAATAAACTCCTATCCATTTAAACCACTTTTATTCAAGTTATCTATTCCTCCTTCAAAGCATTTCTAGTGAACACAAATTTCAACATCCCACATAGAAGTATATTAGAAAAGAGTATTGTTACTAGTACAGGTTTACAATACAAAGTGATCATATTCACAATGGGGAGTTGGTATGTATATACATCTTAATTCTTTTTTACTCCTTTCCCTCCCTTCCCCAAGAATATACATTTTAAAAGGTGATTATGACTGAAAATATCCCAAACTTGAGCTGTTTTACACCTTCATATGAAAACTAGTTCCCTGTCAGTGTGCCACACACTTGTCTGCAGAGACAGAAGAGCCAGCGAATGAACACTCAAAAGTAACTGCAGAAATAATCCAGAAACCTCTGTGGGTTGTGTCTGACCTGCCTCTCCCTCTGCTTTGAATATGGACTTGATAAGTGAATTTAAGCCTCCATACTTTCATATCTTCACACTTAAGTCTCCCCTCCCAAAAGACTGTCATCATGAAGAGGACCACTCTTTCCTTCTTACTTCACACTACCTGCAGGAGAAAAACAAGGCCATGTCTTTGCCCACTGGCATCCAATCTTCGATACAAATTTATTTGGCTCATATAATGCAAAAGATCTTATTTCCACTAAAACAGCATTTCAACATTATTAATGAAGCAGTAACTTTAAATGACTATAATGTGGGGAAGTATGCTGAAATGAGTCTGTGTTAGTATGCTGTCTGAATAAAAAAAAACTAAGAGGGAAAAAGGGAAATAAATAGCTTTCATTTAGCTTTTCAATAATTAAATGTTACCTTCATTTGGTAACATCTACTTACAATTCTTTTTTTTCCATTCTTAGATAACATTTAAGTGATGTCCATTATTTCCAATCTTGGTGCTTCCATGTCATTCTCTCCTTGAATATAATTCCTCCCACTGCTACTGCTCTCAATTTATAGAAAAATAAAATTTCATCATCAAATATATTATACTATGTGCCACTATCTTCAAAGTAGTTAACTCAGACTACATAAAACAAAGATTCTTCCAAACTGATACTAAGATAATACAAGCTTTCCTTTCTAATGAACTCTAAATAAAACCAACTAGCATAGAGATATTGAAATATTTTTAAAATGGAATTTGGAGGTATTTTAACTTCTCCCTGTTTCCTACTTATTTCTTTTATTCCGTGTTTCTCATACAAGAGAAACCATGCAATGTTTTAGCTTGTATGTCTGATTTTACAACACTATGTTCCCAAGTAGCATCCACTTCCTACAAATGCCTCAAACTTGTCGATGTGGCACTATAGTATGCAACTGTATGTGTACAAATACACTTTGCTTATCCATTTGTTAATGGACAGAATTTCTAAGACCTATCTGTCATAAATTATGCTGCTATAAACACAAGAATGCATTTATCCCTGTAATATGATTTAACTCTTGGGAAGATGCTTAGAGCTGGTCAGAAGAACCTTGTTTTTAGTTTTTTGAGGAACTTTTACATGGATTTCCCTTGTGGTTGTACTAGTTTATATTCCTGCCAATGACGTAGGAAGAGTTCCTTCCCTCTCGTATCCTTTTCTTCTTCCTTCTCCTTTTAATTCTCAAGTAACTTGCTTTTGAGTTCACAAATTCTTCCACTTTGACAATGCATTCTACTGACATTCTCTATTAAGCTGCTCTGCCAAACCTTAGAATTGTTTTAAAAGTATTTCCTTGAAAAGAGCTGTACAGTATTTTGAATGATTTCTCCACTTCTTTGGTTTGTTTTTTTCTGTACTTTGTGCTGTTACTGTTTTAATCCTTGTATTTAGACACTGTTGGACACTGATGTCTCTATCTAGCCTTTGTAGCCAAGCATTATCTGAGGATGTCACTTAACAGTAAGACTGTCCAAAAGTTCCAGGCAAGATCATTACTTATGACTCCTATACCTATGACCACTTTAGCTGCTAAAACACTAAAGGACAAACTAAACCTAGAATGGCCATGCTGAGGACCAGCTTGATATAATGTAAGCAATATTAATAAATTGGCACAAGAATAAATCAAGTCTGTCATAGACCTATGTGAATTGTGGCGAGAACTGTGGCTGGCTTATGGACAGGTTAATCCTTAAACCAATGGCCAGAACTGAGACTAGTGAACAATTCATGAAGTTCCAGTGCCTCAAAAACAAGACGAAATGGCATCTGTGGACTCTGACTCACCAAAATTCTCTCTAGCCCAGTAGTCAGTTAGCAGTCAAGTTACAACTATGAGCGGGTCCTGTGTTCTCTTCCAAAAACACATTCTCAATTTTTGAACGTTGGCCGCATCAACAGCTCACCCCCACTGCTTCCTGGAGCCATTACCTTCAATCCCATTACCTTCCCATTACCTCAAAGCCGTTATGTTCATTACCCATTACCTTCAATCAAGCTGTACACTTAATGATGGCCAAGGACTCTGTGCCTTGTGGTCTTAGTCCTTACTGGGCTCCAACCATCCCAGTGCCCCTTTTTACTAAAATAGAAATATACTTTGTGTTTTATTGTACCCAAGCAGGAGACTGGTGGTCACAGGCCAGGCCAGGGCCCAATACTACCACAGATGCTCCACCAACCTGGACCCAATTACCTGACTGCTGAAGTCTGTCTGTTGCTGTAAGTTATTGAGACCAAGACTACAATTAGCCAGTAGTGATGCAGAATAGAACATTAGTTTATTTCACCATTCCCATCTGACAGAGTAGTGGCCCTACAGAATCCATTTTGGTTAGCGCCCACCAGTCATTGAGTGGCCTTGGGAGTCCTTTGGGGACTGAGTTTCACCTTGGCAAGTGTGATTATGGATCCCAGGAGTGCTGTATACTTAAATTCTTTCCCACATGTGGCAGACAGCATCTCTCCATGCTATGTTGCTTTGGTTTGGGGCAAGTGTCCTCCAAGTACTATAAACCCACCCTATCCTCTTCAGTGCATCTTTTATTATGCCACAAGTAGGGTCTGCACATTCAGCTGGCTTCCTTGACTCAGGTGAAACTTATTTCCTGTATAAATAATTGTTTAACAGATGTTTCTTCAGGGGATAATGATGAAGTCGTTTTTGCCATCCTGCTCTGTCCCTTTTCCAGTAATACCATTCTGATATTCAGATGGTTTGGAATGACAGCTTTTAAGAAATTTGCAAGTTTCTTCTAAAGACCACTGATTAAACTGTTTTAAAGTTGTAATTTCAATGTTCATCAGAGGAGATTCACTTTCAGTGTGATAAAGCAAGAAAGGTAATGAATCCTTTTCCCCTTTCAAAAGATACGAAATATAAAGCTTTACAAAAAAATCAAATTGATTTTAACACTTTGGAACTCAATAAAAGACATTTATGCATAATAATTGCTAATGCCTCAGTTAAAAACACTTATGTCTGTCATATCCCTGCCCACCAGGACTGCTTCTACCCTATGGCAACTCCGTAAGGTCAATGGTTTAACCAATGAGAAGGTAGATCTTAATGAATAATGTTTGTTCTCTGCTAAGAACTTAATTTGATGCACTAGAAGTTAAATTTGTGCCCTAAGTGATGAATAGTTTATTAACCTGACGTTTTTAGTCCTGTTGAGGTTAAAAAAAAAAAAAGAGAGAGAGATGAAATAAGTGTTTAACTGAAATTTCTGGGAGGTAAGAAAGTCACAGGAGCTCAGTTAGCACTTCACACATACCACAGACACAGGGAACAGAAAGCTCTCAAGCATATGCAAAGGCAGAAGCAAAACTGCCCAAAAGAAATCAAAGGCCAGGGCTGGGGATTTAGCTCAGCAGTGGAAGCATCTGCCTAGCAAGCATGAGGTCATGAATTTGATCTCTGGTACAAAAAAAAAAAAAAAAAAAAAAATCAAAGGCCAAGACAGACTGAATGTAGTTGTTTGATCATACACAGATCTATCAGCAGAAAGCAGAAAGCAGGAGCCTCAAGAAATGGAAAGGTTTAAGCAGTCTGTAACTACTAAGCTAAGCAAACAGCAGCTAATGCTTAGATAACAATACTGAAAAAAAAACTTAGCAAGGCTACCAACAGCTATGCACAATGCAATAGAGACAGAAGTCACAGATTCTGTTGAGGCCTACTAATCAAAGGAACAATGGTAGGGCAATGTACATGTTTGCCATATCTTACTATTTGAAACTGAACAAAAGATAACAAGGGATATCAAGAAAGAAGCATTACTCTTAAAAAAGGAAGTCATGTTCATAGAAGTAAACAAACTGTTAACTCAGGAAAAAAAAATTCCATGAAAGACCCAAAAGAAAAACTAGGAGCTGAAAAATATGAACAAATATTCAAGACATCTGAGATAGCACAAGAACAATCTGTGACAGTGAAACCAAAACAAACACAACAACAACAACCAAACCCTGAAATTACTCAATACAGAAAAAAGAATGGAAGGGAAAAAAAGAGACAAGAGTCCTGGAGTCCAGGGACAACACGAATTGTACCAATACATGTGTGTAAGGGGGATTACAGAGTAACAAAAGGACAGAAAATATATTTGAATAGCCAAGAATCTCCTGTCTGATGAAAGACAATCTACACATCAAACAAGCTCCAAAACCAAGCTATTTATAAAGAGCTATACCTAAAAACTGTTAAAATGTAAAAAAAAAAAAATCCTGAAACCAAAAACAAAACAAACAAAACCTATATACATAGATTAATAATATTTAAGAGCTGACTTCTCACTGAGAGTCAGGGTATGCTGGGATGACATTTAGAGATTCAAAGAAAAAATTTTCAACAACATATATCCTGAAAAATCTGTTCTTAAAAACAAAAGGCAAACTGGAAGCAGTGACACAAATTTGTAATCCCAGGAACATGGGGCATTGAGGCAAGAGTGAAACCTTGTAAAAAAAAAGGGCTGGGATGCAGCTCATTGGTAGAATGCCAGGAAAAATAAAAGACAAAAGGCATAATCAAACATTTCCAAGATGAAGAATAAGGACTTAAGATTGTTGAGTTTGCAATGTGTATAGCTACAATATACATTAACACCAGTACATGGACATATTGTGGAATGAAGTTCCTACATTTTATCAGAATTGTTAGTTGGAAGTAGACTATGATGATAAGATGTATACTGTCAGTTGGGCATGGAGAGTGTGCCTATAATCCTAGGCCTTGGGAGGCTGAAGCAGGAGGATCACTCTGAGTTTGTAGCCTAGGCTACATACTGAGTTTGAGGCCAGTCTGAACTACACAGCAAGACCCCATCTCACAAACTAAAAAACCAAACAAAAGGTGTACACTGTCATGTTTACAGCAACCACACAAAAAACATGCTCTCTCAAAACAGAAAAAAAAATTGAGAACTGAGCTGGTACCAAAAAAAGTATTTAAACAAAGTAAGATGAAGACAATAGGAGAGAAACCTTTTTAGAGATGAGAAAATCAGTAAACTAGTAGAGTATTTCAATACTGCAGATGAGCTAGTTGTGGTAGGCACGTGCCTATAACCCCAGGATTATAGCAACAGAGATAGGACTGCCAACAGTTTGAAGCCAATCCTGGGCTACACTGCGAGTTCAAGGCCAGCTTCAACCGTCTCAAAATAACCAGTAAAATATAGATGAACTGAAAATCCCACTGACATGGCAGTCAGACTGGACAAAAAGATCCAATAAAGGACTTTCATTCAGAATATATGATCAGGGGACAAAAGATTCCAACAGATACATCTCCAAAGTTATAAGCTCAGGAAAAGGTGTTCAACGTCACTAGAGATGCAAATTAAACGGCAGATTTAATTTGGTGACATCAGAATTTGCATGGCCCTAATTTGGAAGTGAGTGGTGTGACATAACACTTCATGGCTGTCGTGGTTTATGTCAGTGGCCCTCAAGCCTCATACAATTATGAAAGCAACCAAATCTAGTGTTTTGTGGTTGGTTTATTGTCTAGAGCTTGGATTGGTGGTGTGTTTCATCTGCCTAGGGGTGGAACCAGGACATGACGTATCTGCCGGAAGCTGTGCCTCTCTTGCAGGTTTACACCTTGCTGTTTGCAGCAGCCATGAATGGTGGCACCACCATGCCACCCTACCTTGGAGCCAACTGAGTATGGACTAAAACCTTCAAGAACTATAAGAAATAAATCTTTCCTCCTCTAACTTTGAGCATCAGGCATTTTGTCTCAGTGACAAGTAAAAATGAACTAAGACAATTGATAAATTATCAAGAAGTACTATAAAGGATATGAGAAACTCTCTTACATGCCTAGCTAAGAAAATAAAATTGTACAGTGACTCTCTATAAACATTCCCCACAAAATAACATGACAGAATTATGGGAGGCAACAGAAATGTTCTAAAACCTGTTTGTGGTAATGATGCCATAATAAATACATCTTTACACTCACAACTGATGACTTTCATAGCTTGTAAACTATGTCAATAAAGTCTGATTAGATAAGACATTACCAGTGTTTCATATGTATGTATTTATGTATATGCAGACAAAGATAGGGAAAGACAGCACACAAAAACTGAGTGTAATAAATTGGGAAACACAAAATAACTGATAATCTAAATTAAGGTTATATAAGAGGATATCCCTATAATTATCCTGGCAACACTTCTCAGTACTTTGAAATTACAAAATTTAAGATTACCTAAAGAAGGTAAAGAATCACATGATAAACTCTTTAACTTATCCATTTTCTTCAATGAAGACCATATGCAGCATAAGTTGTTAGAAAACTATAGTTAATTTTAATAAAATTACCTCCAGAAAATAACTTGAGTGTAAAGCCAATACAATGCACTCAAAAAAACTGTATGTAAATCCTATAACATGTTCATAATCCAAAATTAAGAGTGAAAAATAATTACATTCATTTTTAACTCGGGTAACTCAAAAGCTCATTATGAGGGACATGGGTTTTGGTTTACTTTTGCTTTTGAGATTAAGCCTAATTATAAAATTATTCAAAACAGAGATGCTAACTTGTTTATTTAATGAAATACTATTGCTTTCAAATAAACTTCACTAGTTGTAAGGACAATAATTGTTTTTTTTTTTTTTTGGCTTTCTGAGAAGAGTTTCACTATGCAGTTCAGGCTAGCCTTGAACATCCTCTTGCTTGTGTGTCCAAAGTGCTGGGATTATAGGCGTGTGCCACTGTACCCTGGCCCATAAGAACAGTAATCTTAATGAAAATGTATGTTGTATTTTTAAAAGGTTATAACCCTTTAAATTCAGATTGTATCTTTGTGTTTACAATTCTTTACTCTTGCATACTTTACAAAGCATTTTTATGTGTGCAACCTGTAGCATAATTAATTGCATCTTATTGATATTTTCATGATAGATATAGAAACAAGATTTATAGTCAATTGTGGTGGTATATGATTGTAATACCTGCTATTAGGACACTAAGGGAGAAGAATCACAGGTTCAGTGTCAGTTTGTGCAGCTAAGCAAGACTCTGTCTTAGAATAAAATTTTAAAAGGGCTGAGATGTAGCTAAGTGATACAGCACTAGCTCAGCATGCACCAGGCCTGGATTCAGTCAGTATCACCAACAGGAAGTGGGGGAGGATGGTTTACAAAAGCATCACTTCTTTATCAAAAGAAACATTACTATCACAAGATGAAAGGTCTCAAATAATCTTAAAACTGCAAATTTAAAATACTTACCAGGAGCTAAAGGCACAATTTTCATTCATAAACAGTAATCAACCACAAAGTCATTATTTACTTTCATCGTAATAACTGACCCGACATTTCTCAAATGAACTGCTTCCAATCCTGATAGTTCTTTATTTTTTAAAAATATATTTGTAGTACGTTGCTAATTTGCAAGAGATGGATCATGAGAATAAGCAAAATTAGATAAATGTGACAAAAGGTTGACAAAGTATTCACTCTTGAATTTATACCAAATCAAGAATGAGGAAGAAAGCACTGCAAAAGACTACTGCAATGATATTCATGTTCTTGCAAAAAAACCAGCAACATATCCATATCAAGAATTATCATCTCACTTCCAACTTTTTCCCCTCAAGAACAATTTGAATTTCTTTGGCATCCAAAGTCTCATAGGTCAATAAAGCTTCTGCTAGATTCTTATGCTCTTTTGCATGAGTTTTCAAGATATGTTTTGCTCTTTCATATGACTCCTGAAACAGAAAAGCAGATATGTAAATAGCAGAAAATGTAGGGGAAAAAAGGAAAAAATAGACAATGAGAAACCAAATAACTATACTGCTTTAGTGATCTATTCACCTAGTTTTTTAAAAAGCATTTAAAAGCTTGGTTCTAGAGTACAGATAATTTCAGAATAAACAGTATATGGAAAGTGTTTATAATAGGACTGAGAAAATGTTTCAGAAGAGTGTCTGCCTTTCTACAGCATTCTTTCTACTTGAGTAGCCAAAACCTGACTCTTTCCTGCCGAGATTGACTTGACTAAGCTCTCAAACACTATTATTTGCTCTTATCACAGACACTACTTGGCACTACTTTCAGAACATTATTAACATATCTTTGAGAAAGAAACCAAAGGACCTGCTGCCCTTCCAATCCCCTTCACTGTGCCACGTACCTTAATTACATTCTCATTCACTAAAGACAGGGACCCTTGGACACATTAGTTTTCCATTCCAGTCCTTCTCAAGGAATGGGCAACTTTAAAATCGAAGAGGAGTCTTCCAGTAACAAGCAGACGCACATACTTACTTTCAGGATGAAACCTTCACTAAGATGTTTCATATTCAACAGGTATTTTTTACACATTAGTGAAGGTTTATTCTCCATTGTCAAGCCAATGGCACAAACATACAGCAGAATGAGTGAGTTATTTATTAAGGAGGTTTAAATGCTCTCTTAACCATCATAAGATATCACAAAAACATCAATTCCACTGCAACAGTATCTACTGAACCCATTTATTTTTCATTTCTACGTTGCCCATCTTAAGCCAAGCATCCATAGGCCACAATACATACTAGCTGAATTCTCTGAATTTACTTGCATACATCTGTGGTGGTGAACTGATAGTCAAATGGGGGAACTCCCAGCTGAATTGAGTCAGCATGGTTCTGGACATGACTCACTTTGAGAATGGCATACAAGGAGAATGGTAGGGCAGGCTTTCAGCTGATTTTCCTTGGAAGAGCTTGCTGTTCTCTTTGGAGGGGTCTGGTCTTCACCTTCGCCTTGGGTATCAGATTTCGGCACAGCTTCTTCATCTTCCATCTCCAGCCCTCTGCCAACCACTGTGGCCTCTTTGGCTTTCAGTACCAACCCTTCAACCTCCCACTACAGACCCCTTGGTCTTCCACTGAGGATCCTTTGGCCTTCTTATGCAGACTCAGCCTCCTCACTGGACTTGTAAGGGATAGTGCCATGGACTTGAAGCCTTCGGGCCAGTACTTTGCATCTCCAAAGCAGACGATCTTTTGCACTCTTGTATATTTGACTCTAAGGATGGCTACTGGAGGCCAATCTTGTAAATTTTTATGTCCTGTATGTACAGTCTTTTGAGGAGCCTTGCCCCAGCCCTGTAAGCTCTTATAAGCACTAATACAAAATCCCTTTACCTAATCTAAATGCGGCAATGCAGTGAAAAGGTCCTTTGCCTTGTTTATTCTGCATTGTGAGCACATGCAACTGCAAGGCACAAACTGAATAAACAATACTACTAGCTACACACATATATCTCAGAACAGAAACAGACAGATTCAGTGAAAAGCAGCCCTCATTCTATCATCTCTTATAATTTTGTAGCTAACGTAGAACTGAATTCTATTCAGCCTACGATCAAACTAAAATAAGGACTCAATTCAAGAAAAGGGTTTCTTGATAATGTATTTAAATCATTCCTACAAAATACACTTATTTTTGTAAGGGTGATGTTTCTACTCAACACAGAGCTTTGCCATCACATGGTTAATTTGTGGTGCTGGGGATCAAACCTAGGGCTTTAAACAAGCTAGACCTTGTCTCTGTTTTGCTTTGTTTGTTTTTGTTCTTCATCTGACACAGAGTCTCACTATGTAATAAGGTTTGCTTTGAACTTATGGCAGTCTCCTACTTTAGCCTGCTACAGGCTGGAATCACAGGCATGTGCCACCAATCCTGGTCCCTTATCATTTTGAAAGTACAGTAAGTCCCCAGCTTAACAAATATTTGAGCTGTGAATATTCACAGGTATGAATGAACCTCAAATTATGAACATTCATAGATGGTGAACAAATCAAGGAAGTAGCTTATGTGTCTTCCGGATACTGTCACAGTTGTGCTGCTGTATGCTCACTGTACAGTGTATCTGTAGCGCAGTACAGTCAGAGACTTACTAAATATTTGTGTTTGGTTTTTTCATTGTATATTAGTGTAAGACTCACTTTGTCGGACACAAGCACAAATGTGACTTATAAAAGTCTTTCTGGAACAGAACATGTTCCTAAGTCAGGGACTTACTGTACCTAGTTAGGCACCTTATCTCTAAAAGAAGTTCAGACACATAATACTATTACCCTTAGAAGGATTCTTATTTCTTGTTCAATGGCTGATTGAGTTTCAGGACTCAGTTTCCCTGTGTCACTGTAAGTCATAACTCCAAGCTAAAATAAAAAAGAGTAGAGTAATTAAGCAGGAAAGAACAAAGTGCCAAAGAATTTAACAGAGAACGAACTAGCCTATATACTAAGTAACAAATACCATAGGAGGTTAAGAACATAAAAATGTTTGTCAGGGCAAAGAAATTTTATCTTTCTTTTGAAACTATAAAAGACTAAAATCAAAATACTAAGGGTGCACAAGGTGGAAAAATTTTAAATCTTTTAATTCTGGACCTGATTGCATTCTTAGAAACCGTGGCTCCAAATCCAGAAATCCTTCATCTGAAGTATGGAAGTGATTGAGGGAGACACAGCAATAATGTGGAAATATGAAATATTTGTAAAAGATAAAGGGGCTCAGAAAGTAAGTTTTTAATGTGATATGAAAAGGCTAAATAATTTTGTTTTAACGTTTAGTTAACTCATGAAATAACAGTTACTATCTATATAATTCTGAAGCAGCTAAAAGAATGCTACACTTTGGCAAAATATTACAGCACTGTTTAGAACAAACAATCTCAACTGCATTTGGAACGTGACTGGAAAAAGTAAATATACCTCATAATCAGATTTCTAAAAGAGGCACTTGGTGTATCATCTGACGCAAGAAAACAAAAGTATTACCTTCTCACTCATTCCAAATTTGGTAACCATCCGCTTAGCTATTTTTGTTGCATTATCAAAATCACTGGAAGCACCTAAAATTTTTTTTAAAAAATTAAAAATACACCTCATTTTTTTTTTACAAACAAAATTTAAATCAACAAACCCAATTTAAAGTAAAGCCATTATCGAATATCAACCTGTTGTAATATGGTCAGTTCCAAATATAAGCTCCTCTGCCACTCTTCCTCCCATACTAACATCCATTTGAGCAAGCAGCTGGGCTCTAGTTTCATTCCATCTGTCATTCTCAGGCAACAGTGACACCTAGACAATTGAAAAATAATCAGACAATAGCCAAAGAATTCACATAAGAGTCCTGAAAGTAAAATCAGAATTACCATGTAACTCTCATCACAGATAGCATTTAGTATAATGCTGCAGAAAAGTGAAAAGATATTAACAGGTGACTAATGACAAAAGCATCAATTTTTTCTTTTTTAAGACAGGGTCTCACTATGCAGGTCAGGCCAACTTTCAACTCACTGTGTAGCCCAGGCTGGCCTCGAACTCACAGTGATCCTCTTTCCTCAGTATCCTGGGTGCTAGGATTATAAGCATGGGTCACCATGTCCAGCAAAAGCAGCAATTTAGACAGGAAAAAAAATTATGAATTTTAAAAGCAATAGGTAGATAATGCTTCAACAGGCCTATTTTGCTTTCAATTACATAAGAAATGTTTACAATGCAAAGCAGGGCACAGTGGCACACACCTGTAATCCCAGCACTTGAGAGGCCAAGGCAGGAAGATCACTTCGAGGTCATAGCCAGCCTGGGCTACAAAGTGAATTAAAGGCTAGCCAGAATTATATAGTGAAACGCTGCCTCAAAAAAAAACAAAAGTTTAAAATGTTTTAAACATTTTAATGTTTTCATATTTTAAATGTTTTAAAGATGTAAATAAAACTTCTACTAAATAAAAAAAATTAGAAAAGCTATAGACCTAGTCATTACAAAACATAATTTCTCTAACTAGTTGAACACTAAATTATTTAAGAGTTTGCACTCAGTTAAGCTTTCATAATATAAATATAAAACATCTGAAATACATTATGAAATATTCTTTATTAATAGAAAAACTTCACAAATGGCTCTGATTTCAACAAGATTCATGAATTAAAAGAGAAGCTATCACTTTTTGAAAAGTAGCTTCACTGTAACTAATCAGCAATTTTTTCCATAAATTTCTGGAAAGCTCTATTAGAAAGCAAATAAAAGAAACCATAACAATCTTACATGTCCAAGAGTTGGCCTTCGTGGCATGATTGTAGCTTTGTTGATAGGCATTGCATCTTTTGTGTAATATGCAATAATAGCATGACCAGATTCATGGTAAGCTGTAATGGTTTTGTTTTTGTTATCAATTTCCACACTTCTTCGTTCAGGGCCTACAAAGAAAATTTAAGTTATGTACTGCATAGAAAGTGTACTTAAAATAACATCTATTGTTTGGGGATTAATATAAAATAACAACAACAACGAAAACCCAAAACAACAAATCATTATCTTTAATTCTGAAAGTAATAACAGCGACAACTTCGTTGTCAAATAGTTCCAAGCTCGAACTCTGCACTACTCAAACAGCAAAGTTCAAAAAAATCTGCTTGGTGTTCATAATTTTGCTCAACAGTCAAACTGGAAATCTGACTTGAAAGAACTGGACAGGCTGAGAGTGAGTCACACATCACATCTTGCTGTACACATAAAGAGACATTGCTCCAGTCTCAGTTCTGGCATAGACAATATACAGTACTTATGTAATGTTTGGGCCTCAGAACCAACTAGGTAGTTTTCTATTATTATAGGAAAAACATGTTCAGTTCTCGAACTTTGTATTGTTCAAATATGCATTTGGAACCAAATGAATTTGATAACCGATGCTGCAGAAAGGTGAAAGATGTTTACTAGGTAACTGTATTCCAAATATTTTAAACAGTGTGATATTTCAGAAATTAGTAAAATTCAATCTATGACATACAGAAATTAAAATATACTGTTAAAAGCAAATCAAACATTTTAAAACTATCAACTGGGGTGCAGATGGCCTGTGTGGTAAAACACTTGGCTAGCACATGAGAGTCTTGGGTTTAAACCCTAGCATCACAAAACAAAATAGCACACAAAGAAAAAAGAAACTATCACCTTATCCTTATAATAAGAAAAGGTAGGGGCTGGGGATTTAGCTCAGTGGCATAAGCACCTGTCTTGCAAGCAGGCAGTTGTGAGTTCGATCCTTGGTACCGATAAAAACGAAAAAAAAAAAAAAAAAAAAAAAATAGTAAGAAAAGGTTAATTTTTCTTTCTAAAAAACAAACTTTCAGTTTATTGGAAGTCATAATCTGTTTTTTAAGCCAATCCAAGATTTAAAGTAAAGATTAAACAGCATAAAATTAACTAAATTTATCGGCAATGCTAGACAAGAGAAACTGTACAGGCAGCTTACCACAAACATCCTAAGTCATGTAAGCTATTAAAATAATTTGTTCTTTAAGGGATCAAACTGTAAAAAATACATAAATAAAATAAAATAGACCATATTGTGTTGCTGTTTTCAGGTACATATTTTCATGCTTCTGTAACCTTTCTTTTTTATTTTTGTAATGCTGGGTTATCAAATCCAGGGATTCACATACACTACTAAGTTACAACCCTCAGCCCTATCCATTTATTTGGTAGCCCTATCCTCCCTTAAGACAAAGTCTCACTATATAGTGCAGACTGGCCTTGAACTCACGGAAATTCTTGTGCCTCAGCCTACCAATTGCTGGGATTCAACATTTCTCTTTTCAATCAGGAAAAAAAAAAGCCTTTTAAGAAACAAAACAAATGTGCCACGCTGTAAAAAAGTCTATAGTGACAAGACAGGTATGATTAATGTCTGCTTTATTGTGTAATGAGAATTGTTTGACTCTCAAACTGAGAATATATGAAATGGTTTATTAACATTTCAATACTCACTGAAATTTTAGAGGAAGATTAAATTCAGTACAGTCTGAGAGATTAGCTGTCTACAAAAAATATTTACCAAAAAAAAATTAATTCCCAAACATCATGAAGAATATCGGACAAAAAAGAAAGAAAATCTACCCATTAGAATTTTATCCTTGGAAAACTCCAGTTCCTTCATGGTAACCATTTCTTTTCCATCAACAGCTGCCTTTAATGCGGCTTGGTTCACAAGATTCTCCAACTCTGCTCCAGAAAACCCAACAGTTCCTCGAGCAATGATTTCTGGATCAACAGCTATGTAAAAATAGAACACAATATTAACATCTAAAATAGCTAAATTGAAAGTACTTTACGAAGAATTTATATTTTAAAGAAAAAAGAACACAACTTTCTGTAGTATAGCAAAATATTCACCTTTAAAATCAGATTCAAGATAGGAGAAAGTGCCAAAATATACTATTAAAATTATAACTGGGAAAAAATTGTGAAAGTTCTAAATGTAACTAATTAGAAACTTCAAATACAACCTGACTGTTATCAGCCTAAGAATAAACTAAAACAACTGAGAATAAAGAAACATACAGACAACATTTGGTTCCTCAAATTTTACCTTGAAATAACAGTTTAGATATAAAAGCTCTCTTTTATTACAGGAAACACATTTAGCTTTATGGAATGTTTCACCTATCTCTGAAAACGCTGGCACCTCGATAGGTGCGTTTATATTTCAAGTGAACGCACAGTAGTTCCGTGTGTCTTGTTTTACATTTTGCTTTCTCCCTATCGGCCCCAAACTTACAACACAAATCCTTGTTTTGGAGCCTTTTAAATTATTTTGCATTGCACATTTGCATTTTAAAAAATTTATACACAAAAAATTTCCAAATGTATTTTGATATCCCAAAGAAAACTCCTCTAGAGTAAGAAATTGAAAATGACAACATTTGCTGGATACACACAAATTAAGAAATAGATTTTTTTAAATGAATAAATGAATGGGACTTTTAAGGCATTAGGTGAGGAATACAAAGAGAGATAATAACGTGTATTACAGAATCAGACTTACACTTATCAAACTTTATTTTATTCAGATACCATTTCAAAATTTCTGTTCGACCTCTGACATCTGGTCTTGGAACTGTAACTTGCATGTCAAAGCGGCCTGGACGAATTAAAGCACTAAAGGAAAAATGTAAAAACAAAATATAAATTAATAAGCTAACTATGCTTACACATAATAAACACAAGACTGAAACAACAGTCTCAATAAACAGAAGGTAGCTCGGCATGCTGGCACACGTCTATAAGGTCAGTTGCTCAGGTGACTAAGGAAGGAAAAATCATGAGGTTCAATGTGGGCTGAGCCATATAACAAGACTTCATGTTTTAAAAAAGGTAGATCAAAGGTTCATTTAGGTAGATGTGCAACCAAAAGTAGCATATAATTTCAATAACAAATATATGCGTGTACATCATCCAAGGGCAGTACTTCTAGAGTGATACCACATGCTTGTAGTCTCAGCTGCTTGGGAGGATGAGATAGGAGGATTGCTGGAACCTGGGCATTCAAGACCAGCCAGGACAATAATGAAGAAAAAAACAATCTTTTAATAATTTTATTGAGAAGTATAATGATGAGGGGTGCACTTCAAACTAATTTTCAAATATTCTCATCCTCACAAAAAAGAAGTACCATTCCTACAGACAGTCACTCTCCTTTCCTCACAATTCTGTGGCATGCTCATCTTCTGTCTCTGTAGATCTGCTTATTTTTTTTATGGTACCATGGATTGAACTCATGACCGCATGCTTGCCAGACAGGCGCTTGTACCACTGAGCTAAATGCCCTGCCCAGATCTGCTTATTCTGAACATTTCATATAAATGCAATCATATAATGTCATCTTTTTTTTTGGCTGGGACGGGGGGTACCGGGGATCTAACTCATGACCTTGCACTTGCCTGGCAGGCGTATATGCCGCTGAGCTAAATCCCCAGCACTATAATGTCTTTTGTGATGGTTCTCTTCTCTTAGCATAAAGTAAAGCATATGATGTATTTTGCAAAAACTTTCTTTTAATACTTACTTGTCTAATGCTTCTGGAAAGTTTGTGGCTCCTATAATGATTACTCCTTCGTTGGGCTTAAAACTATTAAGGAAAAGAAAAGAGTATCCTTTTACTTACAATTGAAGCATATTACACATACAGCAATAATCTGCACAAAGCTCTTTCATCATTAATTTTATGTTAATTTTTTTTTTTTTTTTTTTTTTTTTTTTTTTTTGGTCCTGGGGATTGAACTCACGACCCTCGAGCTTGTCAGGCAAGCACTCATGCCACTGAGCTAAATCTCCAGGCCCCCCATCATTAATTTTAGTGAAAGGTCAGGAAGAGACTCATAATAAACCACACATCATCAACATTTTCAAACCCAGGAAAACATTTGTCTCTGCTAATCATTCCCTTGAGGATCTCTATAATTAATTTCCCGCTGTCATTTAAATACTGTTTATATATCAGCAAGATACAAAAGATGTTTATATAAGACTATACAAGGAAAGTAGTATAAACACATTTATGCAGCAAAATAATATAAACCTACTCATAAATAAAATTTACATTAAAAGACAAACAACTAAATGTAATGCATGAATTTTGATACTTTTCCATAAAAAACAAATACTGGAGAGTATATTTTGAAAATCTAGTGTTTTCCTTGTGAAGGACAAATTAGGACAATGTCCTTACTTTTAAGTAGTCTTATACCCAAGCTATTATCTACAGCTTTCTTTCAAATGTTCAGGGGAGAAAGGCATACTATATGCATGTGTGCACACATGTGCACAAACATACACACACACACAGTAACATTAACAACTGCTGAATTTAGGTAAATAACCTATGCGAGAAGTTTTAAAAGTTTTCATAATAAGATGGAAAAGTACAATTCTCATTCATATCACAACTTGGTAAAAATACAGATTAAAAAATAAAGCTGTATTGATGCTACACTGTAATATAAAAAATATTTTATAGGACAGCTTGAAAAGACTGAGGACTAAAAAACAAAAAGACTGAGGACTATCCTAGTTTTACCCATACTTAAATAGTTTGTATGATATTAATTTAAATCACATTAACTTTTTTTTTTTTTTTTTGTCTTTTCCATTTTTATCGGTACCGGGGATCGAACTCACGACCACCTGCTTGCAAGGCAGGTACTTATGCCGCTGAGCTAAATCCCCAGCTCCTAAATCACATTAACTTCTAGAGACTACATCTTAGTACCTAAGGATGTGTCCACACATTTATAAAACACTCCCTGATTAGAAGAAGATAATTTGTTTTGGTTTTCTATGATGCTATAGCACAGACTTCATAAATATACCCTAATGTAGCAAAGGTTCATGCAAACATTCTTGTGTATTCCTGAATTCTCAATAGATATCAAGCAGTATAAAAGAAGAGAGTTTTGACAGCCAGACCCAAGCCTCTCTCTGTGAGTCAGAGACATCCACAGAATGCAGGGGGAAAGAACCAGGCCTCACCAAGAGGTGATCCCTGCTTGGAAACCAGTGCCATGTGCAGGCCACTACCAGAGTAGTGACAACCCAAACCTTTCTCTGTGAGTCAGCACCATTCATGGACTGTGGAGGGAGAGAACAAGACCACACTAGGAAGCAATCTCCATCTGGAAACTGTATCATTTTCACTGTTTTGTTGGGTTGGGTTTTGTTCTCTTTTGTTTTGTTTGATAATGTTAAATCTGATGACATAAGCAGCTATTTAAGATAACAAGACATATTATGGTAGCAATTTTGGATTTACTATAGACTTGTTTTGAAGTCCTTTATTGCATTCATTGTTTTGTTTTTACTGTTTCTATTCCATTCAATTTTTACTAAGTCCAAAGGTATCTGCAGCTATTTTGAAGACAACAAAAGGCATTATGGTGACTATTTTTGATTTCATAAGATTCTGAAGTCCTGTCTCACTTATACTGGTTTATTTTGATTGATTTTATTGTTTTATTTTGGTTAATTTTATCCTATTTAAAAAAGAGGGCTTCTAGAAATTCATTCTAGGAAAATAAACATGAAGGCAAAGACTATTAGGATGGTCATCACAGTGCTATTTTTAATAATAATAAATTGGAAACCATATTAAAATTCAATATAAATGATAACACATGCTATAATTTAGCAATTAATATTTCATAATTGTAAAAGTTATGAAAGACCCTCTTTTCTACCCACAAAAAGGATGAAGAGCTATCTCATATTAATAAAACTACAGGCTCTGTGCAATCCTTGACTGGATCTCAACACTGGGGGATGGAGGACAAGGATACTATTGGATAGTCCTTGAAGGATACTCTTGGAATGAATGCTGGCTATGAAATGTGAATTGGTAATTGTTTTTTATCCACAATAAATTTACTAATTTTAATAGTTATACTAGAATTATATAAAAGAATATCCTTACAGTATCTCTAATACAAGTACTATATTTAGGAGTAACGAAGTATTATGTCTACAACTGACTCTCAAATGGTTAAGTAAAGATACGCATATAAAGAGAAAAAAACAGCACAGTACTAAGGGTGGGTTTCAGGTATGGAAAGAACAAACTTTTAGATTATTTTTGCAACTTAAAGCTCCAACACATAAAAAAATGTAAATTACTAAAAAAGGCTTATGGAAGGCTATATTAAAAAGCACGTTTTTTTTTTATTTAAAGGAGAAAACAAGACAGAATAAGGATACAAGTAATACAGAATTTCAAAAAAAACCAGTAAAAAATCACTAGTTAATAGATTACATAGTCATCTTAGAAATAGTTGTTCAAGTTACAGGATTAAAGCATACAAAGTGGACATTCAAACAGTGAGACTGCAAACAATTGTGTTCAATGAACCAACAAAAACTTAGTAATATGGTCATCTATCTTAACACAGAAAAGCACGTAGTTTTAAAAATAGTATTAACTAACTTCTAATCAGTTAGTCCCTAATAAAATTAAATTAAAAACATATTATTTAATGACATAAAATCATGTTAAGGGAAAAGTTACTCTACCTTTTGGAAGTTTTCCCCCAAGCACAGTAAATTTCTGTGGGTTTTTCAAAAATTCAACAACTTCCTGTAATTCTTGTTTAGCTTCCTCCACCTAAAGTAAGATAATTTGTCAAATATTTTAAATAATGCTTCTTGTTAGTAAATTACCAAGTTAGTAAATTAACAAAGCTTTAAACATCACAAGTTTACTTTGGTTACAGAATTAACTTGGCTTTCTCTTTATGTCAAGGAAAAAGTATACAAAAATGCTCCCGTATAAGCACTCAAAAGCTTCTTTCCTTTTCCTTGTTTCCAACTATACAATGTCTCCTAATCATGCCAACAAAAATGATTTGAAATTCTTACATTTCCTCAATAAACAAAAAGAACACGGGGCAGGGTTAAAAAGAAATTACCACAGCAAGCATGGCCAAAAGGCAAGTTGAGAACCTACAATTCTGGGTCATGATTAGTTTTTACCACTATTTGTGGGACATTTCCCACAAGAATTTACAGAAAACACTATGATTTGTTTGTTTGGTGTGGTTTGGTTTTGACAGAAGGTCTCACTCTGTAGTTCAGGCTGGCCTTGATCTCAATATGCAGCAAAGGCTGGCTTGGAAATTTGCAGTGATCTTTCTGCCTCAGCCTCTTGAGTGCTGGGACTACTTGGTGTCCACCACCATGCCTACCTAGAAAACATTACAACTGCTAGAGTCAGAAAGGTTTTTCTGGCTAGTTTTTGTTAAGCTTGGTAGGTCTTTGAAAGTTACTGATTCAATCCTTAAAATTTTTACTAAAACGTTCACAAAGTTAATCGTTAATAACAAAGCCTTGCTCACTCCAAAGCCCAAAAGAAATGCAAACATGTGTTCAACAAGATACATGTTTAAGAGTATTATTTATGCCAAACTACAAACAACCACATAAAAACCTAATACACAGTACTACAGTATTTGTACAATAGCATTACTGTGCCATGAAGATAAATTAACTACAATTCCAAATAACATGGCTGGATCTCAAAAGCATCACACTGAATGACAGAAGCCAAACCTGAAAGGGCACATTCTACAGGTATTACAACTATTTGAAAAAAAAAAAAAAAAAAAAAAAAAAAACCTCAGAAACAGGGGAAAACTAATGTAAAATATCAGGAATATGATTATACAGAGAGAGGAGGAAACAGTAAGTAGAAAAAAGCTAACAAGAGGCTCTGGAGGTCTGTTAATAATCTCCCTGTTTCTTGAGTTGGGCACTACTGACATAGGTGTGCTCACTTTGTGTTGATTTGTGGTTTGGACACCTTTCTGTGAACATGTCACATTTCAAAAAACTTATGCTTAAAATGTTCTGGCTGCATTATTAAAAGACTACATTTTTTCCCCACATAATGATCAGATGTAGTGGCACACACTTGAAATCTCAGCACTATGAAGATAAACAGGCATATGGTTTGCAAGAGTGTTAACTTTGTCTTTTTCTTCCTTAATTTCCTAACTGCATTTTTAGATTATGTAATTATTTTTCTTCTTTCCATACACAAACATACAAATTATTCTGCAATAAATTTCACCTATTGGCTGATTAACTTAAAAAGAGAGTATTTTTTTAAAAAAAGTATTCAAAGGCAGACACCTAGGAAAACAAGACTGATAAAAAAAAACTGGTCAAAAAAATCAGCCAGGTGTGCTGGTGCACTCCTGAAACCCCAGCAGAAGGCAGAAGGATTGCCTCAAGTTTGAGGTCAGCCTGCGCTCCACATTCCACATGGATATAATGCCAACATTAAAGTGAAAGAGTAAAACAAGAGAGTACTTACTTCTCAAATTCTCTTTCAATCTTTTTGGCAAAGTATTACCAGTGGAATATAAAACCTATTCAAGAAAATGGTGCTAAACACGATTAAAAAATGAATTATTTTAAGGAGCCCATATTAATTTGCACACGTGTGTGTGTGTGTGGTGATGGCACTAGGCCTTTCTAATTTCTTAAAAATTTGATTACTGTAGAAGGGATTAAACTCTACATTAAACTGAGAACATCCCAGCCCTTTTAATTTTTATTTTGAGACATGGGTTTGCTAAATTGCCCAGGGTATCTAATTTGTAACCCTTCTGACTCAGCCGCTGGGATTACATGCATGAACCACCACACCCAGCTAACAGCCCTTATTAAAATTCCACATCAGAGTTGGAAGCTGTAGATCATAAATTTCAATTTTTCTTATAGAAAGTTTCTCCCTAAACATTCCTTGAAAGGCAATTACTCAGTCTCTATCACTCATAAAATCAAATACATATCAGATTTATTAATAAAGCACAGTATAGAACTAAAGTTTCAGAATTTGCATTTGAAGAAAAAAATTAAAATCAGAAATATTTATGTTGACTGGTCTTTGATATAAATTTATGATCCAAATTTGAGTGGCTCCAAGTGTCATATTTCCTTAATCCACTCATTCTCCCATTGTCACAAAACTCCCTTTTTCAGAAATTACACATTGCTCTTCCATCCATATTCTCAGTCGATGATCCTGACTCTGGTTTCACAATCAGCTTTCACCTACTACATTACTAATACCCCACTTTATTTTCTGCTGATGAACATTCACAATTTAACACCTGTTATCACACTGAAATTGTTCATTATCAAGTACACCAATGACACACTGCTAAAAAGAAAGTCAATTATCACTGGAACCATCAACATCACCTCACACAGCTAGCTGGCCCATCTTCCCTGGTGAGGAAATATTTTTTTCTGGTTTATCCCCTCCCCTACTACTTCACAGACAGCTCCTCATTCCCTGCTCTTGATCCTTCCTCTGGCGTGTTAACCCGTGAGTATGCTAAAGTTTAGGTTTAGAACTCTTCTCTTTGCTAGGCGTACTCACTTCCTTGGTAATCTCATTTAAACACATAGAGTTCATATCTTAAATGTAAACTTCAGGATTTTTCATTTCATTTTGAACTTGCCCCAAAATTCCTAAAAGATGTATTCAAGTGCATATTCAGTGCTCTCACCTCACATTTAACATTACTACAACTGAATTTCTTATCTTTATTCTGAATATTGCTTCCATCCACAGTCTAATTTTTTAATTTCAGAAATGGGAATTTTGTTCCTCTAACTGCTCTGCTCATACCTTGTGGTCTTCTTGATCTGTATTTCTCTTATACTTTTAACTTCTAATCAGGGAATCCTACTGTACCTACCTTCAAGACCTAACTACATCTTACCAACTTCACTTTAATGTTTGTCTTAGCATCATCTCTTATCTGGATGACAGCAACAGGCTGTCATCTAACTTTGTACTTTCTAGACTTTAGAGGCTATGAACACAACAACTACACTGTTAAACCACACCATATCTTTGTTCAAAATTTTATGGAACCAATTTTCACAGACTAAAAGGCTGTGTTTATAATGGCTTCTAAGACACTATCCAAAGTGCTCCTACACAAATCCTTATCTCCTACTATCTTTTTACCTATTTAGTTCCATACTTAAACCTGAAAAACCTTATTTAAAGCTGGATGTGGTGGCACATGCCTGTCACCCCAGCACTTGGGATGCTGATGCAGGAAGATCACTGTGACCTCCAAGCTAGTTTGACCTATAAAGTGAGTTCAAGGCCAAGCTAAAATGCATAGTGAAACTATGTCTTAAAAAGACCAAGAAAAGGGGGACAACAAAAAACCTTATATAAAAACGCAGCCCCTCTCCCTCTCTTCTTTAACCTGGTCCCCATAAAGATTCTAAGGTTGCTAGTTTTTTAAATTTATCTGTTTCAGAACAACTTTTAGAATCAAATGCTGTCCTTTGAGTATCAATTATATAATGTACAAAGAAGGCAAAGAAAACTTACTCCTTTAACGTGCTCAAAAGTGACATTTTTCATCTGAACAGGATCTACTGCAGAATCAAGCCCGGTAGTAGTCCAGAAGCGGACTAAATGGAAGAAAACAGATGTTAATATTTAACAGATTAATAAAATTTCAATCATCTTAATTTTTAGATGTAAGAAACCAAAGCCTCCAAAATTAAACATCGGAAAAATCTCTGTTCACATACACCGAAACAAAGTACAGAACAGAAAATAGGTCTTCTGATTTCTAGATCATGTTCAAATAGCAAGTGATTCACATTAAAGACATATATTTTTGTACTTTCCTTTAAAACCAAAAATTATTTTCCTGTTCTTGGACTAATAATAGAAAGCTTAAAATCAATGGTTATCAAATTTCAGTATGAATTTTTGAAAAACCACTTGAAAACTGTGTTAAAATGCAAATCTTCAAAACCGTGCTACACACTAATAGTTTGCAGATTTGAGAAAGAGCCCAGGAGGTTGCATTTTTAACAAGCACCTTCAATTATTCTGACACAACTGGTTACAGATCTACATTGTGAAATATTGCCTTAAACACAGCATAAAAACCCAGTCCATTCATTTAATTAAAAGAAGGAAAGAAATGATTTCACTTTTTAAGTATTCTTCAATAATGACATCTTTAAGCATATGAGAGGAAGAGTTTGGTAGGATAAAATACTTCAAAGCTACCCTGAGCAACTGTTACAAAGTTTTTAAAAATTGCTCCCCAGGTCAAGTGGAACAGTTACAAATGAGTACAGTGATTTCTAATAACTTCATGAAACTAAAAGATTGCCATTAAGACATAGTGGAAATTTAAAGGCAAAAGAAAGAAATGCTTGCTCGGTATGGTGGTACATGTGTGTAATTCCAACATTTTGGGAGGTTGAGGCAGGGCGATCTCAAGCTCAGGCCTACCTGGACAACTCAAGTGAGACTCTGTCTCACAGTAAAAAGGACTGTGGATACAGCTGAGTGCAGGTCTTGGGTTCAATTTCTTAGACAAAAACAAAAAAAATTTCTAACAGAAGAAATGCCTAACACAACAGGAACACACAAGTGGGAAAATACATATATAAAACAGTAATTCTAGAATGGACACTAACAGTTTGAGCCTTTTAATGAACTGTTTAAGGATCTTAAATAATTACAAAGAATGAACATATGGTAAAAACTGAATGATAGCTGAGAAAGTAATTAGAACCACCTACATGTGGTATTTATAACTGTATTTCAGAACTGCAAACTGAAAAGATACTGGATTCATCTGATTAAGAAAAAATTCAATTTATGGGCTTGTCTTTGAAGCACAAGACTGCCTTATATTGTTATTATAACATCCTACATGATGCTAAAATTTGATCATCCCACATGTATCATTTTCTAAAACCCTAGAAAACTAACCACTAGGAATGAAAGGTCTTGTAATGCAATCCACCAGCAGTTCCTTACCAGGTGCCACATCCACGAACCCCCAGAACCACAAGCTAAAATCAACCTCTTTCTTTTAGAAAAAGTACTCAATAGTCAGCCTTGGGTATTTCATCATTGAAACACAAAAAGCCTACATAATCTACAAACAGTGAAAAGGAAAAGAATATTTAAAGAAATAAAAAAGTTGCCGGGGATTTAGCTCAGGGGCACATGTGCCTGCCTGGCAAGCACGGGGACATGAGTTTGATTCATTACCACAAAAAAAAAAAAAAGAAAGAAAGAAAGAAAGAAAAAAGTTAACATGGCAGATAAATAAAAGCATCCTTACCAGATAAAAATGGATTTTTTAAGAGTCCATAAATGCCAAACAGAAGCAGAACAAAAAGAATTAAACGAGTTCGCCTTAAAGAATCTGGAAGAGAGAGAGAAAGGCTTAAGCTGAATACCACCATTGAGATATTGCAGCTAAACAAAATGCAAGTATCAGGATACTGATAATTATACTTTTATAATGTGCAATTTTGGAAGCTAGCATTCTTGTGCACAGCCACAGCCTTTCAGCATCTTCTTCCTCAAAACTTCACGAAACCACATATGCTTTCTGTTCTTGACTTATCTCTTGAGAAAGTAAACTGCCAATATTTCTACTCAAACATAGTTTAACTTATAATGGAATACACCCATGTAAGAAGATGTATGAATTTTTGTTTTTTGAGACAGGATCCCACTATTTAATTGCAAGCTGGCCCTGAGCTCACTATGTAGCCCAGGCTGGTCTCAAACTCTTAGTTATCCTCCTGCTGCAGCCTCCTGAATGCTGGGAAACAGGATGAATGATTTCAGAAAAGTCATTTGTAATAGTTTAAATGTAGGCCTATGACATCTTTTCAGTTATTTTTCTCAAATCAACTTACCATTGGTTTTTTGTGTTAATGTTTGAGCTTTCAGAAAACCCTCTGCAAAACCAGTTTTAAATGCATCTTGTTGAGCTTCAGGTATGTTTTTCGTTTTCATGAGTTTGTCCAAACTCTCAACATCTGATCCTCTGTCCCGCAAAAGAAACCCCTACATGCATGAAATAACACAACAGTATTTATTGGTCAACTGTACAGACAGGGATAACACTCATTTATGTCATAATCACCCACTAAAAATTAATTGCAAGTCTAAAATTTCATTTCTATTGCCAATGTGAAGAAATTAAGATTCAACATCAAATTAATCAACTGACCAGGATACTAATTCTAGATCCCACACGCACACAAATCAATTATTAACATAAAGAAAGTATCACTACTCTGCACTACACTATACTGAAAACACTACCACATAATGCTTAGGATTATAATGGTCTGATATTCACCGTACTTTATCTCTGCTGGAGGAAAAATTTCATTACCTTATTAAGATTAAAGTATTATTCTGCATGGCTAGGCGTACTGGCATGCACCTGTAATCCCAGCACTCAGGAGACTGAGGCAGGAGGATCACTATGAGTTCGAGGCTAGCCCGGACTACAAAGTGAGTTCAAGGCCAGCCTGAACTGCACAGCAAAACCCTGTCTCAAAAAGACAATAAGAAAATAAAATATTGCCCTGCACATACTAAGCCTAGTTCTAAAAATATAAAGATAATTAAGTCATTCTTCTTAAAGTTTCTAGCCCACTAGGAAAAAATATATAAATATTTTCTTAAAAAATGGTTTTGGCAGTGTGGAGCTTCCTTAAAAAACTAAGATTGGTGGACCCATTCAACCCAGTTATTCCCCTTCTGGGTATCTTCCCAAAAAGAATTAAAAACATCATACCACAGAGATATATGTGCACCCATGTTTTATAGCAGCTAAATTTATAATCGCTAGATCTTGGAAACAACCTAAATGGCCACTGACTGAGGAATGGATAAAAAACATGTGGTATTTTTATACAATAAAATATTACTCAGCCATAATTAATGATAAACTGGACATTTTTATAGGTAAATGGATATACCCTGAGAACATATTCATTAGTGTGACAAGCTGAAAGAAAAACATATATATGTGTATATGTATATAAAAATAGTTAAGACAGTTAGACTACTGATTTCTCTGAGTTCGCTGAAGAGAAAGATCTGTATTGGCATTGTTTGGACAACTGAACACAGATGTCTTGTACTCTGGGTGAATGATTTGGGGATGACAACGTACAATGTATGTTCTATTACTACCTCTGATTGATGTGCTTTGAAATTTTATTGTACTTTTATGTTTGAATAAAATGGATTTGAAAAAAATAAAGTGCAAAGAAAGAAAAAAGATTTTGGTATCTAGTTATCGTAGCAAAAGAAATTCTATATACGGAAAACCACAAAGACCTTACAGAGAATGGACATAGTAACTATAGAGGAAAAACATGACAGAGCCACGGGACAGCATTTAAGAACTGTGTGTAATTTGACACATCTTGCAGTCAAAAGCATGGGACAGGGACAAGACTAAGTGGCATACCAGAAATGAGAACCAAAAAAAATGGTCAGTAAAGGTTTGAAATGCCCTGTAAATCAGACTGAGTTGGGTCATCATTTTATTACTTAACATTTTTTTTTTAAATCAGGGATTGAATTCACTACCTCACAGTTACCAAGCAGGCACTTGTGCCGTTGAGCTATATCCCCAGCACTTGACTTTAGATTATTTTGTAAAGACTGATGGGTAGGTCTGGAGGTAAAAACAACATAGTAAGACTAGAAGGAAGAAGATTTTGACTGACCATAGCATTACTAACTTTATTTATACAAGGTACACAAAAGCATTCATAGGTTGGTAGGAAAAATAAAAGCAGCTGTGTAATAAGCAAGTAGAGACAAGGCTCATACTTAGGGGAATTACAACAGGTATAATGATTACGTAAGTCATTCATTTCTTATTATCAGGAAATACCAAGAGAAAATTAATCAGTCAACAAAAGAAATAAAATATTATATGTCCTTGCTGTCTTAATAATTTGAAAATTATTCCTTTCTGAAATGTTAAAAAAGCTCTAATTACCTTCACAAAGGATGGTGCTACATTCTGTGTTTCTGCTACTCTTTCAGAGGTGGACTGCAGACGTCGTGTCCTCGATTTCAAAGTTTTAAAACCCTGAGACTGTATAAAAACTAAACAAAATAGTACCATTTACTTTGTAAGTTGCTAAAAGAAACTAAAATGCTTAATTAGGACTCTAAAAAGCTTATCAGTATGTCTTAGTTTATCTTGTTTTTTGTATTTCTTTTGCCAAACACTTCAATAATACACTTCACATTTTTTCTATCAACGCTTTTTTACAAACAAAAAAAGAACTTTAAATATTTTATTTCATGTTCATGGTAGAAGAGTAAATAGTTATTTCATAGTATAATTTAGAAAACAGGACCACAAAACTGATCATTTTTTTTCTGATCTTTTGTTTTCTTTCTTTTCTGGTACCAGGAATCACTCAAACTTTAATGCTTTTTCTAAAACATGTAGATCATTGAAAGGTAGCAAATCCAAAATTAATTTGGTATTTTCTTGGTAATTACAAAATATTTTAAAAACAAAAAAGTGTCAAAAATCAGTGTTTCCTAATTCTTCAAATCTTAATCCAACTTCTTTCCTTAATAGTATATACCTCAGAAGAGGACAGACAGTATATTCCATTTAAATGTCACTTAACAGTTTTCTGTTTTATCTAATACAACTTACTCAACCATTTTTCACTTATGGGCATTATTCTTTTATTATTATTTTCTTTTTATTCCTTTGGTCTGAAGATTAAACCCAACATCTCACATATGCTAAGCACATGTTCTACCAACAAGCTACAGACTCATTACCTTTTTATTGCTAAAATCAACATTGTAATGAACATTTTCATACATCCTTCAACACATGCAGAACAAATTACTAGAAGTGAAACACTAAGAAATTGCCTTTGAAGAAACTGTTATTGTATGTGCCTAGTTATGAACAAGTGTGTTTTCTTCATACTCTCACCAATACTAGGTCATAAAACCTTTTTAATTTACATAAATTTGGCAAAAAAAAGAAAAAATTGGTATCTTAGAAACTCCAGATTAAAACTCTAAGAAAATTTTAAAAAGATCCTTTTGTATTTTTATTTACTATTTTTCTTAAGTGACCATTTATGTCCTTTGCACACTTCACATTTTTATTTCTTTGTAGACTATAGATGTTACAGGTAATAATCTTTTATAGTGCACATACATTTCATATATACAGTATGTATGGGTATATATTTAGAGAAGTACACTGTAAACATGTTTTAATTATGTTTTTCAATTATACAACACAAGAATGTATATGTTAATGTAACCATACTTTTAAAATATGTAACGTTTTCTCTATTTTTGTCTTGAGTCCCCACTCTCAAACTAAGATTTTTATTTATTTATTGCATTCAAAACTTTAAAATCTGGAATTTATTTTTTGGTACAATATAAAATAAGAACTTATCTTTTTTCCCAAATGGATAGCCAGCTAACCTAACACATTTATTGATAACCTACCACTTGTTCACTGATTCAAACTCTTAATTTTTTTACATTATAGGCCAGTACCAGTTTGAATTCTGTAGTTTTACAGTTATTCATGATACTATTCTTTTGATTTCTACTGCTAAAAATTATGATTCCAAATTTCTACAAGTCTTTTAGAGATTTTACTAGACATATGCTAACTTTATAAACTTTGACATGAATGGATACTGCTATAATGCCATGCTTTCCCATTCATTTGACATTCTCTTTTGTTTAGAGAATGTCTCTTAGTTCTTTTTGTCAGTAAAGCTTTACATGCACACATGTATATATGTATAAACATATATTTCTTGTCAGGATAAACACTGGATTTTGAACAAACTGTTACTAAAATCTGCTAACAGAAAGCTGTTGTTTTCATGTATCTATTTGTATGAAAAAAAGTGAACTCACTATCTGACCACCCTTTGATTTTCTGGCAAATACTTGTATGTTCTACAAATTGAAACTTTGCTCCTTCCTTTAATGACTCAATTCTTTCATTAATCATAATGTTCAGAACTCCCAAATCCTGTCTAAAAACAAGGCACTAGCCATCTTGTTTCTCACACTGATGGCAACGTAAGAGATGTTAAGAAATTTTAAAAAGGGTCGGGGATTTGGCTGAGCGGAATAAGCATCTGCCTGGCAAGCACAGTCTTGAGTTCAATCCCCAGTACCGAAAAAAAAAAAAAAAAAAAAAAAAAAGACACTTTTAAAAGGTTTACCCTGTTTCTAACTTTTCTAAGAGTTTTCACAAAACACAGCAATTAAAATATATCACACAAAATCCATAGCATTTTTCGTCTCCAATCAACATGAATTAACAGGTTTACTAGTGTAAAATTATATCTATATTCCTTGATCATTTTTTTTTTAGCACAAGTCTAGACTTGGTTTTGTCAGATTTTACTTAGGATTTTGGTATTTATTAAGAAACTGACATACTGCATTCTTTTTTCTGCTAATGATCAATTTTAGTAACAGCAGCAACTTTACAACCTAAATAGGGAAGACCGAGGTCTTGCCATGTTGCCCTAAGTAACCGTGAACTCATGGACTGAAGTGATGATCCAACCTCAGCTCCCATAGCAGCCTGGACCAAGGGCACATGCCATTGTGCCCAGCTTTTTACTAAACTTTTAGGGTTGGGACTATAGTTTAGCGGTAAAATGCTTTTCAGCATGGTGTCTCACTATGTACCCTAAGCAGGATACAATCATTCAATTTTTCTGCTTCAGACTACCTAGCAGCTAGTCATAAATACACATACTCACATATAAAGAAAATCTTTTAAACAACAGGAAATTTATCATTCTAGATAAACAATCTAATTATAAAATCATCTGAAGTACTCAGGAGGCTTAGGCAGAAGGATCACTGCGAGTTTGAGGGCAGTCTGGGGTACACAACTGAGTTTAAGGCCACCGTGCACTACATAGTGAGACCTTGTCTCAACAAACAAACAAAAATTACCTGAACTTTGGAGTAATGAAGTTTTTAAAAATTATTATTCTTCAATCAACAGTTATTATCCTACCTATTCTTGGGTCAGTTTTGTCAACTTACATCTAATTATTTCAACACATTTTTATTATTTCACATGGTTGAAGCATTGGTGGCACATGCCCAATAATCCCAGCACTCAGGAGGCTGAGACAGGAGGATCCCCATGAGTTTGAGGCCAGCCTGGGCTACATAAGCAAGTTTAAGGCCAGCCTGCACAACACAGTAAGACCTTGTCTCAATCAAAACAAACAAACAAAAAAAAAAACATCAGCACAGCTGCATGCAGTGGTACATGCCTAGAATTCCATTTACTCAGCAGACTGGAGCAAAAAGACAAAGTGTGAAGCCAGCATGAGCCACTTAAACAAAATTCCATCTCAAGAATGGGCCAATCCTGGAGCAGATGTGGCTTAACTTTAGGCTACAATTGGCAAAGAACACATTGCAGTGAGGAGTAAATGTGAATGTGCATGTGTCTACGGGAACCTGTCTGGAAATTCCTGGACTGAGCACTGATGACAAACACAAATAGGTTGCTTCAGTCATGAATCACACACACAATTGTAGTGTCATGCTCATTCACAGTAGTCTGTGATTTGTAGCTCACATACATTTACTACATAGTACTGTTGAAGAAACCCATCTGCTGTGAGTACTGATCACTGCTATCTTGTTTAAAAACAGAAATGGAGATTCTTCACGTTCCTATTTCAGCAATTTGGGACCGGGGAATTCAGCTCAGTGGCTCAAGCACTTGCCTGCTAAGTGTGAGGTCATGAGTTCAATCCCCCAGTACCAAAAATAAAAAAAGAAATGGAAGAGAAGGAATAAGACTATTTTTGGCAATCTTTCAACTGTTTATAACCAAAGCTCACTCTTACTGACTCCAAGTCTAGAGGTTTTCCTGAGTTCTACTAGAATTAGAAACATACACATCTTTCATGACACATGATCCTAAATTCCATGAAGACGTCTTTTTCATTCATAACTATCACTATCACTTAACAACTATTGCTACTGCCTCTCAACCAGTTAATGAATGATGAATATTTCTCTTTTGAACACTTCCTACTCATTCAGAGTACCTGTCTGCCATCTCTCTCTTTCCCCTATCTTCAAATCATCTTTTACATTAAAAAAATTTTTGATGAATAACAAATAAAATTTGATCTTACTCTCAATTTATTTTCACATATTTTAATTTACTAAAACTCTTCTGGTGTTCCTCTAGACTTTTTATCTCCTTTTAATATTTTTTCTTTCATTTCAATGGGCTTTTGATGAGGGCTAGTAAACAAATTTTAGTCAATTATTGTGAAATAGTTGTAGATATATATCTAGGAGCTGGATTTACTATGATATTTGTCACCCACACACAAAATTTATACCTCCTATTATACATTTTCCTGATCTAAAATAACATAGAACTACCTAAACTGATAGATTTCAAACACTCTTTAAGTCCTACTGTCTATTGCAAATGAGTGGTCATAATCACTAGCATCATTAAAACAAATTTTAAAATGTTAAGTAACCTATTACATTTCTCAAAACAATTACAAGTGTTGCTTCATACCTGGCCAGTAATGAAGATCTGAACAAATTCTTTGAAGAGTTCTTGGATGTTGTCGAAACAAGCAAGTGGAACGTAAAGCACTAAACATATCTAAGTGACCTGGAGGGAAATTGTTAAAGGTAAGTTTCCAGCTTTTCCATACCAAAAACATAAAAATCACACGAAATATTAAGAATTTTTATCAACTGCTATGAAAAGTCACAATATTGGCTGGGGATTTAGCTCAGCGGCATAAGCGCCTGGCTTGCAAGCAGGCAGTCGTGAGTTCGATTCCCAGTACCGATAAAAAGGAAAAAGACAAAAAAAAAAAAAAAAAAAAAAAAACCACAAAAAACCCCAGAAAAGTCACAATGTAAGTTTCACAACTTTTGGTCTGTGATATGACCTTGCTTTCATAAAAGTATCTAAAGTATCATTAGTTTAAGAGCTCTTCATGTTACACTCACTTAACACATTACTTTTACATCTGATATATAGCTATCATTCTAATCAATAGAGGTATGAGGTATAAATTCTAATCAATACAGGTATAAGGTATATATGTTCAAGTGAAAATTACCTTTAGAACATAAAGATAAGAAATTGCTCTTCGGTAGAGACAATTTCAAAAGCTTTAGTGATAAAAAAAAAAAGGCAAACCACAGCTATTGCTATCTTTCCCTTTTCAAGTTTTCATAACCAGTGAGTATGTAAACAGTTCCCTCCAAAGCTGTGAGCATGAATACAGTGATCCTTTCCAACTCCTCCTCTTAAGTAATTCGTCAACCCTTTCCTACTTTTTAGATGCCAGGGACTTGCTTTGTAGCCAATAAATAGTAGCTATTATTGATATATACCAATTAGAATTACATGCTGCAGATTAGAAGAGCAATAATAATATAAATACTAAAAAGTTTATCCTATTGAACACAACACAGAGCAAGCGTTTCAAGAGTTTTATATAAACAATAAAAGGGGGCTGTCAATCTGAGTCCCCAAGCTCAAAACTATTTTTCCCCTCACTCCTGTATTCTTTGTATCTTCATACTGCATGAAAGACCAAAGAAAAGAATTAGCAAATGAATTGTTTATGCAAAGTATAGCTTCGAATCAAATCATCAACTACTCAAACCTTTGAGGAAGCCCCAATATTCCTTCTGTGCTATCCAAAAAGATCTTCTGGAAGCTAACCTGACAGACTGCAGTGTAAACCTACTTATTATGTCAGCGTGTTAAAAGCTTCAAAAAGATGCAGACATCTCATACAAAGAATATTTCTTTATCAATGTATTCTCACTAAGTTTAAATAAGGACAATAAAAAACACATTCTTCCCTGGTTGTGGTAGTGCACACCTGTAATCCCAGCACTTGGGAGGCTGAGGCAGAAAGATCATTGCAAATTTAAGACTAGTCTGGGCTACAAAGTGAGTTCAAGGCTAGCCTGAACTGCAGAGTGAGACCCACTCTAAAAAACAAATGAATAAATAAAACACCTTTTTCTAAATGTGATACAGTATAGTGCTTTAGATCCAAGAACAGAGTATCAACAATAAAAAAAAGTGATTTAAAGAAAATTTTGCTGAAATCCAAACAATTCACACTTAATTAAAAACACTGTTACAAGTCATGGTGGTACACACCTTATAATCCCAGCACTATTGGGAGACAAGAGGATCCCAAGTTAGAGGCCAGTTTCACAACTAAATAAGTAAAATATATACATACAATATATAAACATATATACTACATATATATCAATGTGAATTTGTTTTAATAAATGTACCATGGTTATGGAAAATGTCAAAATTAAAGGGAAGTAAGGTGCAGAGTATACAAAAACCCTTGACACTACCTTTAAAATTTTTCTGTAAATCTAACATTGTTTGAATATGAAAACTTACCAGAAAAAAAAAAAAAAAACCTTAAGAACCTGGTCCATAGTAAATGCTAATAAATGATTTCTAACTATTTTTTTTTAATAATACTTACATGGCTTAGTTTCATTAGTACCACAAATATATAAACATACCACATTTATTTTCAAAGAAGGACTGTGCAGAGATATGAGATGTGTGCCAGTGGGAAGAAATACTTTTGCCTCTGTAAAATCCAGGAAGTAGATCTTCTACCAATTGGTCAATCTGTCCAACTTTTAATTCAGACAATCCAAGGTCCCTTAAATTAAGTGCAGGCTGTAAAAGATGAAGTTAACCAAACAGTAACATTATTGAGACACTTGAAGAGTATTTATGACCTAAAAAAATTTTTCAAATCAAAGACATTAATTTCTTAATATTTAAAATATAATTGATAAAAATACTAAGCTCCCCAGCAACCAGAGAATGGATAAAAAAGATGTAGTCTTTCTATACAGTGGAGTGCTACTCAGCCATAAAGGACACATGAGATTTTTATAGGTAAATGGATACAACTTGAGACCACACTCATAAGTGAAATTAATCAAACATCATACTGGATCCCTTGCATAAGAAATCAAAAGAGTAAAATAAGGTCTAAAATATACAATAGATACTGTGAAATGGGAAGAAACTGTTCAAATGGAAAAAGAAAAAGGCTGGGGAAAGAGAAAGGATGAGAGGTAAAAGGGGAAAGATGCAAGTCAATTGTACTATTAAGATTCTCTTAGCTCATTAAAAAAGGAACGTATGTGCTAATATTGGAGAAATTTTATACCCGTATCTTATACTTTGAGTAATTACTTTAAAGATAACACCATGTAATGTATTAACTATTCCTATTCTATTATTTTGCTACAAAATTGTGTTATTTTTTCTATAAAATAAAAATAACATATATCCTTAAGTTCTAGTTTCACTGAGGTCCTGTGAAGTTTGAAAAAGGCTGAAAAAGTATATCCCTAACGGTATTCTTAAATAAGAAAATGACATTTCAGTATGAATGAGGAAAAAATGTACCTTTTTATTCAAATCAGTATCATCATTGAACTAAGCATTATAATTCACAAATGAGGTTAAGTGTTTTATAGTTTCCCCTTCTTATCACTTAAGGTACTCTCACTTAGTGTTAATTCATCAACAATCAGCCAAACATTTATAATGACTGTGGATGCAGCTCAGTAATAGAGCACCTGCCTAGTGTCCTGTGATGAAAAAAAACAAGAGGAGGGTTGGGGGGTGCGGATACAAAGGGAAAAGAAACTTAAAAGTTACTGTTTTTCTTTGTTATACTACTGAGAAATGAACCTAGTGCTTCCCATTGAGCTATGTTCCTAGCCCTTTTGTAATTTTTTGAGAGAGGGTCTCTACATCTTTAAACTGCCCAACTAAGCTTCAATTTGTGATTCTCCTGCCTCAGCCTCCCAGTATGCTGGTATCACTGGTGTGGCACCACTGCTGCCACGAAGTTTTACTTTGTTATGTTTTATTGTTACCATTCTGGAGTGGATGTTTGGGTAAGCAGTGCCTGATGAAAGCAAAGAAGTCATCACATAGCAAAGAAAGTAAGATCAACTAGGGTGTTCAGCAATATGAAAGGTTTTGACATAACATGGTACTTTCCAAAGACAAATACAAGGACTAACGAGGTCCTGAAGGATATCAATCTGTGTTTCACACCATTAGTCTTATATTGCACCCAGGCTTCTAGTTACTTTTCAAGCACCAAAAATGCCCTTTAACATCAACTCAGCAATTTCACTTGATAAAATAAAGATTTACCAATGAAGGATGGAAACAATGGTATTGTTTCTGGCAACAACAACAAAAAAGAAATAATACCTGTTGTAGCCAGGGGTTGTGCGGAAAACAATTAGAATCAGGACATGGAGTTTCTAATATTATTTCTGTGATGGTCACTCACAGTTAACACAAGAAAATGCAGGGAATCTATCCATGACACCAAAGACATAGAATATTTAGCCCAGGGCCTGAATTCCACAGCAATGTCTCACATGAGTCCAGATGAAAACCCAGAGCCCACGACAGTGTCTCCCAAGAGTCCAACTGGAAGAACATGGCGGATAGATAGCAGCAGCCTCGCAGGGTCTCTGAGAAACTGCACTTGAAATCTAGGAATGGTGCCGGGCAGGAAGCCCTAGGCAAGGGGGGAAATTCTTTGCCGACCCAGGAATGAACTAAATTAAGAGAAACCAACTGAAAACGTAATCCCAGTGATACAGCAGGAACAGATAAGGTCTCAGCATGGAAGCCGGGCCCCGCGTTACTGGAAACTGTGATTTGAATTACCTGCAGTAGCTGTTGCGTCCCTGGTCCCTGTCAGCACAGCGGGGAGAGAGGCGTGAAAGCTCGGAGAATGAGAAGCATCGGAAGGAGTTGGGAGCGGGACTGGCCGGGCGCCCTGCATCAACCTGCGGTGAGTGAGCAAATTGGGACCCCCATAGAGAAGGAGGCTTCAGCGGAGGACATACTCGGACTGGGCAGACTTCCCAGAACGAGATGCTGCACTGACTTCAGTCACATATCTCCCTCTCAAGCGGGATTGGTGGGGAGTGCTTGGCCTGCGAGACGCCGCTGGCTGAGACCCAACAGGCTAGCCCAACTCAGGTCCCAGTGCCTGGAGGTGCACACTAGCGGTGAAGCCTTTGGTAGGTTGACCTGGAGGGGCGGGCCCGGCATAGACTGCCCAGGTCTGTGTCTCCCTGGTGCCGTTGCGGTGGGCGGGAACACCTAGCCCACGCAATTCAAACAGATTGTGGTGGACAGGGAAGGAAGTTGGGCCTCCTATAAACGCTTAAATATAAGGAACAAAGAATATGGGAAGAGGGAGCAACAAGAAAGGGTCCTCGGCCCCCAATCCTGAGAAACATGCAATAGCAGACACGGCACCAATAGACATAAAGCGCTATCTCCAGAGGCTCATAGACAAGTTCAGGAATGAAGTTATTAATGACCTGAAACAAGACATAAGCAGAATAGTTAGAGAAATGCTAAGCACTGCCCAAGAAAAAACAGATGGTACAATGGAAGAACAGAAAAAAAGGGGAGAATTGTCTGATGGAGAAAATAGAGAAAACATAGAATACGTAAAACAGGTTCAAAGAGATTACCAGGAAACTAAAAACTCTATCGAAAACTGGCATAACAGCTTGAAAGAAACTAAGGACAGATTATCTGAACTGGAGGGCAGATTTGTAATATGGGAGCATGAAATGAAAAACTTCTTAAAAATAACAAAAAAACAAACAGCAACAATACAAAAACTAGAAGATGATAAAAGGATCTACAACTTAAGAATTAAGAACATAAGAGAAGAAGTGGGGACACAAACAAATGGACTACAAAAACTATTCACAGAAATAATCCAATAAAGTTTCCCTAATTTAGCAAATGGTAAAGATACTCAGATATATGAGGCATACAGGACCCCAGCCACCTACAACCCAAAAAGAGCTATACCCAAGCATATAATAGTCAAAATTCCAGAAATCCAATATAAGAGCAGAATATTAAAGGCCGTCAGAGACAAGAAACAGATCACTTACAAGGGAACACCCATCAGAATTACAGCAGACTTCTCGGCACAAACCATCAAATCAAGAAGAGTGTGGGGGGAAATAATTCAAGCTTTGAAAGATAATAACCTCCATCTAAGATTGATATATCCTGCACAACTGTCCCTAGAAATTGATGGAAAAATAAGGTGCTTCCAGGTTAAAGAGGAACTAGGGGAATTTGCAACCACTAATTCAACTCTACAGAGAATACTGCAGGATAGTCTAAAAAAGGAAAACACCAAGATTCCAGAAAAATTGGCAGAGAGGCTACAATGAATGGGGCAGAAAACAAAATGCAGAAGACAAGCTGACAACAAACGACAGAAAAAGAGCTCAACAGAAATGAGGCAGAGAAGATAGACAGCTATTTTGGAGAAAACAAGACATCATAATAGCTAGTGCTGATTTAGTATCATCTGGCTTTGAAGTCCCATCAAACTGGTATTCTTCTGTCTCCATTGGTGTTAAAAGGTTGTATCTTATTGGATTTTATTATATATGATAATATAAGCAAAAACTTTTATAGACAAGGAGTTTATATAGAAATCATTGTTCATTTTCTGTTAATTGGTTCTAAATACCCTGCAATAATGTCATTCTCTTGAATGGTTTTATAGTGTCTTGATATGTTTGGTAGTACAGTATAAGAAGTTACGCTCAAAGAATTCAAGAAAAGAGACACTATGGTAACTATTTTTATGTCAGGATATCTTGTGGTGAAACACTATTATGCCTAAATGGTTATGTTTTGACCTGCACTGTTCTGTTGTTATGCCCTCTTTTATCTCAGTCCCCCCCCTTTTTTTAAATTATTTACTTTTCTATTTTATTTTTTAATTAAGGGAAAATAAATAAAAAATAGCAGGATACATTATAGTAACCTACTTTGATTTCCTATTAACTTGATTTGAAATCATGTATTGCCCTCACCATCTTGTTTTGACTGATTTTCCTCTATTCTGCTTTGCTTGATAGTACCAAGTTCGAAAGTATAGGCAAAACTGTGAAGACAATAAGAATCATTATGATGCCCATTCCGGTTGACTATTATTTTCTTTTAAAGTCCTGTAATGTCTCCAATGCTTTGGTTTTATTCTTTACTGTTTAGTTCAATTTTATTATAACTGCCAATTCTTCTTAAAATAGCAAGAGGCAGTATGGTAACCACTGTTGATCAACTTATATTTTGTTTTTACATTATCTATTATGTGCATCCTTTTGATTTGACTGACTCTGTTCTGATATGTCGCATTTGGTTTTACTCTCTTCAAAAAAAGTAAATAAGAACTGTGGGAGTAATAAAACCCAAAATGTGTAATTGTCATTGTACAAAAGAAATGAAAAGAAAAGAAAGTGCTCTAAAGGTTGTAACTGCATATATGTTTAAGTGTGTAAGATAGATAACCATATTACTGAGTGTTTTTTGGATCATTGAACAAAACTGTTTGCACTCTCACTGTCTGAAGGTCCACTTTATATGCTTCAGTTTTGGAACTTGAACAACTATTTCTAAGATGAGAATATGTAATCTATTAACTAGTGATTTCTTACTGTTTATTTTTTAAATTTTGTATTACTTGTACCCTTTTAGTGTTTTTTTACTTTTTCTCCTTAAAAAAAAAAAAAAAAAAAAAGAGTCCAACTGGAGGTCCAGAGCCCACAAGAGGGATTCACACCAGTCTCTTTTACAGATTTGTGCTGGGAAGGCCCAAAGGTCAGCGGTGGAAGCTAGAAGAAAATTCTATGCCAGCGGGGTAAAGGAGCTATGCTGGTAGGTTGAGGGTTCCACAATGGAGCTGAGAAGTCACACTCACAACAAAGACCAGGGCTCTCCTGAAAAGCACCACGGCCATCCTCAGCGACACAGAGGCCCTGAGCTCTTCCATCCTGGAGACCAAGTAGCACACGTCTTTCTCTCCGGAGCCAGGAAGCAATGCTCAATGTGAGGGCCAGAGCTTCTCCAGGAGAACCAATGGCTCAAACAGCAACATGTAGGAGAACCCACAATGCTTCAACACCTCAACGCCTCAACGCTTAGTTTCTCCTTTTCCACGTCTCTATTTATGCTGGCAACTTTCCTCAGATGGGACACCTACACTCAACACCATGCTGATGTAATCCAGCTGGCGTTAAGTTGACCACCAGTTTTTAATCCATAACAATACCCAACATAAGACATCACACCAAGTTTATACTACAGTCATTAAAACTACTAAAAATGAGCTGGGTGACGGCCAGGTGTGGTGGCTCACACCTATAATCACAGCACTTGGGAGGCTGAGGCAGGAGGATCATTGTGAGTTGAGATCAGCGTGGGCTACAAAGTGAGCTCAGGGCCAGCCTGAACTGCATAGCGAGACCCTGTCTCAAAAAGACAAAAAAAAAAAAAAAAAAAAAAAAGCTGGGTGCAGTAGCACATGCCTGTAACTCCAGGTGCTTAGGAAGTTGAGGCAGGAGACAACTGCTGGTTTGAGGCAAGCCTAGGCAACAAAGGCAAACCCCATCTCAAAAAAAAAAAACAATCAATAAATAAAAATATAGAAAATACATAGCATAAACAATTTCATAGAGAGTTCTAAATGAACAAACAGGAATTCAAATCAACCTGTAAGGGCTAGGGGAGTAGTTTAGTGATAAAATGCTTTCCTAGCACAATCAAGGCCCTGGATTCAAACCTCATGACACAAAAAACTTTAAAATTTTAAATATCAGCATGTACAGTCTAATTTAACTATCACCAAGTACAAAAAGATCAACAGACCTGAAAATAAATGTAAAATGTTAACAGCATTATCTCTGGAGAATACAACCACAGAGTAATTTTATTTCACCTACACTAATATTTTCCAAAATGTCTAGTGAGCGTAATTCTGCTGCATGTAGCATTTTTTTTTTTTAATACCAGGGATCGAACCCATGACCTTGTGCTTGCCAGGCAGCTGCTTGTGCTTGCCAGGCAGCTTCTTATGCTGCCCAGCTGTACATAGCAATTTTGACATATGTAACACTCCTGATCTGCAATCTCCCTCCACTCTATTATCCCACTACACAACATGCAATACGTTATTTTGAGAGAAACACCACATTCATACAATTTTCATTTTACTACACTGATTTAACTACTCTATTTTATGAGTAGTTGTGTTTTGAGGATTTTGTTTTTTGAGATTAGGTCTCACTATGTAATCCAGGCTGGCATTCCATTGGTGGCAATCTTCCTGCTTCAGCCTTCTGAGTGCTGGAATGGTAGGCATGCACCACCACACCACCCTGCACTTGGACTGTAATTTGAGTGAAGGGTGTCAGAACAGCAGAGAGACAATGGACTGCCTATAGAAAAACAATGGTAAGGGGCTGGGCATTTAGCTCAGCAGCATAAGCGCCTGCCTTGCAAGCAGGCAGTCATGAGTTTGATCCCTGGTACCGATAAAAAAAAAAAAAGAAAAAAGAAAAACAATGGTAAACAGGCAAATAGAAAAAAAAAAAAAAAAAGACCGTGTAAAGATGACAACCTTTTCATCTAATCACAATTTTTTTTCTAAGACAGGCCTTAAAAAGTACCTAGAATTCACTTTCTACTATTCCTCCACTGTCCTCTGCCAGAACTCCTGACTTCAGAATTAAAAGCATCAGGTTAAAGAGGCTGTTCAGAACCTCAACTATTATACTATCTTTTCTTTTCTTTCTTTCTTTTTTTTTTTTTTTTTTTGGTCTTTTTCGTTTTTATTAGTACCAGGGATCTAACTCACACTTGCAAGGAAGGCACTTATGCCGCTGAGCTAAATCCCCAGCCCCCATAGTATCTTTTCTTAAAAACATATTCTGGGGCCAGGGATTTGGCTCAGTGGTGCAGTGCTTGAAGCCTGAGGTCCTGAGTTCCATTCACAGTACCCTCCTCTCCCCCTGAAATAGACCACATTCAGAGTTTGTAAGTAACTACCTTAATTGGAAACAGGAAGGTTCTTAGGTTCATAATTCCCCATATCCCAGAAATCACTGGATTTCTAATCATATGAATACTGAAGTACAGTTTTCTACCTTGTGTATTTTACTTTCAAACACCTAGACTAAGCCAGATGTGGTGGCACACACCTGTAACCTGAACACTTGGGAGGCTGAGGCAGGAGGATTTCTGGGAGTTTGAGGCCAGCCTGGGCTACAAAGTGAATTCAAGGCCAGACTGAACTGCATAGCGAGACTGTATCTCCAAAAGAAAAGAAAAAAATTTTTAACAAAACCTAGATTAATCTACTCAAAGCTTCTGAGAGTTAGCAAATGATGTCTTACTATACTGACTTCCTTGAGACTTGGAAGGTAATAGTAGTGAGTTACTCATGAGCAATAGGTAGTGATAGCTGGCTGATATTTCAACAAACAATATTATAAATTATCGCATCAGAAAGACTTCCTCACACAACCAGGGTAAAAACTCTTACCTCACTGCCAGCAGCCTCATGCTCTGGAACTACATCTCGATGCTTGTTTGGAGAAACTGATGCACTGACTGAAACAGACACGGGTTTTGGTGAATGGAAGGCACTGATAAGATGACTGAGAGGAACTGTAACCTAGAAAATAAGAAAAGTTTTAATTAAGTAGCATATGTTTTTAAATCTCCTTTGTGTTGTCAGAATTTAGGATATGTTGAAAGTTAAAACTATGGACCCCCAAGTGGCCTGGAGCTGCCTGCACTCTGCCTTGAGAGCCAAAAGCCCCCGGAGAGATCTCTATCCCCTTGGGCAGCCTGTGCACATCACTTGGAGACTGGGAGGACTGTGCAGCATCCCCCATCACTAGAGGAATCTCAGGAAGGTCCCTCTGGGTCTACTTGAGGTTCGCCCAATAACCCCAAGTGGCTGGGAGCCACCTGGTAAGGTATGTCTAAGGACCTACACTCAACTGGGGAAATTCCTACAGTAGAGATAGATATTGTCAACCCAGGAAAACAACTGAGGGCTGGAGATTTAGCTCAGTGGCTTAAGTGCCTGCTTGGTAAACATGAGGTCATGAGTTCAATCCCCAGTACTTAAAAAAAAAAAAAAAAAAAAAAAAAGAGAAACAACTGAGACCTTGCCTTCAGCTTCCCTAAGGGAATATAGGAAAATCACAAAATGAAAGCGCAAAATGTAATCTCAACCTCCAGCCCATCCCAGGCAAGCCTAGGAGACATGGACATAGAAGAAAATGTAAGCCATACACCTGAAACTCGAAATAATAGCAAGTAAAGTAAAGAAATAACTCCCAGAAAGCTATAAAGGAACTCAAATCAGAAATAATCTCCCAGGTAAAAGAAATGATGGCCACATCTAAAGAAGACATAGTTTAAAAATAGAGGAACCTGTACAAGGATGTAAACCTTCAATGAATATAAGAAACAAACAGAATGCATGAAACAGATTCAAAGAGATATCCAGAAAACCAAACTTCCATCAAAAGTTGGGAAAACCCCCTCAATGAAAGTGAAGATAGACTTTCAGACTCCAAAGACAAGACTGCAGCTAGTGAACAGCAAAGGAAAGATCTTTTAAAAATAACAAGGAGTCAGGAAATAACAATTCAACAGCTACAAGATGATGCACAGAAAAACAACATAAGATTGATACATATAAACGAAAAAGGTGACAACACAAATGATATTAAAAGACTACTTATACAATAGCTGAAAATTTCCCAAATTGGAATGGAAACTGAACATACAGATAAAGTGAAGCATACAGCACTCCAAATAGTCAAAACCAAAATAAAATGATACCTAGACGCATAATAATCAACATCCGAAAAATTCCACATAAGAACAGAATATTAAAAGCTGTTAGAGGGCCCGCCCCTCTGCAGTGGGCTGGCCCAGCAGGCCTGGGTTGCCTGGAACTGCCTTCACTGGGCCTGACCCTCAGCTGTGAAAATCTGAGAAGCCCTGGCAAGACCTAGCCACCTGGGACTGCCACCACTGGGCCCATCCCTTACCTATGAACACCTGGGATGCCCCAGCACAACCTAATCACTTAGGACTACCACTGTGGGCCCATCCCTTAGGGAAACCACCCACCTCCTGGACCTAGTACTGCAGAGGATCTTTGGATCCAACCCCTTCTCCCAGAACCTTGGACTACAAGGAAGTACAGTGCTGGATGGATGGGAGACTCAGGAACCCCTTACCCAAACAGAAGACCTCAGCAGGCTCCAGTCAGTGTGGTGAGTATGCTCCTAAAATAGAGATCTGCAGAGGGTAAATAAGAGTAGAAGTGAAACTCCCTCCAACTATAAGACCTTGACAAACCTGGCAAGAGAGTGGGAATCCCCTCCTCCATACAGATAACATCAAACAGATTGAGGAGTGAGCCAATAAGGCCTCCGCCAACTTGCAGAAAATTAAAAGAGCTTATGAGACCTCCAGTGACACAGTAGGGCCTCAGCTGACACAAATACTATAGGCAGGGAGAGCTGCTGACCTGCAACAACCTGAAGACATAGCAACAGCAGGAACCAAGAGTTGAACTACATCAATACTACTAGGCTAGTTAGCCCAGAAAGAATATAGGACTCACCCAACAGGCCCTGTAGGAGGAATTCAGGTGACTGGCTCTCCTCTACATTGTCTTATCCAACAACTGGACAAACGACACCCGCACAGTAGGACCCAAAAACTCATACTATAGACAGTTGAAACTGTTCGGACTGAAAGACCAAATATTTATCCAAAAGGTAAAAATAACAAAATGAAAAGGCAAAGTGTAATCTCAAACATCTAGTCCATCAGGAGCAAGTCCAGGCAACACTGAAATAGAGGACTATAAAAAGTCATACACCAGGAACCTCTGAAAAGACAGCAAATGAAGCAAAGAAACAAATCTATGAGACTACAGAGGAAACCAAATTAGAAATAATGTCTTATGTAAAGACAGAAGTAACCTTAGTAAATAAATTGCTCAACATAGCTAGACAAGAAATAGACAAAAAAAAAAAATACAGGAGCTTGGGAAATTGATTGAAACTTTGAATGAACAATGCAGAAAACAAGCAGAATCCATGAAACAAATTCAAAGAGATAGCCAAGAAACAAAAACTATTGAAAGCTGGCAAAACCATTTAAATGAAGCTGAGGATAGAATTTCAAACCTGGAAGACAGGATCACAGATAGAGATCATAAAAAGGTAGAACTTAAAAAAACAAAGCAGCATGAAATGACAATCCAGCAGCTTCAAGATGATGCCAAGGGAAACAATATAAGCCTAATAGGCATCAGTGAAGATGCAGGATTCAATGCAAATGACGTAACTAAACTATTCACAGAATAGCAGAAAATTTCTCACAAATAGGGAAAAAAATGTGATATAGAAATAAGTGAGGCATACAGAATGCCAAACAGTCACAATCAACATAAATCTACACCCAGACATATATCTCAGACATATAGCATAGAAAAAGGACACTAAAAAGCTGTTAAAGAAAGCCTATTAGAAATACGGCAGACTTTTCAGCACAAATGTTCAGGTTAAGACGAGCTTGGAGTGAGGTCCTGATGGGTTCACAGCTGAATTCTGCAAGAAATTTAGAGACGATTTGATGCCAATACTCCTTAAACTCTTCAATAAAATGGAAAAGGAAGCAATCCTCCCTAAATCATTCTTGGAGGCCAGTATTACTCTCATACCAAAACCAGAGAAAGACCCAACCAAAAAGGAGAGCTATAAGCCAATCTCACTAATGAACACTAATGCAAAGATTCTCAATAAAATACTGGCAAAGAGAATGCAGCAAGTCATCAAGATTATACAACACGACCAAGTGGGATTCATCTCAGGAATGCAGGGATGGTTTAACATACGCAAATAAATAAATGTAATACACATCAATAGAGCCAAAAACAAAAACCACATGGTCATCTCAATAGATGCAGAAAAATCTCCCAATAAAGTCCAATACATGTTCATAATAAAAACCCTTCAGAAACCCAGAATACATGGTGCCTACCAAACCTTAAAAAGGCCATGTATGACAAACCAACAGCCAACATTATACCAAATGGACAAAAACTGAAAGCTTCACACTAAAATCAGGAATAAGACATGGATGTCTACAATCACCACTCCTATTCAATATAGTTCTGGAAACACTAGCCAGAGCAATCAGACTAGAAAGAGAGAAATAAATAGAATAAAGATAGGAAAGGAAGAAGCTAAATTATCACTATTTGCAGATGACATGATACTCTATATAGAAGACCCCAAAAATTCCATTAAAAGACTAATAAACAAATCAGCAGTGTACCTGGATACAAAGTCAATGCTCAAAAATCAACAGCATTCCTGTACACAAAAAGCCCAAATATGGAAATATCATCCTTCACAAAACATCTAAAAAAATGAAATACTTAGGAATCAACCTAACTAAGAATGTAAAAGACCTATATGCTGAAAATTATACTACACTAAAAAAGGAGATTGAAGAGGACATTAGAAAATGGAATGATATTCCTTGCTCTTGGCTAGAAGAATCAACACTGTGAAAATGGCCATACTCCCAAAACTCTTACACAGATTTAACGCAATTCCAATCAAAATACCAAGAGAAAACACGTCTAAAATTCATTTGGAAACAGAAGAAACCCAGAATTACAAAGGCAATTCTGGACAACAAAGGCAAGGCAGGAGGCATCTCAATTTCTGACTTGAAACTATACTACAAAGCCACAATGATAAAATCAGCATGGTACTGGCAAAGAAATAGACCTGAGGATCAATGGAACAGATTAAAAGATTTGAGCACAACCTCAAAGACACTCGGCCACCTGCTATTTGACAAAGGGGCTAAACATGTTCATTAGAAGAAGGATAGCCTCTTTAATAAATGGCGTTGGAAAAACTGGCTGTCTACATGCCCAAGACTTAAACTAGATCCATGCCTATCACCATGCACAAAACTAAAGTCTAAACGGATCAAAGACCTAAATGTTAAAATAGAAACACTAAATCTACTGGAAGACAAGGTAGGTAGAAGTCTTGGAGATATAGGGAGAATTCATGAACAACACGCAAACTGCACAGGAAACACTTCAAAGAAATCACCAACAGAGTAAAAAGAAAAACCTACAGAATGGGAAAGAATTTTAGCCAACAACCCCTCAAAGGACTTATATCCAGAACGTATAAAGAACTGAAAAACATCAAGCCCCCCAAATTCAAAGATCCTCTCTAAAAATGGGCATTTGAGATGAACACACATTTCTCAGGTGAAGACATACAAATAGCAAATAAATACATGAAGAAATGTTCACCATCACTGGTCATTTGAGAAATGCAAATTAAAACAACATTTACATTTCATATCACTCCGGAAAGAATAGCTGCCATCAAGAAATCAACTGATAACAAATGTTGGCAAGGCTGTGAGGGAAAAAGGAACACTGCTCCACTATTGGTAGGAGACTAGACTGGTGCAGCCACTATGGAAATCAGTATGGAGAATTCTCAGAAGACTAGGATTGGAAGTTCCATTCAATCAAGCTATTTCCCTCTTGGGTATTTTCCCAGAAAAACTGAAAAGGTCATATCACAGTGATATATGTGCACCCATATTCATAGCAGCACAATTTGTAATAGCCAAATCTTGGAAACAACCAAGATGCCCATCAACCACCGAGTGGATGAAAAAGATGTGGTATTTTTATGCAATGGAATATTACTCAGCTATAAAAAGGATGATCTTGAGGCCTTCATAGGCAAATGGAGACAACTTGAGGCTATCCTTATTAGTGAAATAAATAAGGATCATATTTATAAATATCACATTTTATCTCTAGTATAAAAAGTAATAAGAAATGTAGGAGTAATAAAACCCAAAATGTGTACTTGTGTTTATAAAACAGAGAGGAAAAGAAAGTGTTCCAAGGATATAACTGCATGTATGTTTAAGTGTATAGGATTGATAACCATATTACTAAGTTTTTGTTGGATAGCTGAACAGAACTGTTTGCAGTCTCACTGTATGAATGCCCACTTTGTATGCTTTACTTTGTAACTTGAACAACTATTTCCAAGACAATATGTAATTGTCAACTAGTGATTTCTGTTTATTTTTTAAAAATTATGTATTATCTACTTTTTCTGGTTTTTTTAATTAAAAAAAAATAAAGTGTTGCTGATGATTCATGGGGGAAAAAAAAACTGTTACAGAGAAGAGACAAATCACCTATAAAGGAAAGCCCAGCAAAAGCCCAGCAGACTTCTAAACACAATGAAGTAAAGAAGAACACAGAATGAGGTATTTCAGATCCTAAAAAAAACTGACTTCTAACCCAGATTGATGTACCCTGAAAAACTGTCCTTCAAAACTGATGGAAAAATAAGATATTTCCATGACAAAGAACAGCTGAAGAACTTCATAACCACCAAACCAACTCTGCAAAGAATATTGAAAGATATTCTAGATAGACATAAAATATATAACTTCAAGAATGCCAACAAGAAAAAAAGCACTAAGCCTGGCAAACAAATAGAGGGTAAAAGTAAAGAATCAACAGCAGAAAGATAACACAACAAAAATAAACCTATATATATATATATATATATATATATATATATATATATACATATATATATCAGTTATAACCATTAATGCAAATGGACTCAAGTCACCAATTCAAAGAAATAGACTGGTGGAATGGATCAAGAAACAACATCCAATCATATCATGTACATCTAATCCAAACGGAAACTCATAGACTGTAAGTCAAAGGATGGAAAACAATACTTCATGCAACGGGAACTACCCACCAAAAAAAAGCAAGGGTAACTACTCTGTTTGCAGACAATGTGAACTTCAAATCAAGAATGATCAAAAGAAAAAGAAAATCACTACGTACTAGTTAGGAGAAAACTTCAAGTGGAAGAGATAACAATCTTAAACATCTATGCAACAAATTCGGGAGCACCAGCTATATAAACAAATATTAACAGAAATGAAAAATCAAATAAGCAATAACACAATTATAATGGGAGACCTTAACACCCCCTGACAATAAGAGACAGATCAACTAGACAGAAAATCAACAAAGAAATAACAGAACCGAATCACATCTGTGAACAAATGCACTTAGTGGACGAGCACAGAGTATTCCATCCTGAAGATCAATGAAATAGATTGTAAGATAGAACTACAACTACACAAAACTCAGCCACCTTATCTTTGACAAAGGGGCCAAACACATTCACCAGAAGAAAGATAATGTCTTTAATAAGTGGTGCTAGAAAAACTGGCTCTCCATATGCCACAAACTAAAACTATACCCATGCCTAGCACCATGCATAAAACTAAAGTCAAAATGGATCAAAGATCTAAATATTAAAACAGAAACACTAAACATGCTGGATGACAAAGTAGTTGGAAATTTTGAAGACACAGGGACAGGCAAGAGAATTCATGAACAAAAATCAAACCACATGGGAAACACTTCCCAGAATCAATAACTGGAATTACGTCTTATTAAAAGTGTTTGCATGTCAAAATAAATCTCCAACAGAGTAAAAGGAAACGTAGAATTTTGAAAAAATCTTAGTAAACTGTCTCGCAAAGGACTTCTACAACATATAAAGTATTTAAAAAATTCTTTATATGTCTAGAACATATAAAGAATTTTAAAAAATCAGACCTCATGAAGTCAAACCAACATTTCATAGAGGATAGCAGCCCTGTGACACAGGCCCTGTGGAGGTGCAGGCAGAGATGGTCACCCAGCACCCTGAGGTGCCCAATGCCAGGGGCTGTGCACTTGAGGGCAATGAGGGTGAGTTCATGTTAGGCACCTTCTGTCCCAATGGAAAGAAGAATAATGGCCAGGTACAGTGAGGTCCACGGTGAGCACAGAAATAAAATGTAGGAAACAGCAGCACACAGCCTGGGAAGGCAGAAATGTCGCACTGTTTCCCTGCACACACGTGGCCTGGTGGGTCGCTGCTGAAGGGAGGCCTGGCTGACCAATGGCACACGCTGGAAGGCAGCAACATACATGCAACAGGATTGAGGCTCAGCAGGGTGAGAGATGTGAATACTAATCCAAAGGGAGGAGGAAAATCAGGGAAGAGCAAACAAAGGGTGGGTAAAACAGAGCTGGAAGACAGGCTGGAACCCAGCTGAGTGAACACAGGGCAGTGATTTGCATTCATCACCAATTACAAAGCACAGACTGTCAGGTGAGATTAACCATTGCACCTACAAAGAAGCTGCTTATTAGCTTTATTTTCCTTTTATGTAGAAATAGTTTCAGATTTTAAGAAGGTCATTGAGTTCCTATACACTGATCACCTGGCTTCTTCAGACAGGAGGAACGTAAGAGATCCGAAGGACGATGAGTGACATTAGGAAGTGGACGTTCCTGCAGTACTGCTAAGTACAGTGGACAATTCACCTGGGCTTCTCCCATCTGTCTTTTACAGGACCTATCTAGGACTCCACATTGTGTGCAGTGACGGGGACACTGCTGTCTCCTCCCATCTGTGGCGGTCCGCTGTCTACCAGGAACGCTGTCCTTGTTCCTCTGCACAGGTCCCTTGGCTGGCTGCCCGACATTCCCCCATGCTGAGACTATGGTGATGTGTTTCTATCAAGAGCACTGCAGAGTTGACGGTCCCACCCCAGGTGTCACACTAGGAGGGTCATGATGTCCCTAAACCCAACAACTGCTGATGTGATGCTGCATCTTCTTGATGGTAGTGTTTGCCAGGATTTGCACAGGAAATTATTATTTCCCAGCTCTGCTATGGATACCATGGGCTGCTACTTGGAAACTACCTACGTAGACTACCCCACTTCCAACTTCTGCTCAGTCAGGGCCCTGTGCTCTACTGGAATGTGCCTGTCTACTGTGTGCCTAAGGGGAATTTTCTCCTTCCGTGTTGCTATCTCTACCTCAGTGGACCAGAAATCCCCTCTGAATATAAGAGTACAATTTGGTCAAAAGAGGATACACAAAGCTCTGGCCAGTTCAATGCCCAAGGCAGTTGCAGTGACAACAGGAGCGTCAGGGAAAGTCAATTTCTGAGTGAAGACTGCATTCCCAAGGATAAAACAGATTGTTTCAGGAGAAAGACACCAATTGACCACAAGTGTGTAAGAATTCAGAACACATGTGCACAGAGCTTCGAAATGTGCAAAAAACTGATAGAAGGACAACTGAATACAGAATTATAGTCAGACATTTCAACGTCCTCACAATTTAATAGAAAAATTAAACACAATTTTTAGGGATCAAAAGATTGTATTTTTTTTCAGAAGATAATTTTTTTATTTAAGGAGAAAAAAGAAAAAAAAACAGAAAAAGGGTACAAGTAATATAAAATTTGAAAAAATAAACAGTAAGAAATCACTAGTGAATAGATTACATATTCTCATCTTAGAAATAGTTGTTCAAATTACAAAATTCAAGCACATAAAGTGGACTTTCAAACAGTGAGAGTGCAAACAGTTTTGTTCAATGATCCAAAAAAAAAAAAAACCCACTCAGTAATATAGTTATCTTATACACTTAAACATATATGCAGTTATAACCTTTAGAGCACTTTTTTTTTTTTTTTTTTTTTGTAGAATGGCAGTTACACATTTTGGGTTTTATGACTCCCACAGTTCTTATTTTTTTTTTTTTTTTTTGAAGAGAGTAAAACCAAATGCGACATATCAGAACAGTCAGTCAAATCAAAAGGATGGACATAATAATGTAAAAACAAAATACTAGGTGATCTCTATATTCGTGGACATAAGAGGCCACATATACAGAGTTCTTACTGAGTTTTCAGGCTAATAAATCCTCAGTGTCTCACGGAGTATTAAAGGTCAACCTATGCCAGTTACAAACAGGGCCTATTTTATATAGGCCCCAGTCCTAAATCTTAAAATGCTTTTATTCCCTTTTAAACTGCCATCCTGGTTTCACATCACTCAGGCCCTAGATCTAACCATACTTTTGATACTCATCTCTGCCTTACGACTCACAGGTTTTCATGTTTTGTCATCCACTTTGGTTCTTAATTTCTTACATTCTATTAATGATCATTTCTATACCAGGACTCTCTAACAGGATTGCCTACAGACTCCAACATAATATATACCAGAGACAAGCCTTACCTACCTACCTTTTACCTTTTATGCTTTCATATGGGGGAGTAAGCACCTCTCATAACTTCACTCCTCCTAATCCCACATTTAATTTTTCAGAATTCTGCCTTGCCATAAAAATGTTCCCACCTCAACGTCATCCTGATAGAATAACATGTCTAAATCAAAGATACCTTTCCCTCTACCTCTCTTGGGTCCATAAATATGACAGTGCCATGTCTCCTCATAACATCTTGTCTCTTTGTTTTTTTCAGTCTAACATACGTGCATTCACCAGTGAAGTTGTCATGGCTAAAACTCCTGGCACCAGCTTCTACCTAGACATCAACTGTCATCCCGTCGACCCCCCTAGACTCCAGTACAGTGCCCTCGGCCAGCAGGAAGTAGTTAAAGAGAGAAATCTTCGCCCCTTTTCCTAATAATCATAAGATGGGATATGAAAGGGTTGCTGGCCCAGGCCGGATACTGTAGCCAGTAAAGCCAGGGAGCTCTTATCTCCCCCCACCTTTAGAAATTACTTCTGGCGCCAAACTAAGACCAGTGGGCTACCTGTACATCCCTAATGCCCCTTAGGTTCCACCCCAGGCTGAGGCTACTTATATGCCTCACTCCACGTGTTCCACGGAGAGATCGCTGGCCCCGGGGTGGAGATGCCATGCCGCAGGGGGTCAGGGGTGTCTCTCCCCGCATTCCCAAAATAAAGGTTACTTACATTTTATACTTCTTATCTTTTCAGCCGCCGCCAGTCCTCCTCCTTTTCCTTCCACTCCACAGTTCTATCAGTTACCATACTGCCTCTTGCTATTTTAAGAATTGGCGGTTATAATAAAATTGAACTAAACAGTAAAGAATAAAACCAAAGCACTGGAGACATTACAGGACTTTAAAAGAAAATAATAGTCAATCAGAATGGGTGTCATAATGATTCTTATTGTGTTCACAGTTATGCCTGTACTTTCGATATTGGTACTATCAAGCAAAGCAGAATAGGGGAAAATCAGTCAAAACAAGATGGTGAGGGCAATACAGGATTTCAAATCAAGTTAATAGGAAATCAAAGTAGGTTACTATAATGTATCCTGCTATTTTTTATTTATTTTCCCTTAATTAAAAAATAAAATTAAAAAAGTAAATAATTAAAAAAAAGGGGGGGGGACTGAGATAAAAGAGGGCATAACAACAGAACAGCGCAGGTCAAATCATAACCATTTAAGCAAACCAGTGTTTCACCACAAGATATCCTGACATAAAAATAGTTACCATAGTGTCTCTTTCCTTGAAATCTTTGAGTATAACTTCTTATACTGTAGCACCAAAGATATCACGACACTATAAATCCATTCAAGAGAATGACATTATTGCAGGGTATTTAGAACCAATTGACAGAAAATGAACAATGGTTTCTATATAAACTCCTTGTCTATAAAAGTTTTTGCTTATACTATCATATATAATAAAATCCAATAAGATACAACCTTTTAACACCAATGGAGACTGAAGAATACACATTTGATGGGACTTCAAAACAAGATGATACTAAATCAGCACTAGCTATTATGATGTCTTGTTTTCTCCAAAATTGCTGTTCCTACCTTCCAATCTTCTCTGCCTCATTTCTGTTGAGCTCTTTTTCTGTCCTTTGTTGTCAGTTTGTCTTCTTCATTTTGTTTTCTGCTCCATTCATTGTGGCCTCTCAGCCACTATTTCTGGAATCTTGGTATTTTCTTTTTTTAGACTATCCTGCAGTATTCTCTGTAGAGTTGAATTAATGGTTGCAAATTCCCCTAGTTCCTCTTTATCCTGGAAGCACCTTGTTTTTCCATCAATTTCTAGGGACAGTTGTGCAGGATACATCAATCTTGCCTGGAGGTTATTATCTTTCAAAGCTTGAATTATTTCCCCCCACGCTCTTCGTGATTTGATGGTTTGTGCCGAGAAGTCTGCTGTAATTTTGATGGGTGTTCCTTTGTAAGTGATCTGTTTCTTGTCTCTGACGGCTTTTAATATTCTGTTCTTATATTGGATTTCTGGAATTTTGATTATTATGTGCCTGGGTGTAGCTCTGTTTGGGTTGTAGATTGCTGGGGTCCTGTATGCCTCATATATCTGAGTATCTTTACCATTTGCCAAATTAGGGAAATTCTCTTGGATTATTTCTGTGAATAGCTTTTGTAGTCTATTTGTTTGTGTCCCCACTTCTTCTCTTACGTTCTTAATTCTTAAGTTATAGATCCTCTTATCATCTTCTAGTTTTTGTATTGTTGCTGTTTGTTTGTTTGTTATTTTTAAGAAGTTTTTCATTACATGCTCCCATATTACAAATCTGCCCTCCAGTTCAGATAATCTGTCCTTAGTTTCTTTCAAGCTGTTATGCCAGTTTTCAATAGTTTTTAGTTTCCTTGTAATCTCTTTGAACCTCCTTCATGTATTCTATGTTTTCTCTATTTTCTCCATCAAACAATTCTCCCCTTTTTTTCTGTTCTTCCATTTCACCATCTGTTTTTTCTTGGGCGGTACTTAGCATTTCTCTAACTATTCTGCTTATGTCTAGCTTCGGGTCATTCATAACTTCATTCCTGAACTCCTCTATGAGGCTCTGGAGATAGCACTTTATATCTATTGGTCCCATGTCTACTATTGCGTGTTTCTCGGGATTGGGGACTGAGGACCCTTTCTTGTTGCTCCCTCTTCCCATATTCTTTGTTCCTTATATTAAGCGTGTATAGGAGGCCCAGCTTCCTTCCCTGTCGGCCAGTCTGTTTGAATTGCCGGCTAGGTGTTCCTGCCCACTGCAGTGTACTAGGGAGACACAGACCTGGGCAGCCTCTTCTGGGCCCGCCCCTCCAGGTCAACCTACCCCCAAGGCTTCACTGCTAGGGTGCGCCTTCAGGTGCTGGGACCTGAGTTGGGCTAGCCTATTGGGTCTCAGCCAGCGGCTTCTCACAGGCCAGGCACTCCCCACCAATCCCGCTTGAGAGGGGGATATGTGACTGAAGTCACTGCAGCTTCTTGTTCCGGGAAGTCTGCCTGGTCCGAGTATGTCCTCCGCTGAAGCCTGCTTCTCTATGTAAGGGTCCAATTCACTGGCTCACTCACCGCAGGTCGATGCAGGGCACCGGCCAGTCCTGCTCCCATCTCCTTTCAACGCTTCTCACTCTCCGAGGTTTTGCACCTCTCTCCCTGCTGTGCCGACCGGGATGCAACAGCAGCTGCAGGTAATTCAAATTGCAGTTTCCAGTGGCGCGGGTCCAGCTTCCGCGCTGAGACCTTATCTGTGCCTGCTGTCTTGCCAGGATTGCATTTCCAGATGGTTTCTCTTAATTTAGTTCATTCCTGGGTCAGCAAAGAATATCCCCCCTTGCCTGGATCTTCCCGTCCTGCACCATTCCTAGATTTCAAGTGCAGTTTCTCCGAGAGCCTCAGAGGCTGCTGCTATCTATCCGCCATGTTCTTCTGGTAAAAAAGGTTGTATATTATGGACAAACTTATACCAACTGCCACTGACAGAAGCATCCCATCCAAACAACAGTGCAGGATTCACTGCTGTACATGGAGGAAATGTTTCCAGCACAGTCACAAAATAAACCCCAATCAATTTAAAAGAATTTCAATTATGCAGAGAATTTTGTCTCACTATGATGAAATACGTTTAGAAATTAACACTAGGGACAGCACTATTTACCTAGAACCTGAAAGAGTAAACAGTTAAGAGGAAGCATGGAGATGGAGCTCAGGGACAAAGTGCCTGCCTGACAAGCACAAGGCCCTGAGTTCAATTCCCAGGGCCAAAAATACAACCTAAAACAAAAACGGTTCAGGGGAGAATATTAGCAGATATATTTGAAAGCTCTGATGCAGGGAACAAACTTTTTGAAAGACAAGAAGGATCCAAGTCTCTGGACCTGAGCCTCATTTGCATGGAAGACACTGAATTGGTTAGAACCTTCCCAGTAACTGCAGGCTTGAATAGCTTCACTGCTGAATTTTAACCAGCACTGAAGGTAGAAGTACTATCAGTTTTACACATTGTCATAAGAATTTGAATAGAAAGATTTCTCAACTTATGAGGTCACTGTTGTGATTATTCAGAATGGACACAAGTATCACAGAGATAATCTATACATCAATACCCTTGAAAAGAACAGACAACAATGTTCTTAAAACTTAAACAATGGAAAGAAAGGCTTGTGGTTCACCACACCTCTTAGAGCATCACTGAAAAACACTAACTAAAGAGATTTCCACAGTAGTGACAGTGAATTATCATCTGAATTATTCAAGGTGATAAAAGCTTAAATTCAACAGAATGATCAGTACATTTACAAAATACACTACTACAAAATTACCTGAGCTAAAAAAAAAAAAGACATGATACACAATGTAGATGAGTGACTTAGCAAGGAATTTGAGTCCACAAATGGTACCAAACAGAAATCCAAGAGAATTAAATTTGTATCCAAAGTGGGGGCAACAGAAATGACCACAAGGACAGAGCCCTGGAGTTAGAAGACAGGGCTGGTGTCAGTGCCCAAATACTCAGGGACACCTTACAAAATTGGAACATGGACAGTAGATCCAACAGCTATTAGATGGTGCACAGACAACTAACTAGAATAAGTGAAAAACCACAAGACAGCACACATGGCATAAAAATCTGTGACAGAAACAATAGCAGAAAACTTTCTGAATATGGGGAAGTAACTTGACATACAGATAAGAAAGACAGATGAAACCCCAAGTAGCCACAATCAGAAAAGGATCTCCCCATGACATATGACAGTCAATACCTGGGAAGTCCAAGGTGAGAACAGAATCTTATAACCTCATAAAGAAAAGCAAGGAATCACTTATAAATGTAAAACCATTAGAAATACAGCACACTTTTCAACACAAACTGTTAAGACCAGGAGAGCTTGGAGTGAGGTATTTCAACACATAAAAGAAAGCAACTTCCAACCCAGGTGATATATCCTACAGAACTCTCTTTCAAAACCGCTCTGCAGGACTTCAGGGCGACCACTTCCCTCGCTGGAGCCCAGCCAGTCCTGTCTGAAACACACTGTGGATGGCCTGGCTGCAAGGCCTCTCTAGCTTCCCTGGCCTTGAAACTGTCAGATTGTTTGACACTGTTAGTGTAGAAACAGGAGAAGTGACTGGGAGCCCCTGGCTTAGAGGGGCAGTGATCTCAGTGCCCAGGGATTTCCCTGAACTCTCAGAGGACGAGCAGGAGTTCTCCCAGGGCCTGGCACATGTATGACCGTCCTGATGTTCACCTCAGAGACAGAATACTGAACTCCAGTTGCAGGAGGTGTGTTGCCTCCCAGGATTTGGCAACTGTAGATAGAGAGCTTGTCTGCATGGCAGGATGTAGGTGAAACCTCCAGAGGAGTCTTCAAGGTTAGATGATGACACTGTGAACAGCATCCCTGCAAACTTTCCTGGTCTTGACTATTTCAGGAGCATAACACTAACTTTGTCATAAAGGTGCAGAAACATAGGTTTACCAGACACACACTCATTCTTTAGAATATTTCTATTGATGAGTTATTAACTTTATTTTTATAAGTGTTGTTATATTACACATTGGCTTACCAGGAAAAAAAACAAAAAAATATAAAGTATTGAATTTTTAATATTTATTGAGTGTTTATAATAAAGCATCAAAATTTAAAACATCAACAATTTTTTGGCATAAAGTCTACAAAAAATAACAAAAATATTCCTATACAAATTACACTGAAAATACCAACAGCAATTTACAAAAAAGTAATCTTCACTTCAATTATCACATCTAAATCAGTCTGTGCACATGACCACAGCGTATTCCATAGACACATAATACTCACACTGGGAGCACACGTTTTGCTGTCCTACTCTTTTTGTAGGATATACTTGATATCTCAGTAGTTTTGCTGTTTTGTCAAGGTTATTGTGTTACAGAGTGTGCAGCCAACAGGAACATAAAATATCAAAAGAAGTTCTTAAATTCTTACTGTGTGTTGTGCCTTTAGAATACACATCAATGGGGCTGGGGGTTTAGCTCAGCACCATAAGCACCTGCCTTGCAAGCAGGCGGTCATGAGTTCAATCCCCGGTACTGATAAAAAAGTGAAAAAGACAAAAAAAAAAAAAAAAAAGAAAAAAAAAAAGAATACACATCGATATCTTTTCACATCAGCTGTGTATTTCTTTATAAAACCCAAAGATAACATCAAAAATAGAAACCTATGTGAACTGCAATGTAAACAGAAACAAAAATCTACCACATAAATAAGCTTTGCTTCAACTGTCATATCCAAAGCAGTCTTTGCACTTGTCATACCCAAGGCAGTCTTGCATGTTCCATACACGAGGGACACTTCCACTGATAGCATGTTTTGTTTTCCTGTATTTTCTTGTAGGACACAGTTGAGATCTTTTTGTTTTCCTCTTATCATCGTGGATCTAGGAAGCTGTGTGTGCCTATTCACCTGTCAGCTCACCAGTGCACTCCACAGTACTTCACATAATTCACTGACAAGAAAAGCTGGATTTTTCTCTGCTGTAAATAATCTCATATGAACTGTAGTCCCAAACCATAAGAACATTTCTGTTCATAACATCATCTGGTTTATTATTCTATGAATAAACACCTTGTGGCTAAGTTCAAGCTAAATGTCTAAGTTGAAAGCACAAAAAGTCCTCACATGCACAAGGGCATGCATTATGCCAGAGTTGACCCATCATTTTCCATGAGGCCTTTACATTCCTGCAATCCCTATGAGAATCCACTATGAGAAATCCCTCCTAAGCACACAGATCCATAAATGCTTTCAGTTCAGCACCATGTCATAAAACATTTTTGAATATGGCTAATGGTGCATAGAGAACACTTTACTTGAATTTTAACCTCTATATTTCACAGAATCTTGTAACATTTCATGTGTTAAAATTTCCAACTTTGAATAGCAGTATCAGCATTCGTCCAATACATTTCACTCTTGCCAAGTCCCTCACTATATTTTTGGACTTAGTATTAACATTAGATCATTTCATTTGGTTATGTGGCCATTTTGCAACATTTTCACTAGTCAAATATGTATTCACATTGTTTTCTTTGTCATCTTAACAAAGGAGGTCGGTATCAGTATCAGTTGATCTTTGCTCCACTTCACTGTCCCAGGAAGTTTGACTCACATGGCCAATGTCAAAGTCCTCTCCCTCCTCTTCATCGACATCCATCCATCCACAACACTCTTCTGTTATGAAAGTGTTTTGTCATAATGGATCATCTTCATCACTCATGCATGAGTAATCTGACGATTCATTCACTTGTGACCTCCTCCAAGATATAGTTTTCACATGCCATTGTACAGAACTGGGCTATTTCCACCAGAAAAATCAAAAGAAAGCTTTTAAAAAGACAAATCCTGGAGTAATGGGAGATTATTGAACCCTCTTTGATGCTTGAATAAACACACAAAAGCAGTTAGATGGAGCACAACGTGGGTGAAAATCCCATTTTGAGACTTTTCCACTTGCTCACCCACTTCATTGTTTGACACAGCAAGTTGGTAATCACATAAACTGCTTTCCAGTGTTCCTCAGGGGAAGGTAGTGACATGCCCAGCTGGCTATTGCACTAAAGTAAAATTTACTGGTACAGGATAGGCCTACTGCATGTGGTTATGTTGCTACCTACACTCTAATATGTCCTTGTGTCTCCTGAAACCTTTTCTTAACCAAAGACCCACTCCAACAGTAGAGTGGCCAACTCTTCTGTATTTGGCACAGAGGACTTTTACTTTGTACTTTTTCTACCTTCTTGCTTTGCATCTAATTGGGTGAGGTTTCCCATCTCGTCTCCCAGTCTCTGCTTTTGATTGGGAAGACACTGCCCCTTCATTAGAAGGGAATTAGAGCTTGCAAGAGTTTGCCTCTGTCAGGTGGCTGTTTCATGAGCCTTGCAGCATCTTGTCCTTGCTCTTTTTCATCTTCTTCTTCTTTATTTTTTAAAATTTTATTTTATTTTATGTTTTTCGTATCAGGGATCAAACTCAGGACCTCACACTTGCCAGACAGATCTTATGCTGCTGAGTTAAATCCCTGGCCTAAATAGAGGATAAAACCAAGGAAAATAAAACAGAACAAAACCGATCAAGATAAACCAGTATAAGTGATACAGGTCTTTAAAACTTAGAAAATCAGCAATAGTTACCATAATGCCTCTATCATCTTCAAAATAGCTGCAGATACCTTTGGACCTGGTAAAAATCAAACAACAGAATAGAGCAGAAACAACAAACACAAAACAATGACTGCAGTAAAGGACTTCAAAACAAGCTCACAGTAAGTCCAGAATGGCTACCATAACACGTCTTGCTATCTTTTGAACAGTTGTTCATGGCATCAGATTTAATATAATCAAACAAAATGAAAGAATAAAACCCAACCAACAAAGCAATGAAAATGACATGGTTTCCAGGCAGGGCCCACCCCCTTGTGAGGCCTGGTTCTCGCTCCACAGTCTGCGAATGCTGCTGACTGGGAGAGAGGCTTGGGCGTGGCTGTCCCCACTCCAGCAGCAGCTGTCCTGCTCTTCTGCAGGAGTCATTCGTTTTGGAGTCAATGGGCTCGTCACCTGTGTAAAAGCTATTTATGTTTTCTTTGAGGATGCCGTGGATATAACTTTGAAAATCCCAAGGCCACCCCAGGGTGGTGTGAATCCGTGGCAGTTAAACATAGCCATATACAGGATGCTGCCCCACATCTGGGGAGTGAGTTTGTAGTTTCCTCCACGTATGCCACACTGTGTCTCAGGAAATACAGTACTACAGGGTGCCTTGTTTTCTTTTCAATATGTGAGCCTCTAACATGTAGAATACAAAACCAGTCCTGATTTTCATAAAGGTCCACATATTCAGCTTTAACAGACTTTTCTTCAGACTTGAGTTCCTGCAAAAAAATTCTCCTTTGTGAGCCAGGGTCTTGCTCTGTAGCCCAGGCTGGCCTTGAACTCACAGTGATCATCTTGCCTCAGCCTCCTGAGTGCTGGATCACAGGCATGTGGGACCACAGCTGGTTCTTTCATTTCAACCTAAGGGACTCCTCTACCCAAGGCAGGCCTAGTAGGAAGGACGGACATTCTTCAGTGCTTGCATCTAGGAATGTCTGAGCTTTCCCCCTCATTTTAAGGACAGTTTTGCTGGATGTAAAATGCTTAGTTGAGAGAGCTTTTTGTTTTGTTTCACTGTTTCATTCACACAGCACATGTCCACCTGTTTCCTTCTGTCCTCCTGTAACAGAATATCCCGCACCCCAGTCAGTATACTGCAGTTCTTAGTTGTCCAGGTAACAGTTCTGTCTCTAAGAAACGGCTGGTCACTGAGACGCCTAGCTGGTCACTGTGATGCACGCTGCATAAACCAACCCCAATCAACAAGCCATTTTGCCCCGGTACTCCCCACTTGCTTATCCTATACAGGCCTCAGACCATCAGAGATCAGGCCCTGATATTCTGGGAATGTACCAATCAGTGCCCGTTGGTGTAAATAAATGTGTCTCCAACTCCTGGGTGTCCTTTCTGTGACTGTGCTTGCCGCTGCTCTCCAAGGATTTTGAGGATAAGTCTAATGATTATGTTTTTGGGGAATTGCTGTCAGCTGCACAGGCATTAATTTATTTGTCATATTTTATACACTGAACGTTACGTTATTCTAATGTAAGTGAAGTTGCAGCATCACTTTGACACCAGTAAGAATTAAGAGCAAAAGGAACTGGAGATGCTGAGTGTAGACATCATGGGATCTCTAAATGCAAGAGGTATTACAGATGCTGAGAACAGATTCTCAGAACAGAAACAAAAAGGGATATTGAAGCATCCTACAGGTCTGAATTTCTAAAACAAAAGTGTCAATCTCCATAACTCACATTAGTAAGACATTTTGTAACATTTTTCTGTTAGAATCAAAAGACCCTCATGGCCAAGAGTGTGATGAGTGAAGTGGAGGTGACCAGCTCTGCCTGGGCCCACTGGCACCATGACCTCACAAGATCCCCTGTGAGGTCACAGCAGTTAGCTGTGTAAGGTAGGGTGTTCACCCCAGAGACTCTTTGTGGGTGAAGTAGATTGGTGTTTGGAGTTGAGTTGGCGTTTTGAGATTCGAAATTTTTGTCATTGATTTTATAAAGCCTAGTTCCATCAGGGCACCCTTCGAGGTGGGTAAAACATCTTTGCTGGACGTCATGTCATCGTCCACAGAAATGTCATCGTTCACAGGAAACTTCCATCAAGACTATGACGTGCTGATGCCCCTTGGTGAGGGTCACTTTGCCAAGGTGGTACTCGCTGAACATGTGAGCACAAGGATGCTGGTAGCTGTGAAGGTACTTCAAAAGGACAAGTTGAGGCCTACTGCTGTTAGACGGGAGGTCAGCATCCTAAAGGACCTTCAGCACCCCAATATCATTCAGTTGCTGGAAGTGTCAGAAAATAGTACCACTATGTTCCTGGTAATGGAATATGCACGCGGGAAAGACCTGCAGCGACATATCAAGCGTGCTGAGAGACAGAAGCTGCAGGAGGAAAGGGCACGGCTGATATTCCGAGAACTCCTGGAGGCTGTGCAGTACTGCCATAACAGGGGAGTCATCCATGGGGACCTGAAACCGGCGAACATATTAATGGACCGTGAAGGCCACCCCAAGCTCAGCGATTTTGGCGTGGCTTTCAGGTTCCTTCCTGGCCAGGAGGTGACCACGTGTGGAGGCACCCGAAAGTATGCTGCCCCAGAGATATTTTTACAAAAGAAATACCAAGGCCCACCACTGGACATTTGGTCTTTAGGGATACTTTTATTTGAGATGCTCGCTGGGGTACGCCCATTTAGTGGGAGCCAAACACGACTGACAAAGGATGCCCTAAAGGGGCGATACCAGTTTCCCCAGCACTTCTCCAAAGAGGTGCAAAGCTTAATAAAGGGTCTTCTCAACCCTGACCCAAGAATGCGCCCTACTTTAGAGAAAGTAAGGCAGCATCCATGGCTTCAGCTTGAATCTGTCCCTTGTCATCCTCCTCAACTGCTCCCCAAGGCCACAGAAAGGGCAATATTGCACATTATGGCTGGGAAGGGGTACAACCGGCTGAAGGTGATTGATGCAGTGAAGTGCAGAAAATACGATCCTGACATGGCGCCCTTCCTGCTACTACAGGACATGGCACTCGAGAAACTCCACTTGAGGTCTGAGGTGAAGCCCACACACAAACGTGAGGCTGAAGATCTGTTTGAACAGTCCACAAACAAAGATGAGTATACAGATGAATATCAGCCATCTTCATCTCCTCCCCCTGTAGCATCTCACAAACCAAGCCGTGCTATTGCTACTACCAAGGCCTGCCAGCCCAGCCATACTACTACCATCAAGTCCTGCCATCCAGGCCCTTCTACTCCCAAAGCATCCCGTCAACCAAGCCCTGCTTCTCCCATCAAGTCCTATCATCCAGGACCTGCTACCCCTAAAGCATCCCGTCAACCAAGCCCTGCTTCTCCCATCAAGTCCTACGATACAGGACCTGCTACCCCTAAAGCATCCCGTCAACCAAGCCCTGCTTCTTCCATCAAGTCCTACCATTCAGGGCCTGCTACCCCTAAAGCATCCCGTCAACCAAGCCCTGCTTCTTCCATCAAGTCCTACCATTCAGGGCCTGCTACCCCTAAAGCATCCCGTCAACCAAGCCCTGCTTCTCCCATCAAGTCCTATCATCCAGGACCTGCTACCCCTAAAGCATCCCGTCAACCAAGCCCTGCTTCTCCCATCAAGTCCTACGATACAGGACCTGCTACCCCTAAAGCATCCCGTCAACCAAGCCCTGCTTCTTCCATCAAGTCCTACCATTCAGGGCCTGCTACCCCTAAAGCATCCCGTCAACCAAGCCCTGTTTCTCCCATCAAGTCCTACGATACAGGACCTGCTACCCCTAAAGCATCCCGTCAACCAAGCCCTGCTTCTTCCATCAAGTCCTACCATTCAGGGCCTGCTACCCCTAAAGCATCCCGTCAACCAAGCCCTGCTTCTTCCATCAAGTCCTACCATTCAGGGCCTGCTACCCTTAAAGCATCCCGTCAACCAAGCCCTGCTTCTCCCATCAAGTCCTATCATCCAGGACCTGCTACCCCTAAAGCATCCCGTCAACCAAGCCCTGCTTCTCCCATCAAGTCCTACGATACAGGACCTGCTACCCCTAAAGCATCCCGTCAACCAAGCCCTGCTTCTCCCATCAAGTCCTATCATCCAGGACCTGCTACCCCTAAAGCATCCGGTCAACCAAGCCCTGCTTCTTCCATCAAGTCCTACTATACAGGACCTGCTACCCCTAAAGCATCCCGTCAACCAAGCCCTGCTTCTCCCATCAAGTCCTACGATACAGGACCTGCTACCCCTAAAGCATCCCGTCAACCAAGCCCTGCTTCTTCCATCAAGTCCTACCATTCAGGGCCTGCTACCCCTAAAGCATCCCGTCAACCAAGCCCTGCTTCTCCCATCAAGTCCTATCATCCAGGACCTGCTACCCCTAAAGCATCCCGTCAACCAAGCCCTGCTTCTCCCATCAAGTCCTACTATACAGGACCTGCTACCCCTAAAGCATCCCGTCAACCAAGCCCTGCTTCTTCCATCAAGTCCTACCATTCAGGGCCTGCTACCCCTAAAGCATCCCGTCAACCAAGCCCTGCTGTTCCCATCAAGTCCTGTAAAACCAGCCGTGCCTCTACTGAGTCATACTGGCAGCCCAATCCTGCCTCTCCCGGTGAGTCCTTCCAGCACAGCCCTGGGACTCCAAATGCTGCCTTCACTGCTGCCCCAGCCCCTGTCAGCAGTAGGAGGTGGGGCTGGAAAACTGTCAAGAGAACCATGAGAGACTGCCTGCAGGCCCTGTGCTGCTGCCCCCTATCGACGTGCAAGTGTCACAAACACAAGGTGGTCGCAGTGTAAGTACTGCACAGTAGAGAACCAGAGGTCACTCAAGGAGTCTGAGTGGTCCGGCTGCTTCCTCAGAATGTGCTGTGTCTCGATATCATTTTCAACTGTCAGGGAAGAACTGTAGGGAGGAGAGGAGGGGAGGGAGAAGGGTAGGTGTGGGCAGAGGCCAGGTGTGGGTAGGAGGAGTTGCAGTGGGGTCTGCTGCAGAGGAGGCTGGAGTGACCACAGCCACCACTGTATGCTGTGTTTCCCAGTGAGCGTGCATTACACATGTCTCCTTGCCTTTGTAGTGCAGATCCATGATCCCTCCTATGGATGTGGTCATCCTGACAGCGAGGTCAGCCACACAAGTGGAAGCCACAGTGAGTTGCCTTGCAGCCCTTTGTGCAGGGAGCTGGAGGGGAGAGGAGGAGTCAAGATCACTAGTGTATCCTGTGGGCGAGAAGCAGAGGGAGGGGTTGGTGCACAGCATGGGAAGGCTGCACAGGCACCAGGAACTGAGAGCCAGCGAGAGGAAGACAGGAGGAGCAGGGGGGAGAGTCACCTGGCTTGTGTCCTGCTGTCTGAGGGAGGCTGCCCCAGGGACAGGGAGGGCTGGGCACCATGGACCTGACCACAACCTCCCATGAGGATGCAGGGAGACCTGGGTACCATGGACCTGACCACACCTGACCACTACCTCCCTTATTGTGCCTGGCAGTAGGGTGTGTTCTGGGAAGAGCAAGGGGTCATCTACCATCACCCCCACACATCCCCATGAAGAGACATGGACCCAAACCCTGGTCTTCTGAATGCTGTCCCCAAGTCTGTGTCTGCAAGCCTTTGAAAGGAGCCCATTGAAGTCTTGTGTCAGTAAACAGAGACTCATATCCAGCCTTGAGGGCACACAGGCATGCGTGTGGTGGGGACAGAGTTTGGAACAAGAGAAATCTCCACACGTGATGGTGTTGCTTGCCACCGTGGGAACAGTGACATTTGGTAAAGAGAAGACATTCGTGGCTTCCAAACTGTGGTCTGTGTTTGCAGCACCTGGGGCAGGATCTGAACCAGAGAGTGTTCAGGGCAAGTTGGAACATGCACATAACACATGTCATGGTGCATCTTGCTTCTGCATTTTCTCATTTTCTATCTTTGTACTTGTTTTCTGCCTTGAGGCTTGTAAATTGCTTATGGTCAGTAGTTTATTACTAGTATTGGGACCTCTTAAGGAAATGACTATTTTCAGAGATGTTCTGTAGGGGTAGCTGGCTTTGGATTCTGTCATCCCAAGATTTTGCCTCTTCTTTTCTTAAAGGAACTTTTTTTTTTTTTTCAAAACGAGAAACTATGGAATTTCTTTTTTGGTACTGGGAGTCAAACTCAGGGTCTTGTGTTTGCCAGGCAGGAGCTGTGCCACTGAGCTCCATCCCCAGCCCTGCCTCTTCAGTTCGGTAGGAATGAAGGGCTGCTGCCTGTTTGGCCCAGCACCCAGTTCTTATAGTTCTGTAGTCCAGAACTACAGGATTGTTTGTGCCCCTCAGACAACTGAGGTGGTGGTGTTCAAAGAAGATCAGTTGATGCCAATAACTCTGTCACTTTGGCTAACATAGTACAATCAGCTATAACAACTGCAACCAACACAGCCAGGAAATGATAAACTCTTATGACCAAGGACATGCCTGCTTTAATCACAGGTATGAGATTTGTAGTTACACAGCCAACTATAAGGCAAAGCAGAATATTATATACAGTAAGTATATACTCAGTAGAGCAATTTGCCCTAAAGGGAGAAAATTTATTAGGGATACCAAGAAAATATAGAAAAATAAAAGAGAGATAAGAAGACTGAAGTACAAAGGGAGATTACCAGGCCTTAGAAAACGAGTGATAAAACAGGAGCAAAAAGCAGGACCAAAAAAGAGAGAAAAATACAAAAGCTGAGAACAATGTACACAGGCAGGAAAAACAAAACACAAAGACAAAAAGTTCTCTGACTTTAAACCTGTGGCAGGCCTCTGCGGTCTGTGGTCTTATTGCAGTGTCCAGTGCAGAGAAGACAGTGGAGGCACTCCAAGCCCAGCTGCGTGCTGTCAGATCCCAGCAAGCCTGCAGTAGTGTTTCGGGCCCCTGAGTTAGCTAGAAATACTATAGGCAGGGAGACAGGGCTAGGTCCTGAAGGAGCCAGTGCAGGAGCTCAGATACCTTGCAGCTAAGGGGAGACAGGCACCTCCTGCTGTGGGCCAAACCTCAAGACAAAAGATCAAACAAATACATCCATAAGGACTGATGTTCTAAATAGCTTCTTAGCACCCCGCGGAAGTCAGGAGTCACCATTCCAACCCCCTAGGGAAGATTCACTGCTCTCTAAGAATGCCTGCTTTCTAAGTGGCTCACTTCCCCATTTGTCCCCAATTTAATGAATTTACCTGAACTATTAATCTTATTGGTTAACCATAGTTCTGCCCTACCTTATGCCCATCTGCCTTGTGAGTTCCCAGTTTTGCCCACAAGTCCATCTCATCCCATGATTTTCCTCTATAAACGTCCCTGGGAAAGACAGAGTCCCACTGCTTGGGACTCCTCCTGTCTCTCTCAGACAGAAGCTTGCTTTCTCTCAATAAATATATTTTACTCTTTACCTCTATTGTTCCTAAAATTTACTCTTTGATTTTAGAGAACACGAATTCACCTTCAGCCGGTTGTACCCCTTCCCAGCCATAATGTGCCCTTTCTGTGGCTTTGGGGAGCAGTTGAGGAGGATGACAAGGGACAGATTCAAGCTGAAGCCATGGATGCTGCCTTACTTGCTCCAAGGTAGGGCGCATGCTTGGGTCAGGGTTGAGAAGACCCTTGATTAAGCTTTGCACCTCTTTGGAGAAGTGCTGGGGAAACTGGTATCGCCACTTTAGGGCATTCTTTGTCAACTGTGTTTTGCTCCTACTGACATAGTAGGTCAGGAGTTTCACTCCCCTATATCATTTGGAGGTCTTCCACTGAGATCAGCCAGCTTGGTGCATGCTCCAGTATCTTAACAGTATTGAAAGTATGGCTCACATCATGAGTCACTTAGTTAAAAATGTTCACAGTATGTTGTACATCTAAGAAAGCACAATAAATACAACATATTATGGACCTTTTTTTTTTTTTTGTCCCAGGGATTAAACTCACAACTTGCAGTTGTCAAGCAGGCACTTATGCCACTGAGCTAAATCCCTAGCCCGATATTACAGACTTTTAAAACTAACTGTGTGGTCCTTGAGACAGTAAACTGTCTGCATTCAAGGCCTGGATCCACCTGAAACTGCATGTACAATTCAGGTGAACTTACGTCTTGGCTTGCTGGCCTTAAGAACAGTAAGGATACCCTAGCAATAATTAAAATCTGTTGTGACTGTCACATCTTTTGTCTTTTTTTTCCTTTAGATCACCTTATCTCCTAGGTTACTGAATTAAACAGTGTATGTAAAGGTCCTGGAGGAGTGATGTTCCATCAAGTGTCACACATGTATTTTATTTTAATTGTGGTTTTTGTTAATCTATGTTCAAGCAGAGGTAGGAAAGTTTATGTTCACGTATAGAAAAATCTCTTGCATGTGTATTTCAACAAAAGAATATGTAATAGAGCAGTAACCCTTCTTCACTTATTCTTAATAATAAAATAAACTGATTACTATGTGTACTGTTTCAGGCACTTAATAAAGCCCAACATAACACAATACAAACCGTACTGATGCCACTGGATATTAAAGGAATTAAGCAACTGAGCTACACTAGACTTCATTTCAGCATTTTAGATCCTTTCAAAGGACTACACTTGAATGTCTTTGCACGATGACCACTTAGTTCTTTATACTCTGACCTTGGTTAAGCCCAGTTATGTTCCTTTTGTTACCAGGGTTCTCCAGGTGATCACCTGATTGCTCCACTCCTGATTGGTCAGCTTTTTAATACTGAGACACCTGATGAGCTTATTCATTTATTTATTCATGGACCACTGTTTCTTGCTTGTACCTCTGGCTGACTAAACTAGGAACAGATTCAGTCTTGCAAGATTGTTGCAAAAAACAGAAAAAAAAATTCGTCTTCTACTTGAAAAAGCCCATCTAAATTTAAAAAAAATAACTATTCTTCCGGGAGAACATGGCGGACAGATAACAGCAACTACCAGAGGCTCTCTGAAAAACTAGGCTCAGAAGCCAGGTATGGTGCGGACTAAAGAGACATAAGCAGGTGGAGTTATGCTCTGCTGACTCAGGAACGAAGTCCGCTGAGAGAAACCAACTTGGAATGCAGTCCTGGTGCTAAAACAGGAACAGAAAAGCCTCTGCTGGACCCCGCGCCATTGGAAGCCGCGAGTTGGGTTTCCCACCGCGCGGTGGCTGGCTGCCTCTACATCGGCTCAGCAAGGAGAGAGACACACGGAAACTCTGAGAACGGGAGTTTGCGAATGGAGTCGAAAACAGGATGGGCAGGGAGGCATGTTCTGACTTGTGGCGAGGTCAGTGAGAGAAACTGACACTCCACCACAGTTTGAGTCCAGCGGATTTTCTGGGCCCGAGCAGTCCTGCGGGAGCAGGGCGCGGTGGCGACTCCAGCCACACATTCCCCTCTCGGGCGGGATTGGTGAAAAGTGCCTGGCCTGCGCGAAGCTGCCGGCGGACCCCATAGGCTGGCCCGACCCAGATCCCAGAGCCCCACGGAGGCCGGGAGGGGCGGGCCCCGCGTAGGCTGCCTGGTGCGCAGAGGTGAGTGGGAACACCTAACTGGCGCAATTCAATCAGGCTGTGGCTGACAGGGAGAGAAGCTGGGCCTCTCATATAAGCTTGCATATATAAGGAACAGGGAATATGGGAAGAGGCAGCAACAAGAAAGGCTCCTCGGCCCCCAACTCTGAGAAACAGGCAATAGCGGACACCGCACCAATAGACATAAAGCGCCATATAGAGAGCCTCATAGACCAATTCAGGAATGAAGTTATCAATGACCTGAAGCTAGAAGTATGCAAAATTGTTAGAGAAATGCTAAGTACCACCCAAGAAAAAACAGATGGTGGAATGGAAGAAGAGAAAAAGAGGGGAGAATTGTTTGATGGAGATAACAGGGAAAGTAAAGAATACGTGAAGCAGGTTCAAAGGGACTACCAAGAAACTAAGAAGTCTATCGAAGACTGGCATAACAGCTTGAAAGAAACTAAGGACAGACTATCTGAACTGGAGGGCAGAATTGTAATATGGGAGAATGAAATGAAAAACTTCTTGAAAATAATAAAGAAACAAACAGCAATAATACAAAGACAAGAAGATGATAAGAGGATCCATAACTTAAGGATTAAGAACACAAAAGAAGAAGTAGGGACACAAACAAATGAACTACAAAAGCTACTCACAGAAATAATCCAGGAGAATTTTCCTAATTTAGCAAAAGGTAAAGATACTCAGATGTATGAGGCATACAGGACCCCAGCTACCTACAACCCAAACAGAGCAACACCCAGGCATATAATAATAAAAATTCCAGAAATTCAATACAAGAACAGAATATGAAAAGCTGTCAGAGACAAGAAACAGACCACTTACAAGGGAGCACCCATCAGAATTACAGCAGATTTCTCTGCACAAACCATCAAATCACGAAGAGCGTGGGGGGAAATAATTCAAGCTTTGAAAGATAATAATCTCCAGCAAAGATTGAGATATCCTGCACAACTGTCCCTGGAAATTGATGGAAAAACAAGGTGCTTCCAGGATAAAGAGGAACTGGGGGAATTTGCAACCACCAATTCAACTCTAGAGAGAGTATTACAGGATATTCTAAAAAAAGAAAAATACAAAGAATCCAGAAATAGTGGAGGCCACAACGAATGGAGCAGAGAACAAAGTGAAGAAGACAAACTGACAGCTACTGACAGAATAAGAGCTCAACAGAAATGAGGCAGAGAAGATTGGATGATAGGAACAGCTATTTTGGAGAAAATGACATCTTAGTAGGTAATACTGATTTAGTATCATCTTGTTTTGAAGTCTCATCTAGCTTTTGTCCTTCTGTCTCCATTGGTCTAAACAGGTTGTATCTTATTGGATTTTATTATGTACGATAGTATAAGCAAAAACCTTTTAAAGACAAGGAGATTATACAGAAACCATTGTTCATTTTCTGTTAGTCGATTCTAAATACTCTGTAATGCTGTCATTCTCTTAAATGGTTTTACATTGTTTTGATATACTTAATGCTACAGTATACGAAGTTGTACTCAAGGATTTCAAGGAAAGAGATAATATGGTAACTACTTTTAGGTCAGGATTATCTAGTGGTGAAACAGTATTCTGCTTAAATGGTTATCTTTTGATCTGCGCTGTTTTGTTGTTATGCCCTCTTTTATCTCAATCTCCACTCCATTATTTACTTTTTTATTTTTATCCTTTTAATTAAAGGAAAAAATAGCAGGATATATTATAGTAACCCACTTTGACTTTCCATTACCTCGATTTAAAGCCCTGTATTACTCTCACCATCTGGTTTTTAACTGATGTTCCCCTATTCTGTTTTGCTGGATAGTATCAGGTTCGAAAATTTAGGCATCAGCTGTGAAGATAATGAGACTCATTATAATGCCCATTCTCATTGACTTTTATCTACTTTTGAAGACCTACAATGTCTCCAATGTTTTGGTTTTGTCGGTTTTATTCTTTACTGTTTTGTTCAATTGTATTATAACTAACGATATAGGCAATTCTATTAGAGATAGCGGGAGGCATTATGGTAACCATTGTTGATCACCTTGTATTATGTTTTCACATTATCTATTATGTCCACCCTTTTGACTTGACCGATTGCATTCTGTTATGTCCCATTTGGTTTTACTCTCTTCCAAAAAAGTAATAAGAACCGTGGGAGCAATGAAACCCAAATTGTACAAAAGAGAGGAAAAGAAAGTGCTCTAAACTATATAACTGCATGTATATTTAAGTGTATAAGATAGAAAATGATATCAGAGTTTTATTGGATCATTGAACAGAACTATTTGCAGTATCATTGATGGAATGTCCACTTTACAAGCTTTAATTTTGTGACTTGAACAATTATTTCTAAGATGACAATATGTAATCCATTAACTAGTGATTTCCTACTGTTCATTTTTTTTCTGCAAATCTGTATAACTTGTACCCTTTCTCTGCTTTTTTTTCTTTTCTCCTTAAATAGAATTAAAAAATAAATAAATAAAAATAAAAAAATAACTATTGTGCCCAATGTGACTGGTGATTATAGAGATAAAATACAAGTTCTTGCATGTGCTGTGGATATCTGGGAGACTATGCCGCACAATTACTTTTGTTACCTATGAAAAAGCCTTTTTTTTTTTTGTTAAGTATGTAATTTCAGTAAAACAGTGGCCTGCCATGTGGGCAATGGCCCACCCTGGGACAAAAAAAAAGCAGTGTGCCATCCGGATAAAACCTGCCTCTGATCCAGAATGCCAAAACCATGTTTTCCTTTTGTCCCACCCCAATTGGACAACCAGAGATGAGGAGGTTCCTTATCGGTATCGCCAGTTCTTCTCAGTAGCCATTAGGGCACCCCAGAAAACCCACCAATTTGCCCAAGAGAGCAGAGGTGAGGCAATTGGCTCAACAGAGACTTATTAGTCTCCCTCGGAGTTTTCTGAAAAGAGTGCAAAAGCCCTATCACATTTATACACCAGTAGTGGCTAAAAATGCAAGGGCCATTAATATTGCCTTTGTAACCCAGTCGGCCACTGATATTAAGCAAAAATTGCAAAAGTTTGAGAGATTTGAGGAAATGCCCTTCAATCAGTTATTAGAGGTTGCTTAAAAGATATTTGACAACCGGGAGGACCCTAAAGACCAGGCTTAAGAGGTTTCTGCTGGGCAGAAAAACTGCATTGGTTGTTGGACTTTCCATAAAAAAATAAAAATAAATGACTCTTTCCTCCCAGCAGATGCAAGCCATCCAACAGATTCCAGTGCCTGTGACTAAAAACCAAGTGCAAAAATTTCTAGGAGCCATAGGACTGATGCAGAGTTTGGGACCCTGGCAGAGGCCTGTTGCCTATCTTTCCAAGAGACTTGATTATGTGGCAGCCAGATGGCCACCTTGTCTGTGGGTGTTTTCCTCGGTAGTCATCCTGATAGAGGAGACACAAAAACTGACTTGTGGACCAAAATTCTTGATTGTCTCCTCCTATTCGCTGGAGACTCTAATCAAGCCTCCACCGGACCAATGGCTGCCCAACTCCCAAGTCATGCATTATCAGGCATTACTTCTAGATCTGACTACCATCAGTTTCAAGGGACAGCGGCTTCAAACCCTGCTACTCTGCTGCCTGATGATGCCCCTCCTTGCCCCTCCACATCTGTATTGGGGACCAGACTTGACAGATGAGCCACTATTCAGAGTTCCTTTGTATTTCTCCGATGGAAGCAGTTAAATTTATCCAGGTAAGTGGGTCGTGGGAGCAGCCATTACTACAGACTCGCAGATTCTATGGGAACCAAGCCTGGAGCCAAAAACATTGGCCCAACAGGCTGAACTCATTGCCCTCAGTGAGACCTCAAGTTGTCAGTATGCATTTGTTACTGCCCATGTTCATGGGACCATTTATAAAGAATGGTGCTTATTGTCTTCTGGGGCCAAAAGATTAAAAATGTTTCCCAAATTTTGGACTTGTTGGCTGCCATCTGGATGCCAGGAAGAGTGGCTATTATCCGCTGTAGAGCCCATTGAGCAGGAGATGGCCTTGTTATATGAGGAAATAATTTGGCAGATGCCACCACCCACAAGGCAGCTGTAGAATCAGTGGGGATTTGAGATAGCCCTGACATTACTGCATTCCCACCTACTTTGTCAGAGCCTATTTGCACTTGAAAAGACTTGCATTTGGGGACTAATATCAAAGCTTGCCCAGCCTGTGAGCCTCAGATGCCCTCAGTGCCATTTGGTGAACCCAAAGCAACCACTCACTAAGTGGGACTATGCCTAGAGAACACTGGAAAGTAGACTTTACAGAAATGGGAAAGCCTGGACTTCAATGATATGAGTATTTACTTGTAATGGTTGATAGTTTCACTGGATGGATAAAAGCTTCTTCTACAAAATCTGAGTTAGCTGTGATAGTCAAAAAGCTCTTATGTGAGGTTGTCCCACAATTTGGCCTCCCCTTATCCATCGGGTCTGAGAATGGCCTGGTTTTTATGGCCCAGATAACTCAAAAACTAACCAAAGCCTTGCAGATCAATTGGAAACTCCATTGTGCTTACTGCCTTCAAAGTTCAAGACAAGTAAAAAGATAAACCAGACATTAAAGATGGTAATTACTAATGGCCTTAGAAACTGGTGAGAACCAGGGGAGTCTCCTTCCTTTTTTGACCTCTTGCATGCGCAATGTACCCTCTATGTTACTGATATTTCCCCTTTTGAGGCTTTATATGAGAGAACTCCTCTTATACCTAAGATTTCTGAGGAAAAATTAGCTGATTTAGCTAATCAAGATCTTATTAAGTCTCCCCAAACTCTTCAGGGAGTTCTGACTTCCATCCACCGGTTATTTTAACAACAACATCCTCCACCTGCAGCCCACTGTGAGGACAAACACCTTGCTGTAGAGCCTGAGTCGCCGGTGCTCATCAACAGGATTCACCATGGATCTCTTGAGCCATTGAAAAGGTCCCTACATTGTAGTCCTCAGCACTCCAACTGCTATCAAAGTAGCCAGAAAGCCTACCTCGATGCATCATTCCCACTTCAAGCAGGTCCTGGCTTCCAAAGGCGATCAACCTACAGATAAGTGGACTGCCATTCCCTCCAAGGACTCTTTAAAGCTCAGGATTGCCAAATGTAACTAATAATCTTATGTTCTCCCTTATGGAGACCCCAAGGAGGCCTCTATCTGGCTTTTAAAAAATTGTTAATTATGTGACAAAACAGTGAATTTAAATGTTGGTTTTCTTTCTCCTTTTGGTTAACAGCTTTAATAATGACAGCTGCAAGAAATTTGTTAATCTTCCTATTGGGCCTTGTATTATACACAGATTAGTAAACTATGTCAAAGGTTCAAATTATACAGCTTATGATTTTAAAGACGCAAGGTTATAAACAGGTACCTATGTCTGAAAACCCATGAGCCAATGATTTGGTGCACTGACTAAAATCAGTGGGGAAAGCTGTACACTAGCTAAAAGAGCTTTGTTATGTTTGTATTAAGCCAAAGTACCTGTAACGCCACCTACTGTTTTGTATGCAATTCCCCCCCTCTGGGTGACCTAACTGATATGTTAATCAATGCTCCCTTCTGTAAAACATTGTAAATCCCGGGAACCTAACCTAATTGATATGTTAACCATTGTTGCCCTCTACTAATAACAGATGTGGTGCTAAAATCAGCTGACAAAGAATTAACTAATGCTAGACTACTCTGTCCTCTGCTAAGGAAAACATTTCCTTAGCAGATTTCCTGATCCACCCCCATAACCCCTTTACTTTGTAAACTCTGCTCTCTACAAGAGGCTAGAAAGCCTTAAGGAGGACACACAGCTTTTGCAAATTCCAACTGCACTGTGTTACAGGGCCCAGGATAAAATAAATCAGCGCTGCTTTTTGAAAATAAAAACATGTCTTGCCCATTTTTGAACTTGAGTTTAGGCTTTGGGGGGCTTGTTTGTGGATTACAAGATTTAATGGCATATTTTTATTATTTTATTCTTTCACATGTTATATTAGTTGCTAAAGTTACTGGTATTCCTTGCTTAACTATATTTAGACAATAGCACCACAGATGATAATAGAACACCCTCAACAGTCTTTAATATAAATTTCTATTAAATGGTTCTCTTAAATGAAATCTAGTTCAGACTTAGAAAACTTACATGCCTACAATAAAACATGGGACTCGTTCCACCATTTAAGATGCACTAGGCTGGTGGCCAGGCTTCCGGACTTGAAGGACAGGTTTCACTGAGACAGACTGGCTCTGATCCTCCTTTATCCTCCAGAGGAATGTCAAACCTGTTCTGCTTCAGTTTCCTTTGTTTCACTTTACCTCTTACTCTCTTGCCACTTTACATTTTCCTAATAAAGGCATATAAAAGTGGGAAAAACTCTAGATTATTCCAACCTTTTCCTTCTGAGTTAAGCCCATAGAAAATGAGCATTTGCTAATGCCAAGGACAGGGAAGTCATCTTAGATGAGGGACACATACTCCATCTCTGAATCAGATGAGACATCAGAATTGTGCCCATTCAGGAGAATACACATAAAAGCTGTGTCCCAGCTCAGTGTTCTGGGCAAATCTCCTTTGGAAATTAAACCCGAGACACAGTGGGGAGAACCAGTTTCCATGTGGCAATGGAAGCAGCTATCCTTAAAAGCAGCACACATAGGGGACCTAAACCTATTTAGAATAAGGAGACTTTCCAACCTCTCAAATTATGGACTTAAAAACCTTTATTATAAATTGATAAAGAAGTAGGTAATGATCTTGCTCAGTCTTTTAATTATTCCTCATAGAATTTTGACACACAGTGGTCACTGTGCCAGCTAATTATCCTTATAGCAACTGCCACCCTCAAAATCAGAGGCTAGCTTTCCCCAGCATCTGTTTGGTGAATCCCCATGGAAGCCAGTGGCCAATGGAGTCAACAGAATGTTGACCAGACAGGCAGCTGGATTCCTTTTTGGAGACTGATGTCTGGTTATCTGAGGCAATAGAAACTGAGAACTGAGGGTTCCTGGCCAGAGTAACACCCTGGTTGTCACCCAACATTTCCTCAATGGACATTTGCTCATGACCATTTAAAATCTCCTCTTTTCTATCATTCTTATTTCTCTGCTAGTAGACTAAAAACATTCTAAACTTTTCAATAGATCTTCAGATCACTTAAACTACCCGTCCCTTCAGAGATTATACTGAGGTAGCTTGCAATGATTGCTTACATTCCATAGCAGCTAGTAGGGAAATGATTTACCTAT